AATCATGTTTTGAAGGAATCCGGAATAGAGTCCTAGTCTTTATCAATGGAAAAGGCCAAAGAGTGAAAATGCCAATTGTGAATCATGCAAGAAATAAGAAATGCATTGTGGAGGCATTTAAATGCCAAACTTGGCTGGCATCAACCACCAAGAATGTTTGAAGGCTATTTCAAGAAAATACTACCCCAGAAAGAAACTCGAGGGAATAATATAATTTTTTGCTTCCAAAAATGTGCACTGAAGCTGGCCGCAAAAAATTTCTCTTTCAGGGGTCGAAGTTGCACAACAAACTGCCCGATGCGTTAAAATGTGTTTTTATTACAAAACACCTTTTTCGTAAATAGATTAACTTAGTATAACACAAGTTTTTAGCTGAAATGTTTTTGCAAGGCAAGTTTATCTTTTGCTATTAGATTTTGGCGGCCTCTTGGTCTTGTATATTTTCAATGCGCGTATTCTAAAGCTAGTTTTGCAAGGGTTTGTTCTGGTAAACAAAGTGCATGTCCTAACCATCTTAGTTTACGTTCTTCGATTTTCTTGCTCCATGGAGTTTCATTGTTTGGTTGGTGGACATCAGCATTTTTCATTAATTTTTGAATAAATTATGCTAAAGGTGTAGATTCGTAACAATTTCCTTTGAAACCTATCAATTTTATATTCAAGTGATGCATTGAAAAGAGAACAATTAGTAGTTAATTTGAAGAGACAATGCAATGAACTTGACTGTGATAAACTTTGTACTGTCTAAACTTGAATTTGTAATGTCACATCTTTAATTTACTTAAACTTTTAATGTTAACAGGAACATTAATGATAAAAGCTCCTATGCAACCTGACCAATTTTTCCTGTATAAATACAATTTATCATGAAAAATGCAACTTCAGAGAAATATTTTTAACTTATTCTTTGAAACTACGGATAATTATTTTACTACAGGTAAATACTGAGGTCGGTTTTTCAACTTAAAATCATTAAAACCCCTCTGTTACAGTCTCAAGTTGATTTCAAATCTCTTGTATTCGATCAGTATACAATTTTCTTCAACTTAGGAGGAAATTTTATGATAGTGCAACCTTCAACTTTTGCTTAAATAATGTTTCCCGAAAAAATCTGCTTAAGTAAAATATATTTGCACGGCTGTTCATGGGTACAGTTGGCTTGTACAGAAGATAATACCAAATAAATCGGTTTTCATACTTTATGATAACAAGCTGAAGAAATATTCTATAAAAGTTTGACAAATCTTGGCAGACGTAGAGTATTTGGTGTATGGCACTGTTTTGTGTCTTTTTTACAAAGATAATATGTCAAACGGGTACTTATGGTCCAGGTTGGCATATAAATATTCAAACTCCTTGGTCTTTTACGAACCATTTTTTAAAGTTTTCTAAATGGATCTTGACTGAGGTTAGGATATACCCATCCAGAAGCACTACAGCCTGTTAATGAAGCTTATCTATGTGGCTTTAAGTGATGTCAATTGGTCTGTTACAGCTGCAAGTTTATTTCAGATCTCCTGTAATCGATCGGCATATCAATTTCATCGCCATCGAAGGAATCTTCGTCATAACATAATTCAAAACCACTTTCCTCTTCAGGTTGCATCTTCACTTCGTTTTTTCTTGTTACTTTAGGCAAGGTGGGATCATATAACGGTAAATCAGGATAGTATTTCAACAGCTGCTCGTATTTTCCAGCTTGCATTTTGTATAACTTTAACCTTTCTTCTATATGCTGCGCTTCAATCCCAGCTGTCTTCGTCACAACTGATCGCTCAAAGCTGTCAATGCTCATATCAACTTCTTCAAAGAATGCCTGTGTTTCGCTTGGAGCAACATTAATTTTGGCACGTCCTTAAATCGATAAAAGAAAACAGTGGAGATACACACTTTATTTGTTTACTTCATTGATATAGGCAATAGACAGAAGCACAGCCGAGAACATGAAACAATATCTTTTTAAACTGAAAAGGTTTAAGGTAGCAAGCAAGCAGTTGAAGCAATGAATATATAAGATAATTTATTGTGTTATCGTCAGACGAAGATCGTTACCTACTAACAAAACGAAGAAGCACTTTAGAGCCACTTACTTCTAGTGTAGCGTACAATCTCATAAATTATGCCAATGATAGTTAAGAGAGCAAGCGCTATGCATCCATAAAGTGTAGTATTTTCCATCAAGTCAGAATGAGGTGACGTCATGTGCTTTACTAAGTCATATTGAAAAGAGGATTCCAGCTGTAATTGAGAATTTGAAAAAAGCAAATGAGCTTATGCTTGAGACAACACTAATTGTTGTAACAGAAAAATCGAAAAGGATGCCAGCTCTTTCCATCTAGACAAAGAGCACTCATATTAGACTTAAGAACTATTTTGCAAGTTTGCCAACTGCAAGACTTTGGGGGCGGGGTATATGTTGTGTTGCTTTTTCAATTAGATGAATTCGTTTTTAAAAAAAAACATTTTTAATCTCAGGGACGATAAAAATGAGCACTGTATAATGAAGCAATTTGATTCCTATGCGATTTCGTTGATGAATATATTTCTAAGCTAGTGTAAGACACTCGGTTTAGCAAAACGCAGAACTTTCGACATCAATTTTCATTCATCTTTTTTCGCATAGGCCATCCACTTTTACACAAACACGCGGTCGCGTGAAAACGAGGCAAATAGATTACGTAATCCCTAAAAAGAGTTCCTTATTGGGAGGGGTTTGAAACAACTTAAATTTACCATCTAATAATATAAAATATATCATTGTTCTTACAATCCAACACTAGAATGTAGATATTATGTATGACTCAAAGCATCTCCTCTCATGCTTAAATGCAAGAAATAATTTATAAGGAAAAATACCTTAAAACTGGTAGTCGCTTTAGCTATCCGCTCGAATAATCGTTGCTCGTTTTCCGTTACGTACTTCTTTACGCACTTTGAAATGCGTTTTGCATCACCCGAAAGAAGAACACCATATGATGCCTTTGCGTTATGAATCGAGTCCAGGGCAATTTCTGGATGATTAAGAAACTTGCGCAAAGCATTGGCTTGAAAAGAATCCAGGAAAACTTTTGATACTCGGCCAGAAAGAAGTTGTTTTTGAACGAAGTTACCATCTGACACATTACCTGAGGGAAGGATTCGGTCATAATAAGCCAAGCAGTGTCAGACAAATCTTCAGATTTCAGTTTAGAGTACAGCCTGATTCGATAAAAACAAGACCTGGTTTTCTATATTCAATACAATAAAGCAAGATTGTCTTATCTTGAATAAAGATATTTTGTTGCCTTACCCAAGGTGACCTTTCTGCCGAAGAGTTTAGAAGCAATCATCAGGGCTTCATTGGAGCCGAGTACCTGTAGCAAAATTACAAAGAAGTCTAAATATATGGAATATTCCAATGTTTAGAAAACTGTACCCTGGGCACCTGACTCACTCTATGATAATAAGACTTATTTTCAATAGAGCGAGTCTTGTACCCAGGGTAAGAAAACTGAAGTTTTTATATTTCCAAAAGTGAAAAGTAACACTTAAACATATAAGGTCGCTCGCTATAGGTTCAGATCAGAGTTTACAAACAATATGTACCAGATGAGAGGGAGTAATATATATAAGCAGAATTCTCAACCCCTATTTAAAAAATGCAAAAAAGTCTTTTGTTTTGCATATAGTTGTATGCTCTCTAACAAGAGCACATTTTGTTCTAGACCAATCAACGGGTTTGTTTACAAAATGTCATTAGCCAATCACCGGCCTCCATTTCGAGCTTGATTTTTGAATGTTTCAAACCAAAACACAGTTGCTGTGGAGAAAAACCTACCCCCATACTTTTGCCCGGGAAAAAAATTTACGTTCTTTAACCTAGAAGATTTGTCAAACTTAGTTTCTAGAGTATTTGTTTCGTACAAATCTCGGAGCCCTAAGCAGAAAGACAAACGGTGTCTAAAATATCAAAATGTGCTCTTGTTATGCTCTCTCCAAAAAGAGCAAATTGCAATGGGTAAACTCTTCCTGGATATCTTGTCATATTTCTAATCTTGAGATCATTTTTAGAGTGGAGGCGCCTTTAATGCCTATATGAAATCTATTTTATGGACAAATGCCCCAAGCACTTGGCACCTGGATACCAATACTGTGCACTCTTACTAAATAATGTTTCCCGTATGTCACCAGAAAGCATTATTTCTAAAGAGATTTAAAGACATTTGTCAATGTTTGTGGCAAAATATTATTTAATATAATCATGAAAGAAAAATTCAGCATCGATTTGTATAAGCATCGATGATAATTTAAACAAAAATATAATTTGATAGGGGTTTGTTCTACATCGAAAAATTTATTGATCTAAATTTCTCTATAAGAGAAACGGATACAAACAATATATCTCAAGTAATCCCATGAATATTCACCTTTCCATCTATCTCTATTGGTTTTGGATCATAAACAAATTCGGTACCGAAAATTGTTGATAAACTTCCAATGATCAGCGACGTTAACACCAAGCCAATTAGCATCCACGTCATAGCAATAAATCTTCCAAATTTTGTCATCAAATTAAGATCACCGTATCTATTATGAAAGTGGGTAAAAAAATACAAGCAAACATATTTCAGTGTGAAAATTCAAGATGATGCTTATTATCAAATGATTATAATCTGAAGTTGTATTTTATTCATAAACAATACACGCGACAAAATCCCTCCTCTGGGTCCATTGCTTCTTTTGAAACTTTAAGTCTTGCTGTTATCTGAATAAATACATCCCTGACCCCTAATTCACAAATGATGGCCACAAAGGACTTTCTTCCTTCTCTGTCTAAGTCAACTAGATGGACACCGTTTCTCTGGACATGAAGTAAAATAAAATTTGATATCGTAAAAGCTACACACCCAACTGTTGTCATTGTGATAAATGCCAGCCAAAGACCACTTCCAGCCCCTCTCAAGTACGTGCTTGGAAATTCGGCAGTATTGTTGCCAGACTCCTGTTTCAAATAAAAGATTTATGTTAAAGAATTTTTGGTAAATTTCTTCTACCTAATAATAGCAAATCGACTGTTATGTTGTATAAATTATATATCCCGACTTTTCTCCATAAAGTATTGTTTAAGGAACGTAAAATGACTTTCTATCACATTAGCCAATAATAGGTGTCAGTCCCTCGCCTAAGAAACACAAAATAGCACAAAATATCAGCCAGGCTCTTAGTCAATGATTTAAACCAGAGGAATGGGTAGAAGGGATCATTTAAGTGAAGGGCATGAGGCATTGCTATCAGGACAATACATTGTAGACTTGAACGAGGCAGCATTTCTATTAATTCCAACAATACCGTAGGAAGATTAGAATTATCGAGACACAATTTTTTTTGGCACTAGAGGAACAAAAGACTTTGATAATTGCAAAAAGATGTTTCATAAATTTTTTAGGAGGAGAGGGGCATTTTCATGATGGTTATTAGTGTTTGCAGTCAATGCTGGAAGAAATAAAATAGGGTTTGTATCTTGCTGGGACAGGCTCAAGTAAAGGGAAAATCATAAGAACGCTGTTGTTAAATATTTCCATGGCTATGAATTTTTAATTTGAAGATGCATTCAGATTTTAAGAAGTACTGAAGAAGCCCATATATCTGATTACAATTCTCTTCAACGAAACGAGTAAAAAAGACAAGAGACAAACACAATTAGTTATTTTCTATTGCAAATGTTTTTAATAAATGGCATGAACTTTAAACCTTGCATTGGAAAACAGTGCGCAAGCCATGAAAATCTAGCACTGTAGCAGAAGCAGAGGCAGATTGGTACGTACCGCAGCCCAGAAGACGATCCCTGCCAGCAATGTAAGAACAAATGAAACCAATAATAGAGGGTAATGTTGCCACAAAGAATTCAGAACAATCTTTGCACCAAAATTTCCAAGAACTTTCAATGTTATCTTCTTTTTAAAAACCAAGAACGTTGTAACAGGAACAATTGGAACGTATGTATATATCTGTTTGTCTTGAATTTCCAAGAATTCGTTGTAAAACGGCAATGTTACATGAGTTCCTAAGTTGAGCGAATCCACAGCAGAGACTCGGTTGCTTTTCAATGATGACGTGTTGGAAGCATCCCTATTCCAGTCAACTTCGGTCATTCCATGACTGCCCGAGCAATTTCCGCAACAATTGATAATTGCCTCATTGATCATATCTTGCATAACAGATTCGTTTGGAAGGTTCTTGTGTACCAGCGGTGGCAGATGTAGAATTGACGAAGATAAAATCTTAGGGCATCTGCATGTTTCTAAATTTAACAAATAAATAATTTTCATGAAAATGTGAAATTTTTTTCTTAAGAAACAGATCTTTACAAATACGAAAATCTATCTAATAAGAAATAGATCTTCACAGGCAGGAAATCTGCACAGATTTCAATTTCTTTTGTAACACATAGATCTTTCGGGGTACGTATAAAAATCTTCTTTAAGAAACAGATCTTCAGGGTTATGAAATTCCTTTGTAAAAAAAGATCTTCTGGGGTATGAAATTCTTTTGTAAAAAAGATCTTCAGGGGTATGAAATTCTTTCTTAAAAACAGATCCCTACCGGTATAAAAAGGTTTTCTCAGCAATCTTACCTCCATAAACCACAGGAGATTCAGGCCCGTAACCTCCTTCTGTGAACGCAGAAACGTTGATTCCATAAATAGCGTAGGGTTGAAGATCTTCAATTTTCAATGTTTTATTCGGTGCGAAGACCAGCAATTCGCTTACATTACTTCCAGATACAGGTACATAATTCTGCTCCGAAAGCCAGTATTTTATGCGATACCCGAGGACCTCTCCATTGGCGCCAGTCTGATTGACCTCCTTCCAATTCAGCGATACCTCATAAAAGTCATACATATCTTTGAGGCTAGCAATCAATGGAGCAACAGATGGAGCTGTTGAGAAAAAATGTTTCATTTTGATACATCAGAGATCTGTTCATTAATCAATCATCGACGCCTGATCAGTCAATTTCTAAACGTATTCCAAAGATAATTTACCTTTAAACGCTATCGGGAAGGATGATATACGGCAGTGAAACATTTGTTCTACGACACACCGCTAGCTAAAAACCCCTTTGATATCACAATATTTCATATTGAAATATTTTAAACATATTTTTGATGAATTCCACTGTTCACGAGAGGCTCTGTCTACTACTTGTAAGTACTTTATAGACAAGAGGATCGGGAAAGTCGGGGAGGGGGGGGGGGGGGTTCAGAATTTAAAGTAATATTTAATTACTCTCTTTGGGATAAAAATGCAATACAAGAGCGAACACCTATTCAAGGAAAACTCAGTAGACAAACAGACGGACAGAAGAATTTTTGACAAAAGTATTTTCCCCGCCAACCAGCAAGAGAAATGACCAGAAAGTTTAACAAGCGGGGGGTTTTTATTAGAGCAGGAGAGGGCAACTGGAAAATTTTTCAAAATTAATAAGAGGGAATTGGGCATTTATTTGGCACCTAAGTGTAGTCACCTTGAGGTTGGCTTGGCTGGTTGAATCAACTAACCTTTCTGTTTGCATGTACCATTGAGTGTAAAGGTTACACCAAGTCCTTTCGATGTATAAGCACCGACTCTGACTTGATACCAGTGATACTCTTGCAATTCTGTGATTTCAGTTTCAAATGTCGTTTCATTGACCTCTTTCATTTTCTCACCGGGCTCGGCGCCATATATCGCAAACGGGTTTACTGCCCTCGGTGATCGAGAATATTTCCGCAATGCAACGTCAATTGGTTTATAGAATATCCGGTAACCAAGTATTATACCGTTTCTAAATGATTCCGGTATCGGACTCCAGAATACTTTAATTGATTCATATGTTGATGGCCATGCTTCGACATATGTTGGAGGTGCATCAGGCTCTTGAATATTCGAAACGATAAGTCAAATGACTCGCCTTGCGGTTTAACATTGTAATTCAAAATTTGTATATTGTTGCAAATAATGTTTATTTAGCATCGAATAGATTTACTGGCTATATATAATGCTAAACATTAACTTGATTTGTCTTTTTGAAATTTTCTTCAATCTCATTTGAGATACGATTGCGAAAATAGGGCAGAGAATAATCCTTAAAATTTCAGGCAGTCAAAGCAACAGAGTAAATGCTATGTTCAATTAGGCCTTATATATACTCACTGTCCTCATCCGTTCTCACAGTAATTTCACTTGAAAAGTTTCCTTTTCCTTTAATATTAAACATTTGAATTGATATATTGTACTGAGTGTATTTTCTTAGATTTGGAATCTTGATGATAGGATTAGTGCCATTCACTGTCAAATGGAAGATTTCATGTTCATCGCATCCCTTTGGCCTATCCTCGTGGCAGTCAAAGACATGATACTTCACTGTGTGTCCCAGAACCTAGAAATGATAAGTCTTATACAGAGTCTAGAAAAGTTTTTAATCTTCTTCCAGACAAAAACATCCCAGAAGGCAAACCTTCCTCACAAAACAATATAAAGTGGGCGTGGCTAGGGTGTGTCAAATGAGCTTCTAATGTTTTTCGTGGTCCTTCCTCCGGTCAGTGGCCGTGCGACCGTAATATTTTCCTGACTCTGGTCTTATACATTAACATTTTATTTAGCTAGATAAGGTATTGATGGCAGCGGTGGGATAGCCTTTGCTAACACTTTTAAAAACGGTATTTCATTTTGCAAGAATCGGGTAAGGGGCTTGAATGATTCCCTGTATTACTAAATTTGATTTTTGATATTATTGCTGTTCATATTGGATTATCTAACTCCGTTTTGTGGTGTTCCTTTCTATCATTTATTTCATAAATTTTCAATGCAAGATTCATAGAATCCGACGCACGGACGGACGACTTTCAGACATGCCATTGTTTGAGGTGTTTGAGTCTTTTCTTACTGTTGCTTAATTACTAGATGGCACGCAAATTATGTAGACGAAAATGCCTGGAAAAAGCTCACTATTTATGCATCACACAAAACACAGTGATCAAAAAGCTTTTGGCATGGACGTTTTTCTTCCAATCCCCTCCAAATTGAGAAGCATTTCATGAACACTACCTTCAAGAAGAAGGATCCTTGTCCCAACGTTTAAGAAAGAGCGTTTCTAAGAAAGGATTATGTCTTTTGAAAAAATAAGGGGGCATATGTGCCTATTTACCGCCATTCCGACGACCTCAACAGAGTCACATGCAAAATCAAAGCGTCTTCAGACGTAAATAGTTCAGTACTCTTGTATAAACAATAAATGATTTAAAGGCATCTAGCTACCTTTCCATTTGCATCACCATGAATTTCCTCCATAGCATCCCAATGTAAAAAGATTTCGGTAGATGTTTCACCTAACCCAGTTACATTCTTTGGATGCTCTTCAGGAACTGTAAATTGGCAAACAATAAATTAATGTTTTTAAACCTACTATAAAATTAAGTCTGATTTCTCTATAGCAATAAGTAATTTTCCCAATTGAATTTGAGTGCCATTATAAGGTTTGAAGAATATCAAATTCAACCTTCGATATCCTTCACTTTCCCCTTCCTAGTCTTATCCGGCTATGCAAACAGCATTTTGTTAGCGATTAGCAGGCAGTAATTTTAAGCAGTTAAAGAGTAACTAGTAAAGAGTAACAGAAATGAATATCGTTTTACCTCCAAGTAATTATTCTATAGGTAATGTGGCCTTGCTAAACATCGCAAAATCTTCGCTTCCCCTCTCCCTCCTATTCTCTCTTACTTTCTCTCTCTTTATCTCACTTTCTCTTTCATGGTAATTCATGCTTAATGACAATAAACTTAAAACTCACTATACTCATCTGTCCAGACTGTTACATTACGACTTGAAGGCCCTTCTGCTTTGATTGTAAAAGCCGTTATTTTGAATAGATATGGAGTGTAGATTTTGAGGTCAGCGAATGTGTAGCTAAATTTATCATTTCCATCGAATCGATTTGGAATCGTTACACTTCTCCAAGATGCCTTCTTTAGTGTTTTGTCCTTTATGTACAGTCTATATCCCTCTATTATGCCAAATCTGAATGCTTCTGGGACACGCCCCCAACTCATCATAATTGCAGTATGATTGATGAAATTTCCAGTCAAGTTAACAGGGGGTCTTCCAGGAGCTACAAAAGAAATCCGTGCAACCAATCTTGACGTAGAATTGAAAAGTATGATCTAAAATCCTACTGTGATATCAAGGGAATGAAATAAACAGAGAGAAAACTTCAAACAATCATGCAGAGACAGACATCGATTTAGCAGCCTCAACCAAAACTTTTCTTTTGAAAATGAAGACTCTCCAATATTAACGGAAACAGGTCGAGTATAAATTCATTCTAATAGGCCAAATCCATTCATTCCTAGATACCATAATACAATGGAGGGGTAAACACTTTATGTACTCAGAATCTACTGCGTTTCGTATAAAGCAAGGATAACTATCTTACCGTGTGCATCTGTACGTATATCAGTGATGTTGCTGTACACTCCAATTCCAACACTGTTTATACCGGCAACTCTGACATTATACATTGTGTAGTATTCTAGGCCAGTAATTTTCGTGATCCTTGTTTGCGAACTAACTGTGATACTTTTCCAGGCATCATCAGAGTCTTCTTCTGCTTTGTATATTATGTTGTAGCCAGAGATTACACCATTTTGTTCTTCAGTTGGTACCAGACCCCAGGTTACTTGTATTGCTGTTGAGCTGATATTTTTCCCGTTAATATTCACTGGAGCTGCAGTAGGTTCTGTTGAATGAGATCAACTAGCCTTAGTTTGCTTCGTCATAATTTCACTGTAGAATTGTAGTGTAGCATGTGACATTACCTGAGCGCAGATTTGCAAGCCAAGTAAAGGGAGAATCGGTGCCACGAGAAAGTCAGTTGAATGGTGAATCATAATATGTTGATGAAAAAAGTATGATATATTAGAAAGCAGCAGTCTTTGTTTCTTGGCATTTCTTATTCAGAGTTGATTTTTTATCAGTCAACCTACGTTTTTTACCATCTTATCTGGAAGAAACATTCTGCATCAAACAGTAGCTTATTAAAAAAGGGCAATCTAGCAGAGTTCTTGCAAAGACTTTCCTTTAATTCAGGAAATTTTTAACTTTTTTTAATTTTTTATTGGTCATGTAATTGAAAGTAAAAAGTAAAGTTGCTTCAAAAGCAAATATTTCTATACATAATTAAGCTTTTCTCCCGGTAATTCTCAGCATGAAAATACTGAATAAGGATCGGAAATGCGAGTCTAGAAAAACATTCAACCATTTGAAAATTGGCATTGAAAATGGGCATTGAAAATACAAACGGTTGCATTTCTACCACGCAAAAGAGTTCCGTTTTTTGAGAGTTTGACTGCTAGTGTGATTCTCAAACGCGATTCTGCTAATTGGCAATTCTTAATAGAAAACCCAGCTTGTACCAAAAACTATCACAGTGACATGATTCACGTGATGACCATGGCCCAGCCGTCGCTCAGTATAGAAAATTCTGAATCCTTCTTCATAATAACGAGTTGTAAGTTTTAACCCCTTTGACTGCAGTTGTTATAAGCTTAGCATCCTTATCCACCATTTGGTTGCGTTTTATATTGGCCTTTCTCCATCCAACATTGTTTATATATTTCCTACCTTCAAATTTTCATTCCTTATTCAAAGGTTTCATGCTCTGCAGCATGTCAGATTAAAAGCTTGAATATTATCCGAAGCTGTTTTTGTTTGAAAAACTTAGTACATAAGTTTGTTTTGTAAATATTGAGCATTAAATCAACTTACTGAATGCTAACGTTTTTTCAGTCACTTTGGAAGAGTTGACACCAAAGCCTTTTATTGTACCGCCAGCAACTTTGATATCATAATCAACATAACTTTCTAGCCCTAGCAGCAGAGCAGTTTTCTCGGAAGTAACAACCTCTTTCACTGATCCTTGACCGTCACTTCTTTTGCATGTTACTTTGTATGAGACAATGACACCATATGTTTTCGATGCCTGTATCTCTGACCAAGTGACATTAATTGAATAGCTAGAAAGTGCACGCGTTTTTACGTTGGTTGGTGGCCCTCCAGGCTCTAGAATGTAAGAGAAATATTGAGATGGCAAATATTGGGGAAAATGCGGTGAAATCCTGATTTATCTCTGAAAAAAGGCTATTCAACTTTTTCTTAAAGGCATCGTCTCCAAACTCAACGAAATTCATAACCAAATGTTATACGACTGATACTCATATACGAATCAGGTTTATCCAGGCAAATCTTGAAGGAGCATAGATGGTGCCTAGGGCTCTACAGGTCCTAGAAAATCATCTGAGGAAGACATCTAGCCCACGATCGGAGGGTCAAGAACCTCCTCGAAGAATTTCTGCTGCCACCAACTTTCTTGGAAGGAACACACTTAGCCCCTATTTACAATGGATAAGTGAAAAGGGGCAGTAACAACAGCTTCTCCCAAGGGGGTATGTGCCTGTGATTCGGTAAAAGAAATTAGGTGAATGCAAAATCTTGAATTTCGCATGGACGAGAAGAAGGTATTGTTTTTTAAAACAAATAGTTTCAATTTAGCTGTAAAGAAATGTTTCTATTTAGTGTAGCAAGGATTTTTTCTGTCTTGATGTCTACAAATTCAAGGATGTGTTAGCTCTAAGACTAACAATGTAGCTAACAATGTAACTGACTTACTGTCTTCATCTGTTCTTACACGTATCACGTTGCTCTTAGGTCCTTCTCCAATGGTTGTCGATGCAGAAACTTGAATGTAATAAAATTCCCAAATATCAAGTCCATTAATTGAGTGGAATTTTTCTGTTACAGTTTCCTTATCGGAACCTCCCATGTTCTCGTGTTTAGATATGAATATCTTATAATTGGTTATAATGCCATTTCGATCCCAATATGGTACTTCGTCCCATTCAATGTGTATACTTGATGAGCTGGTATTTCTTGCCACTATCTCCACTGGTGGTGCACTTGGATCTACAAAGAATTACAAATATAACTTGAATACAGTGTAAAATAAATGAGAAAGAGACATTCCGATTGAGAAAAGGTTCACTATAACCTCACGAGAACTAAAAAATGTATGCTCCTCATATTCGTATTCAGGTAATGGGCACAAAGACCACGTCTCGCCAAACATTTAGGACTGCAATGCAGCCATCTGAGCGGCATCTTCTTAAAAAAATTGAAATTTTAACTTTTTAAAATTTGAATTTGAAATTATAACTTTGAAATTAATTTTTGAAAAGAAGTAGTGAACATAATTTTGGATATGGAAATGTGACTCTAAAATGTAACAAGTAGATATGTACCCTGGGTGCCAGAGCCTCAGAGAGTCAAAGGATGAAGAACAGGGGAAGGAATTGCGAAGGAGAATGGAAGAGGAGAGGGGAGAGGTAGATATGGTACTTTTGATGGTTACCCGGGGGGGGGGGGTAACTGCCACTTACACAGGTACGGGATGTGCCATTTTTGGGTAACTTTTTTCAAGTAGAAAATACATTTTGGGGAATCATTTTTGGTAAAATCAAACATGGTCATCAGTTTTGGGATTGATTTTTAGCATGATCTTAAATCTTTGGGTATCATTTTTAAGAGAAAAGTAAATGTTTTAATTTATTTGCAGATACTAGTATTTTCTTAATCTATGATTATTGGAGCCCCACAAAATCTGTATTAATATGGATATAAGGGAAATCGAAAAGATACACTCACTGTCCTCCTTCGTAGTGCGTTCAATTGGTTGACTGAACACTCCACTCCCCTTGCTTGTTCGTGCAGCTACAATCACCTCGTATTTTGTATACTCTTCTAAGTGTGTGGGCTTGAATTCTCTTGTCCCTTTTTCTATTATTAACGATGTCCAATTTTTTTGGAGGGGTTCTTTTACTCTGTATTTTACTTCATAACCAGTGCACAATCCGTTGAGAAGGTCAGGATCAACAAGAGCATGCCATGATACTAGTATCGACTTTGAAGAAATGACCATTGAGTATATGTTGCGAGGTGGTACTTCAGGAACTGTTAGCGAATAAGAATAAATATAACATCTCAAATATTAACATATGTGATTTCTACATGTAAAAGCAGATTTACACAGTAAAATTCAAATATATTATATATGCAGCATAAGTGTATCTTGTGTTTTCAAAAATACAAAGAGATCATTCAGATACAATGATGATGAAATTAAAAATACATTCTACTTGATTCTAAAATCTTTTTTTGCCAAAGAACTGACTCTAAAATTCTTTTTCGAGAAAGGGTTACTTTCAAGTGTTTATTTATTTTTGGTCCTTGCCATGCAGAAAATACACCATTTAAGTTTGCTGTTTTTTTATGGAGGTTATTCCAAACTTCATTGAGTGTTTATACAGCTTTTTTAGCACTGATTTAGATTTGCTACTCTACTTCCAAGCCCTGTCCACACTACACAAACTAACCCAGGTTCGCCCCAGGTTTCAGCTAACCCAGGTTAGATTTTGCAGTGTGGACACAACTAACCTGGGTTCGCCCTGGGTTCGCCCTGGGTTCGCCCTGGGTTCGCCCTGGGTTCGCCCTGGGTTCGCCCTGGGTTCGCCCTGGGTTAGTTTACCCTGGGTTAGTTTAACCCATCTCCAGAGGTGGGTTCGACCTAGGTCTGAATTTCTAGTGTGGACACAAAACCTGGGGCAAACCTGGGTTAGTTTTTTAAAGCATGCGCATTTGAATATGTTTTCATTTTGCGCGCCGAAAAATAAAAATACGTTACATGCAAATACCAGGCAAGATATGGAAACTTGCAAAAAAGATCGTGGATCTACATGGAGCCGCGAAGAAGTTCTCAGCTTCATAAGTATCTGGAGAGACGAAAAGATTCAAGAACAGTTGGATAACTGTACAAGGAAAAAACATGTTTACGAAAAGATGGCACAGCGCCTAGAAAAAGAAAGTGGCTACGAGCGAAACTACATCCAGATAAGTGAAACAAAAACAACTAAAACAGTCTTATAAGAAAGTTAAAGACAACAACAACTTGTCAGGAAGAGGGAGGAAAACATTTGAATAAACTGTGACTTCGGCAGCTTCCATCTTGATCGTGTTTATGGAAAATTTGTTTTGTTGTCGTTGTTTTGTTGTTGTTGTAATTTAACTACGCATGCGTAGCGTCAGCTAACCTGGGTTCGCCCCGACTTTGTGTCCACATTACAAAACATGAAAATCAAGTGTGGACAAAGCAGGGTTCGCCCTAGGTTAAATTTAACCTGGAGCGAACCTGGGTTAGTTTGTGTAGTGTGGACAGGGCTCTAGTCTGGAAACAGTCAGTGTTGCCACGTGCCACAAGCCTTCAGGAATGAAAAAATGAAGATAATTAGGCCATGCCTTTTTAACTCTAAGAAAATGGCCCTTTACCAACTGAAAATTGGCATTAGGTACTGTGGGTCTTACGCAATTTCGGCATCGCAATTTGAAACCGTTTTTCTTATTGCTTGAGCTTGTATTGTAAGTTTTATGAAGATATAAAATGTCACAACTTCTAAAGGATTGGAACGCAAAAAATTTCTCCAGGTGAAACTTGTACAATCTCATTCTCACCCGCAATCTTTCACCCTCGGTTGCACTAATTTCGGGCAAATCCTCAACAGAAATTTTGCTTTACGTCGTAAAAATCGCGAGTCACTCACCATTTTCGTCTGTTCTCATTTCAGACAAAGATGTAATGATATTATACGTGTTGCTTCCATTGATTTGTCCGTAGTAATGGGCGTAGAATGAATACATTGTGTAATTCTTCAACCCAGTGAAGTTGTATTCATGAGGCAGATTGCCGGTGAACTCCCGCTTCTGCACGACGGCGCTCTCGCCAGCACTCGTTTCAAAGGCGAGAATGTCATATTTTTCGGCTGGAATCCAATAGTCGGTAGCAGGTAGAAATGGCTCTTGTGAAAGTTTTGCTGATATCACGGAGGAACTAACCATTGTCAGGGTTGGAGGAGATAGGCGATATGCTGTGTGACCTAAAAAGAAATTTTTAACACTTAAGGCTAGCTTGCGTATCTTATATTCTGATTTCATTGTAATGTATCTAATTTATCGAGTTTTTTGTTCAATGTTAAATTATTAAAAATGAAAACAAAGCATAGGGGTTAATTGCATGCAATCCTAAGATGTCGGATTTCACCGTTGGTACTGATAGATTCCGTCGGGTTTCATAATAAAATTTTTCGCATGGCAAATCACACGAGAGTCGATCCGATCCGGATCGGATTTAAAAGAGTACGGATAGGCCTTGCGTTTATACAGGAAATGGTGGCTCCGTATACTTTTGGATCCGCTATCCGAACACTTTTGGGATCGCTTTAAGAGGTGTCCCGTATGGATCCGATCTGGACCGGATCCCGTGTAAGCGTTATTTATCGAAAATGAGACAGAATATTTTTCAATCAAGGTAGTTTCAATATGTAAGCGTGGCTTTTTGCACCAGAAGATCGAACATCAAGTTGACAGACTACTGTGTTGAAGATTTATTACGAAACTTTGTCTACGAAAATTTACTCTTTTTAGCATTATCTCCCTCCATGTTCAGGTTGAACTGTGTTTTGATCACGCACGAAGTTCCAAAAATGTAATATGCGCGCCAATTTTCGAAAAGCGCATGCGTGTAACCTGTTGAACAGACGATGCGGTGATGATATGGTTTATATTCTGATTTTATAAGCTATCAGGCTTGGCAAAAAGAATACCAGCAGAACGATTACTTCACTTGCCATCTTGTCTGGAAATTGTTTGTGAGTGACGTCAGCGTTTTCGAAAAGATCCGTTTTTGCCGTCCACACATGCACATGAAAACGGTGCTTTCAAAAAGTTTCATATTTTGAACGGAAGGTGAAAACGTATAAAAATAATTGCGTTTTCAAAATATCCGTCACTGTGTGGACGGGGTCTAAGATTTTATTGAATTGTGAAAAATTGCAACTAAAGCACCGTTCAAACGATGCCGATTTTATTCCTTACAGGGCACACTGAGGCCCAGTTGATTTCTGACCGGACATTGTAATCGAGGCCCTGTTAATTTTTGACCTGATATGGTAACTGAGGCCCAGTCCCAACTCTTGCGGAATAATTTCTAACCGGACAAAGAGCGTCCATTTTTTTTAGCCGGCTTAAAAGCAGGAATGGCGCGTTTGGTCAATTGGGTCAAGGTATAAATGGACTCCAGCACAATTTATTTAATAATCACACTTTATAAGAACAATAAGGCTGGATTTGCGCAAAAATTAAAATCATCGTAAAAACGTCCCAAGCATTGTTTAAAAATTTAGAAGACAAAGCAATATATTTTTGGAGATTTCCACTCATGTCGACAAAACAGAGCCAGACGCAGTCTAGGCCGGCTGCACAGGTTTAAAAAATCCGGTCAAATCCTAAGAGCTATGTTTCTCTGTAAATCTTGAATTTTGATCTAAATTTCAATTGCAACAATGGCTGCATTTCTCCCTGACTGACTACAGTTCTTCTGTTTATATACTGAATTGAACCCTCAAAAGAGTTCGACAGAGTTTCCAGCTTCCTTATTCATCTTTTATCCCAAAGTATCTCAAAATTCAAAATTCAAATCGAGGAAATCAAGTAACCACACGAAGTGACAGTTTGGAGTATGCTATCTATGCGCAATTATCGTGTGAAATGATTGACTCGGATAGATTCATCCTCTTCATACCAATAAAGCCATTGTTTTAAAGTCTACTCATTCATAAAAAATTGGTCAGAAAATTCAAAGAGTACTTGTTTGTTGGAAGGTGAAATTATATTTTGCCTATTATTTTCCATGATACAGTGAAACTACCTCGTTTAAAATAACGTTTTGGACAGAATTTTTGGTGCCTGCAACCCGAATTTTAATACAACCTGATTTTTTCTTCAAATTGTCCAACTATCAGAGCGGTAGTGTCCCGGAAAAAACGGAAATTAACTCAGTATGTTTTGTCTTGATGCAATGCCAGCGCGGGCTGTCACACCCCCCCCCCCTCACATATACCACCCCTATTTTTTAAGATTTTATTCAAGAATATTATTCTAAATCATTGTGTTTGCCAAGAATATTTTTGTTGGGTGTTCCAGAAAATACAGCTTTTTTGGCAACGGTATTAATCTTTAGAAATGCTGATCAAATGAATTTTTATCAGAGATAATTGCACGAAGGATGTTGTAGAATTTAATTTCACTAAAGGGTTCTTATTTTACTTGAATTGTATTATTCACATGGAGACATTTACGTTCATGCTTTCATTTTTGCATAACACCTTTGTGTACTTCATTTGATGGCTTTCGGAATAATAGAGAAGAAAGTTCTGTAGTTTGGGATTTTGCCCGAAAGCTTGTCCCATGGCTCAGATGATTGTATTTAAGTGTTTGGGTGGGCTTTATCTGTGCCTGTTTGGAATGCTCTTCGAGGCTGGTCTCTCCTCCCATCCCTCACTCCCCTTTTGGTATAAAACATGGTGTTTTTCCTCGAGCACTTGTTACTTCTATTGATCTCTTAGAGGTTATGTTTCCTTTTTATCGATGGATTCCTTATCCAAATATGAAATTGAATTACAGTAATTCATCTACACTTTGTAAAGATGTTTCTATTTTTGATGTTAGATTTAATAAGAATACAACGTGAAACTGAAAATCTAAGTTGATGTCAATCAAATTGATCTTCATTGCGTCTTTTTTATTGTCCCAATCAAATTCTGGTTCATAAAAATTCAAGTTTATCTAGAAAGTTGATATCATCTTGAATGAAACTTGATAAGCATTTTTATTATAACTTGAGAGCTATGCTATGATTTAGCTTTGATTGCTTGTGATACAGTTGATTTGTATTTTGTATTTTCCCTTTAATTTTTCCCTTGCAATATATTCAAGATTCTGCTTTCAAAGTATTTGCTATACGTAACCACACATGATATTCCTTTGTCACTTTCACTTTTTAAAATGAGGTTTCTGTCGCTTTTCAAATCCATAATTCCATTCCACTGGTCTTTCATTAAATTGTAAAGTACATTTTGTGTTCTAGAAATAGCTCTTTAAGCATTTGATAGTTAAGAATACTTTAAGAAACATTCACCACTGAAAATGAGTGTGTCCTACGTCGGCTGGTAGAAGTTTCCAAAGCAAAGTGAAAACTCAAGTTTGTCTGAAACTCTTTTTCATGTAGCATTAAAATTCAAGTGGAGCCTCAGAGGCCGAAACAGAATCTACTTATCTCTGTTCATCTAATTGGAAGATTTGATGGAGGAAAGAATATTTCAAGAAAACTTACTGCCGAGGAGATTCTTCAGTTTTCCGCTCCAAGAAGAACTATAAGCATTGGACCCATGTTTATATTGGACTTCGATCCAATCGCGACCTTCGCTTTCAACTCTCGTAACTTCTACAGGATACCATGTAGAGTTAATGAAACTTCCACCATCAAAGATTGTTGGGTACTTACTATAGATAAAGGAACCATAATTAATGCTAGGTACTTTTTCTAGTCCAATGAATTAAAATTTCATTTTCTTTAATTTTTTTTATCTATGGCAACCTTTCGATCAAGGGACTGATTTACATGAAAAATTTTCAATTAACATACTAAAAGTAACTGCAATAGTGAAAATATTATAAAAATCATTTCAAATAAAATATAATTCAGCAAAAGGTATTAAGAAAGAGTAAAGTTTTATTGATTCTTCATGAACAGATACGAAATTCTCACGGCTTTCGTGAAAGTCTTAAGATTTGTCATATTTTAAGCCTGTTTAGACAAACCATTCCAAAGTTTCGTACCCTGGTAAGAGAAGCTTTTCTATCCGATGGTCGTCCTTAGCAAGGGGACGCTCTCTTTCAACTCACTTTACAAATAATCTTTGAGTAGTGGTGGGGCTAGCTTCACAAAGGTATATAGGATGCAGTTAAAGTAAATTTTTTGCCTAAGCAATTTTTTTGGAAGGTCTAAGCAATATTTTTTGCAAAATCAGACAAAGTGGCATTTTTAACGGGTCACTATAGCCTCTCGCGCCCCACATTCTGCTGATAATTATATCCAGAAAAAGACAGATTGCTGTTGTAATACCATCAGTAATAGTACAGGGCCGCCGGACGCAGGTTTGAACAGGGGGGGGGGGGCAAAACACATAAAAAGGGCACAAATATTTTTTCCCGAAAAATAAGTAAGTGCCAAAAATGGTACAGATTTCACGATAATTCAGACAACTAAAAACTAAAAAACTAAAAAATTGAACTAAACTAAAAAAATTATGACACGTTGGACATAATAATGATATTAATTTTCATACTTTCATATTTAAACAATTTCGTCCCCCTTGGAATTCGCACCATCCCCACTAAAACACAAATTTGTTTGACTCCATGAAATTTTTTTTAAAAGCTACAAAATTTTATGGCTAAATCATATTCACGCAATCGGCTGAAGGTACAGGCACATTCTTCACTGTCGTAGCAAATTTAATTTGCAACATTGATTCGGTTTATCTCGTCAGCCTTATGACTAAAACATGTTTTTAACTCTCCCTAAACTTGATCCCGGGGGGGGGGGGGGGGTGGGGCTCAGTCTGTTGGTAAAACGTATTACATGTGAGTTCCGAGAACTTCGAAAAAAGCTAGAATTCTGGGACATAGAATCTTGAAAATTGGGTTGCATTCTTAATCGGTCAGAGGAAACAAAAAAAGGCAGGTATTTACTGATATGATGTTGCAGATAACTTTTTAGATAAATCAATGGCATATTGAAATATAACAATTTTTGCAGTACGTCTAGTCTTGTATATTGTTCTAATCCTAGATAAGAAATTTGAGTCTTTGTTAGCATGTATTCATTGCAGGGACACAACTTCTTCATTTCTTCATAAAAAAAATTGAGCACAATGTTGTGAAGCAAGCAATATGTCGCAGTTATAGTTTTACAGATGTCTGATTTTGTTAATATATATGTCAAGAACCACTAGGGATTGTTGTTGAAATCAAATTTAGTGAACTCTGCTTTTTAACTTGTCTATTCATAAGTTTAAGAAAAAGAATGGTTCTGACATGAATTGGTATCAGAAATTCCTGCTCAAGCCCTTAATATTATCAGTGAAAAAAGTTACACAATTTTGGCAAAGTCACAGAATAGGGTACATTTTACGCATCCCGGAATCAGAGGTAGGGCTCCAGTTTTTACTTTCAAGAACACACACGATATACATTGGACCAACTGACTGTGCCCGCCGGGGACTTGACCGGACCTTTCACTAATGCGTTTGTTGCTGAAGACATACTAGAGAGTTTATTAAGCCTGCTAAGGAAATTTTCTCGCGGAACTGGCAGTCTCCTTCGCAGTTGATATTGTTCATCACAGGAGCTTGCGCTTTTTGCAGCAAAACCAAGTACAATTTTCAATGAATGGTCCTCCAACAACGTCCAGCGGTATGTTATTTTACTTAGTTTCTAAAGGCAGAATATCTGGCATTGAAAAAATACACGCAATATATTTCAAAAAGGGGCATTTATTTATACTTTTTGCAAACAGGGGGGGCCTGTGCCCCCGTGGCCCCCTGGCTCCGGCGGCCCTGTAGTAGAATGGAAAGTTAAGCTTTGCTAAAGAAATAATTAACTGTAGTAGTAGTAGTAGTTTGTTTATTTTGATAGGGTATTTGTGGACAAAGGAAATAAATGCTTAAAACTGTTAAAACGTTTACAGAAAATGCAGCACATCATTTTCATGCTTTGACACGACGCCACTGAATACAAGCAGAAAGAAAGTAGACTTACATTAGGTCAGCCGTTTTAACAATCTCTGTGGTACTGCTTTTAATTATTTTTAGCTCAGCTATCTCGTTAGCATGAAATTTGAATTCGTATTGAGTATTTTCAGGAAAATTAATGTAGCCAGCAAATTTCATGGCATAGTATTCAGCCAAATCCTGATCCGGTTCGTACAATGTCGGCAGACAACAGTATGAAGAGGGGTTGTCAGGGAAACTAGCTGCGTTGTCCTTGTAGAACTCTGACATTTTCCGCGAATTATCCCAAATGATTCCGTTATATTGCTGTCCCAACAGTCCTTGCCATCTATAAAGTGCTGAAAAATTTGAAGAAGAAAAATTTAAAGTAAAAATGTTACTCTAGCAGTTCTGTGATTTTGAGAAGCGTTTGACAATTTTAAAAATGTTAGATTTCTGTTCTGTTTGAGAACTGTTTTCTTTTTTCTTTGGGAATATTGTTGCTTTCGTCATTCCTTTTTTTAAGGATGGTAAAATAATTTACACTTTTTTCTTCTTCCTCAAAGGTCCTATGTTCATGACTATTTATGTGCGAAAACTGTTATGACTAGCCTCACGAAACACGAAATCAAACGTTATTAAGAAAAGGAATCAAGGAATCTAAAGACAGATGTATAAATAACAATGACCAAACGTAGAAATTATCACAGGTAAATCTGTCTATTAATTTGACCATTGAATCGAGGGCCATTAAAAACTTTAGCACCGTAAGGAGTAATGGCCCAACAGATTAAAGGTAAATTCAGAGTTTCAACATTATGAAAAGTTGACCACATTTTAGAATTTTCAAGACCATACTTTAAAATGCCAAGTCCATAAAGTGTGGCGAAGATCACACTAAAATAGGCACTTATGGTTGGCAACGGTGCAGCGCAACTGTTGGTTTTACAAATCGCACCGGGTCGTCGCACTCGAGATATGCTCGGTGTATGATTCGACTCTGTCTCACTATGCCGAACCAAAGGCAAAATTAGCTTTGTGACGTGCCTTACCAACGAAGATTCACTTTGTTCGTTGGGGTGCATCACGATATGCGGTGCTGTAGAGACTAAAACAATATACTATCATGTGAAATGTGATGGCGTCATGTGACAGATGTGAAAGACGAGAGTGTAACAAAATTAATGATGTCATATTTTCAGCCCAGGGTAAAAACTACAGTACAATCAATTACTTACTCGTTGATCTCCATACAAATCTTTCATCAATCGGGTTCACTTTTGTGCCATCCGGAAACTCAACTCCAAGGGCTGCAAAGTCTTCAAACTTGCCATTGCCATACATATACAGCCTGACCAAGTATCGGAATCCATTCATGAGATTCACAGGTTGAGATTTTTTTCTTAAAAAAGATTTGGGTACTTTTAAATCTTTCTACAGGATTTTTTTAAAATAAGAAGTAGCTGTGACGTAGCACCAACGTTCTACAAAAGTTTGTTTGTTCACCACGTTTTCTTGAACATTTAGAAACAATCCACTAATGTTTAGTCGCAGCAGCAAAATGATAAACCAAGAAGCGGTTTACGAAGCACACAGATATCTGCACAAATATTTCATTTCACTACTGTGTACGTCATAACCACGCAAAGATTTCTAAGCATAAATTATGCATAAATTGTTTCCATAGGCATTGATTTTTAAGTACATTGTTTTTTCATAAAATGCATTACATAAGACAACAAGAGCAACGCAACATTGACTTGCCAAAAATAACATAAAAAAAGACAATACATGCAAAGTGTCAGATGGAATACTAAAAATTCCAAAAAGGTAACGAGAATTGGATTTGGAAAACAAAAGAAACTTTAACAAGTGGCAGCTTCTGCTGGAAAATTTCCTAGCATGAAAAATCGAATGTAGGCCCCTAAATGGTAAAAATAATGACATCATATAAACATATCCTATAAGAAACACATTTTCAAAGTCACTCCAAATTCCCGAAGTCAGTGTTGAAAGAAGCAATCAGAATTGAAACGAGAATGCACTCATTTTTTTCTATAAGAAACAAAGGTCAATGTTGAGTACTCCTGTTTCTTAATGTTCTGGAAATTTCAATACTCATGTTTCTTAAAAGTTTCGTAAATATAATGAATGATGTTATGAAATGTTCGTGACATTTATTCACGTCAAGAGTTCGCTTCCGTTCCGATGCTGTGTTTAGATGTTGGAAGTATATTTTTATCTCTTGTGTCTTGAGTTCTAGGCCAACAGGACAATCATGTTCTTGGATTTTACAAAATTTCGTTGTTCTCAGTTTTATCACGATTCAATAGTTTCTAAATTTCATTGATTCGAATACTGAAGTTTCTTAATTTTTTTTGATTGTCCAGTTCTTGTTTCTTTTAGCCAGTTTCTTATATAAAAAAGTGAGTGTAGTCAACGTCGACTTTTGTTTCTTATAAAGAAATAAAAGTTTGTATTTATAATTTAAAAAGATAATGAATGTCAAGTTATTACCTATCGTTCCAATCCAAGGTTGTTCTTTCATTCGTCGTCAATATTGTTTTGACGCCAAATGGCTTCATTTCGATCTCAAGTTTGCAATGGTTATTGCATATAACAAAAAACTTGTGATTTCCTGATTGTGGGGAAACAAAATATGCACTGAAGCGACAATGTTGGTAAGTGCCTTTTATCAGCTGGTTCTTCTCAAATTTATTCAAGTTCTCTGTGTGAGTTGGGCAGCCAGGATAATTAGGTATTTCGTCAAACTCGTTCAGTTGGTAGCCTTTAGATGTAAACATCCATCGCTCTAAAAACAGCCCACGACCTGGCTTGTAAAACCCTGAAATTGAATCATTGAAATATCAAATCAAAATTAGCATTTTATCAAAGCTCAAAATACAGAGTTATGAAAACATGCAGAGACTTTGAAAGGTTAATATCGGCTAAAAATAGATGTTTAATTGAAGGTTTTTGAATTTCTGCTATGTTGGAATTCTTTCAGTGGCATTAGATTGGTACAATCACTGCCTAAAGTATTGGAACACAAATGTCATCTTCAAAGGCAAAATCAGCCAGCCCTCTCTCAATCTAGGAATGTTTCTTTTAGGCAGGGAATTTTCCTCAACAATCTGAACTTCGACCTAACTTTGAATTTCATTTTACGATAATAGCAATTCGACCATGCTGATTCCAAATCCGAGATGGGCCCTTTGAAATTTCGACCGGAAGTGTGAATGTTTGATGACGTCACAGAGGGACATTTTTGCCAGTAAAACACTCAAAGCGGGGCAAAAATACACGTAAATTGAGTGATATGGTCTCAATCGATAGTTCTCGATGTTATGATTTGAATGGTATATAGTTCTCAGAGTTTTGGAGATGTCAGCAAAAAAATTGATGACGTCATCATTTGGCAAAATAGTAGAGTACTAGCCCCAGTTACGCGCGCTACGCGGGCACACTGCAGCCTTTACGTCCGCGAGTGTAAAATTTCCATCAGCAAAGACAAGAAGTCTGTTAAAACTGCCAATGAATGATAATAAAATTAGCCTTGGTAAAGACAAGAATTCTGTCCAAGCCCCCAATGAATTATAGGAAATTCGCCCCTGAAAGAAAAGACAAAATGTCTAGCCTCTATCTCAAATTGAATGGACACGCCCCATAGGGGTCACGTGATAAAAAGCAGCTTGCTCTGCTAAAAAATTTAGTAAAAAAAATCACTCGCACTCCTGTGACTATCGCTAGGAAGGGGGCTATTGGCAATAGGCTCCTTTTCAACTGATGTGTACTAAAAGTTTTCCTATTTTTCAGTGTTATTGCACTATAAAATAGTAATTACTTTTTCACTGAAAATTGATAGATGTAAATTTGTCTCTTTTAAAAAGGCTAATGCTGCTAATATAATCTATTATATAAGCTATAGGGTGCCTGCGCAGCAGGTTTAAGACTTTTTGAAATTTTATTAGGCATCTGGTACACTTGCCCTTTAGACCAGTTTATGGGTTAACCTTAAACCTCTCCCGCTCTTTGTTTTGTATCACACGTTTAAAAAATGTTACAATATACTTCTTTAAGCTGTTGTTGACCTGTGATAAATGTTTCAAAATGTTTTTGAGATACCGTCATAGCACTGCTATTTATACTGAAGCAAATGATTCTAAATTTCCCACAAAAAATCTTCAGTGGCCATGGACTCATTGGGCTTTCGTTAATTATATACTTGTTATTGTTGAATGTTATAAAAAACATGAAAAAAACAAGTTGAGTGAATTCAGAGAGTATAGAAATTACGCGAAAAACGCAAGTTTAAGGGGTCTCAACGTCTTTTAAGAACTCTTCATTGTCCAAATCTGTTATGAGGATCTCATCGAAGTATCGATCGATGATGCTCTGCAAGACAACGATTCGAAACCTCGCCGTCCGTAACCGCGCCAACGCCACGCGATTGGAAGTTACCGCCAATCTTAAGCATAGCGGGTAAGCGAATGCTGTTGATTACAATATATTCTTAATGTTAACTTGACCACAAGGTATCTATTTAATCATATCTGTCAGAATCATCATTATCGCTTTCGTCACTTGACGAATATCCAAAAAATATATACTCCAACTAGCACGTTTTTGGGAAGGAGAATTGCTTCTTGTTTTAATTGCAGATTCCTTTGACGAAGGCAATTGACTTCCTGAAAGTGTAGTAGAAATGGCACCATTGAATTTTGCACAATAAATACTTTTCAAAATCTTTTTCCTACTAAAACGGATTTTCTAGTACAATGGTTGTATATTTTGCTACCTACTAAACGACTAGCTAGTAAATGGAAACAGGAATTACCAGTAAACCATATTGGCACCAAAATTCCGTTTTGAAGATCCTTCTTCTAGCCACAATCTTCAACTCTAATGTTAGTGACTGTATAGCTTTCGAATTGTAGCCAATAATATGCCTGGAAATGTACACGTAGCAAGGCTTGCCGCAATGAATCAGGATCGGGTGGGATTGCCTGTGACGCTTTGGTTTTCAAGGACTTGTAGAGACGTATGCACGTTTCCACTAATCATTCTGTTTCTTTGCCAGATGCATTACTGTTTGAACAAATTTCATACTTTCTTCAAGTCCTTTCTCTGATAAAATTTCACTTTGGCCAATAGATTGTAGCAAATCTAGTAATTCTGGCTTTTTCTTCACTTTATTTAAAACTTTGATCTTCCGAACCCCAAAGAAAAAGAAAGTTGTGTCACAACCTGTCAGACTGTGCAATTGTGGCAAGTAAGACGATATTTTAGAACCAAGGTATTTGTTCACTTTGCCTATGTCCACGTATTTATCATGATATATTTTCATGTACCATTTGTTGCAAGGCTGAAGCTTACTGTAAGCATAGACCAGCAGAATGAAAACGTCAGTGCCTTTCGCTACTATTACGACATTTGTGTCCTGAAGAGAAGCATGCAATAAGTCTCGTATGAGCTTCTTCATGATCGCACTTGAAAAGTTTGTTAGAAGTAGTTTTCGTAAGCGCTAATGTATTTTCATCACACGTTAAGATAAACGGGACCGATATTAATTTCCTTCCTTCTGAATTTTGAAAAAAATTTGCTGCCAGCTCAATCAATTTTTTTTTGTTTTCAATGTTGTTGAACAAAGCATTCCAGGCATTTCCTTGAAGCATCTTTTGATCATATCCCTGAATGTGAGGACGGGCAGACTCTTCGCCCCTTATTTGCCTTGTGCCACTTTTACGCTATCTTTCCTGTATGTATCGTTTGTCATTTCAACGGAGAGAGGGTGAGACTGAATAGGTGGTGTCGAAAATTTTGGTAGGGCAAGAAGCTATTCCTTGTAGGTTTCACGAGCTTTCACAGTAATTCTCCTTCCCAAAAACGTGCTGGATATGCACCTGAATTCAAGGTTGACAATCAAGGAATATGTGAAGAAACAGAAGATTTGGAGTATATATTTTTTTGGTAATCGTCAAGTGACGAAAGCGATAATGATGATTCTGACGGATCTGATTGGCTACCATGATTTAGTTAAATAGATACATTGTGGTCAAGTATTAGTTAGCATTAAGAATCTATTGTAACCAACAGCTTTCGCTTACCCGCTATTCGTGCTATACTGTACTGTTTTGCCAAATGATGACGTGATCAATTTTTTTGCTGACATCTCCAAAACTCTGAGAACTATATACCATTCAAATCATAACATCGAGAACTATCGATTGAGACCATTTTCACTCAATTTACGTGTATTTTTGCCCCGCTTTGAGTGTTTTACTGGCAAAAAATGTCCCTCTGTGACGTCATCAAAAATTCACACTTCCGGTCGAAATTTCAAAGGGCCCATCTCGGATTTGGAATCAGCATGGTCGAATTGCTATTAACGTAAAATGAAATTCAAAGTTAGGTCGAAGTTCAGATTGTTGAGGAAAATTCCCTGCCTATTTACCATAGAAGAAAGAAAGGGGGAATTGAGTCAGTTTTTTCTTGTGGCTTGTATCACTGTTGCCCCAATGCGCATGTGTATAACACTTCTCATTGGTTCGGACAAATGGATAGAATCATTGCAAAAAAAATGGGAACCTAGACTTGTCTTCCCCACAAGTATGATCATAATGTCTAGCACAAAACAGCTATTGTTTTCAATTATGATGCAGCAGCCAAAATGGTGAGTGTTAGCAGGGAAAGAGGCAAAAAATTAATTTTTTTTCCTAGCCACAGACGGTGTATTGGACGAATATAGCCAAATAAGTCCATGTTACATTGCATACTCAAGTGCTTATCCTCCCTTTCGTCAACAGCAAGGATAAGCGGTTGGCTTAGTGGTTAGAGTCACTGGCTACAGACCCAGGGGTCCGCGGTTCGAGTCCCTGGCATGACTAAATGCCAGCACTCTGCAATTCCAACCAATCAAACATGTCAGATTGTAAGCATGTGACAAACAACAAACGTTAGGACTTGGGTAAAGCGTCCACTACAAGATTAAAATACAAAGGGGTACGAAAAGAGAGTTTCAATAGATTTATAAAGATGTTACCTTTTAAATCATATACTCTATCGTAATCTCTAAATAATAGATCAAGCGTCTTATTTCAAACTATTTCAAACGATTGCTATCATGTATCAGGTAGAGTAACAGATCCTTGAGTGAAAACACACTACGAAATGTTTGAACAAGACAATCTGTATAAATTCTATTACGTTAAATACGATATCTATCCATGAGATAGGTGATTTTGAAACTTCTACATACTTGCGGGTAAAGAAACGGAGCTGCTAACAGCTCTGATTGCTACCATAGCAACAGGAAAATACCAAAGAGCAAACATCGTCTTTTAGGCTGCTACCATCCCCTTTTCGTCCAACAGTTCTATAAAAAGATAGGTTGGCATCTAAAAACTAGCTGTTCATTATTAGATATCAAACGATTGTGTTGTTTCTCCCTTTCTCGCCTTCTTTTAAATTTGCTTTGACAAATTATGCTCGACTAGTTTTTTTACATTAATCAGAAGAAAAGAATTACCGGCAAGTGATAAAATGTTTTAAAAACTAAAGGCCTTAGTTCTAAACGACAGCGCATAAAAATTTGATAGCCTTGCTGAGCTGATTTAAATGCAGGAACCTGTCATTAATAAATAATGGCTTAGGCGATGAAAATATTTGGATGATGAAAAAAACACGAGTTATCCTTAAAGGCAATCGATTTATTCTGAAGTGGCTCAAGCCTTTTGTGAATCAACAGTTGGCCAATCAGTCGACGTGATACCCCTCACAGGCCTATTGATTGGCTAACTTTGATTGACAAATGGCTTAAGCCTCTTAAGGCTGATTTCCACTAGGCGAGTTCTTTCGCGCGAATCGAATTTTTTGCCAATGTAAAGCCTGATTTCCACTAGGCGAATTCTTTCGCGCAAATCGAGTAAATAGTCGTAGCAAAAGAGTAGGACCATTATCTACTTTCTGCGAATCGAATTTTTTCGATGCGAAAATTGAGAACGTGACACCACGCATGCGCACATTGGCAAAAATTCGATTCGCGCGAAAGATTTGGCCTAGTGGAAATTAGCCTTAAGCATGCGTGATGTCGTGTTCTCAAATTTTGCAGCGAAAAAATACGATTCGCAGAAAGTAGACCACGGTCCTACTCTATCGCTACGACTATTTATTCGATTCGCGCGGAAGAGTTCGCCTAGTGGAAATCAGGCTTTAAGTATTTGTCGATTGGCTTTAACTAATGATTTAAAATTATTTTTGATAATTTAAATGTTGACGCAGATGTCTGCATAAATCAAAATCCTAACTGATCTGTTTAAGAAAAAAAAGGAAAAACATAAAAAGCAAGAATGTATCCAGTAAATGAACGAGAGGCAATAATAGTGTAAAAATTTTGTCATTTGTCATAAATTTCATTTGTCAGAATACAGAGCAAAAAGGATTATAACGAAATCTAAAAAGACTTTCAAGACAAAACAAGACAACTTTCTTATCTTTCGAAAGAATAATAATCGTATGCAAGGAGTCAAAGAGACAAAATCCCCAACATTGGTTTAGGTAAAATCCTACTTTTAAATCAGTTGTTTTCCAACAAAATGCGTCCAAACGCTTCTGTGCAATGGGTCGCTTGATGATTGCATTAAATGTGAAACTCAACGTTACAACTAAGAGTTGTCCTGCTGTATACACCAATGGGTGTGAACTGCCTATACGATATCGAGAACTGCATTATATACCCAAAGGGGATTCTCATACATATTTAGAATCGGGGTGCTAAGCCTGGGTATAAGCCGTCATCCCAAAATATTAATTTCGAGCTTTCAATTTGATCAAAAGAATAATTTTTCGTCCTGCACAAGAAAATTTGGCCACACTTCCAGAATTTTATAAATTGCCTTGTTCAAATTGGCGAGCATATACCTGGATATCCAAGAGTGCTGATGCCTTTCATTGGAAGAGAGTTTTAAAAAATACACTCATTCTCGATAAGAAAACGAAGGTCGACGTGGCATCTGCAAACAGTAAGACTCGTCAATGCTTCTATTGATTTATAATACTTGTGGCATTTCTATCAAGAGATTTGAATTCAGCAAGTCGTATTGACGGATTTTAATGAAATTTTCAGAGTTCTGGCTTACTCGTTACTTAGAGCGAGCTTCTTAAAGAATGAATGTAGTTTGACTCGGATTCACATCGACTTTTGGGCATTATCAGATTCAATTATCTCCTGACTTCTTTTGATTTGAGTATCTAAGTTTCTGAAGTTTTTTGCGATTGTCTAGTTATCCTTTCTTATAGTGAGTTCCTTGTAAGAAAAACCGAGCGTAGCCGTGAACAAGCTGACCGAAAATTTGCTATGGCTCGCATGTCTGTCCTCTCAGTTCAGTAAAGTAAAACAAAGTCAAACGTGTGGTTTGCTTACTTGTTTTATATGATTATCAGTTTCAATTCAGATGCAAATATATCTTTCCTGTTTTTAAGGCTGTATCTTTAATGAAATACATACTGTTATGATCCGACAAAGATTCCGGGTACATGACCAACCAGGATACATGGCACACAATCAGAACAGCATTGTTTCTGCTTAAATGTTTTTATCCTGATGAATATCATCTTTGTACTGATTAATGCAATCCTTGCACAATTATAATGTTCTTTCTCGAGGGTTTTTTATTTTTTCATAATCTGCCTCTGTGTGACACAACAATATCTCAGAGTGGCCGGAAAGTTGAGAACCAGCTCTACAAAATCCATTCTCGCTTTACTGGACTGTTTCGAGTCAATTTGCATTGTTCCTGTTCGCCGTTTATTCTTTTGACTGTCTAATGAGGTCGCAAGACATCAGAGGAGCTCGAGTATAGTTTAAACAGAATCTATCTGTCTATAAAAAGTTAATTATTCCTCTGTGCAGTGCGATTCAAATTCACCTGTTTGACTTTCAGTGACCCGAGATATATCAGACCAGAAGTTCCGCAGGGCTGTATCTTTGACTCATTGCTTATTAAATCTCTTATAATTGCATAAAAAGTTACATCAACGTGCTACTTCAATAAAACTTAAATTTGATAGGAATTTTAAGGCTGAAACATACCTTTTACTTTCCAGTGTACCTTCCACCTTCTAATGATCCACGAAGTGTCACTGAATACCGTTTATCAAATATGCATTGGTGAATACATTGTGAGCTCTCTCGTAGTTAGTTTGAATTGTGGATTGAAACATTAATCGAGGCTTACCCACAATCTGCTAATCACCATCGCTATTAGATGTTTATAAATGCCCTTAGAGGAAATTTGACCAAACACCTGCAACACCTTCAGTTGAATTGACATTGCAAGAGCTCCAATCAAAGTAGGCAAAGATGGCCATCAAGGTCAAATTGAAGACCCATAACAACAGAATTTGCAAAAAGGCATACTACATTGTAGAAAAATGGAAGACATGGTCTCCACCTCCTCCCCCCTTCGTCAGAAGCCTTGCATTGTTGCCACATATAGAAAGATACTGGCGGGTCGAGAAGGCCCGTTATTGTGTCTTTGTAAGAGCGCGTGAAACAGAGAAAAAATCAGTAACTAAGGGCCTGCTAAGAGTGTCAAATCATTGATTTAATTTGGTTTTACAGCTAATTCCTCGAGTATAGATTCAGTTCTCAAATAATATATACTACCAGAAGATGCTTCTGGGAGTCATACGAAAGAAATTTACATTATTGCAAAAAATACACAACCTAGTGTGGAAATAATAGAAGTTTTCGAGAGCCCCGGATTTGATTGTAACATCTTTCTCGTTTTGCTCTATTCCTCGGGGGGTGGTGGGGGTTGGGATTGGGGGCTTCCTCGTATCGTTCAAAGGAGTATTTGCTAGCAGTGTAGCTTGTAGTATGTATTGTTATGTTTTAGTATAAGGTTAAAAAACCATCTTTTTTCTTATTGTTGCTTATTTTTCAGTTAACGTTTTGGTTTTGGTTTAGCTACAAAGCATTTGCCTCAGCAAAATTTAGCTTAAAAACTCGATTTTTATTGTAAAAAAAGCATTTATGCAGTTTATAATATTTATAATAATTTTAAGTAACAATTATATGTTATATATTTTATTTTTTAAAGTATTTTATGTTTTTTGTACATATGACAACAATTTCAATCAATTGAAATTTAGGTTACTGCATATTTAGTAAGTTAAGATATTTTATAGTCAATAGGCATATCCACTGTACTCTCATCAGAGTCATAATTGGTCTTTTCCTGATAAACAATATATGGGTTATTTTGTCCAAGGTCTTCTCTCAAGTCTTCATGAAAAATCGTTAGGTTCGGCATGATTGCCTTCAGGTCCTTCACATCCATTCGCACAAGACGCCATCTTTCCTTTGTATGTTTTTTGTCAAAAAGTTCTGCCTGCTTTGAGAGATTTTCCACCATATCATTGATCAGTTTGTCTGCTTGATGAAACAATTCCTCAACCGGCATTGGCTGCGTAGCAACTTTAGTCCGCCCTATAGAATAGAACCTTGCTCAGAGTAGTTGCTAAAAAGATGACACTCAAGCCTATTTTTAAAGGCTGCACCTTATTCTTGATAAAGTAAGATATATATCCTTCTGAAAAATGAATTTTTAAAAATTCCCTTGCTTCTGCACGACGTTTACCTAGATTAACAGTCGGTGGTAATTCCATAATTTATTAGAAATAAATGTTTTGATCATTTTGCTAAAGAAAAAACCAGCATAAAACCGTGAAGTTTTGGCGAAAAGCACAAATAAAAAACCTGGAATTTGACATAGAATCTATATCAAACCAGTATAAATATCTGATGCAACTATGATAGAAATTTCTGTTTCTCGGTCTGCCATCATTCAATAAATTTTCACAAGGCTGTGAAAACTCCCCCCCTGTGACACCATGCCCCAACCTCCCCTACCCGAACCCATTTGCCGGAGATTTGCATGTTTTCGATGAACCAGACGGTTCTAAGCTGCTACTCCAGGTTCCACGCTAAACGCGATCATCATTAATATTCGTAATAAGATTTTCCATATAAAATGTTGCGCTAGATCAGATCATTAAATGTTATATTAGAAAGGGATTTTCGATGAAAAATCAGCAACAAATTGAACATTTAATATTGAATGACAGAGTGTAATCAATAAATTTAACTAAAACATGTGAATGTCTTACCTCTTACATATCTAACTGCATCATAGATCAAACCAAGAACGACTAGAAGAAACAACAAGATTCCACCATACTTTACTAGCATTGACGTAATATCCGCATCTTTCGACAATATCACCGGAATACTTTGTTCCTCACTGACATCTTCAGACTACATTAAAAAAATTACATTACAAAACCAGCGACAAAAACAAAGCTACATAAATTAAAAAGACTTTACTTTTGATTATTCATAGAATCTTGAGTAACTTAGTAATATATTTCCAGATTTTAAGACATTTCCCAAAAATTAAACAAACTGTAAGAATTGGAAGAAAGGTCCACAAAAACATAGTCTTTTTGAAGAGAAATTATTTGCGGGGGAATGTAAAGGGGGGAACATTGTTTATATAAGGAGGGAAACAATAGCTTATTTTCAAAACAACTGAAAATCACCGGGGCTGGTGGGGCAATTGCCCCCTAGTTAGCATGTAAAAATGGTCCTTCATTAAATTTTCATATGGCTGTTATGCTTCAGATAGAAAATGTTCTGCTCTTAGTGAAAACTCACAACAGCTGTGAAATTATTTTAAATAGTGTCATGTTGGAGCGATCGCCTTTCACAGCCAGAAAAACTGTTATCAAATATTTTATCTACGAAGCTAACTATATTCTATTTTCTTAGTGAAGTTTTTGCTACTAGTGTATCCTTGCAAAACTTAGAGTTAATCGATACCTCTCCTTTCTTTGTGAAAATTCAAATTTGAATCATTTCAATATGTCGAAAATCAACGGTTCAGAAAGATGAAACATAATTATGGGTACGAAACAGATTTCAGTCTGCTTAAAAGTCAGAAAATTAGAAAGAAATGTTTAAGCAACAGAAGAAATGTATCTCTTTGCATTGAAAAGGCCGAAGAAATATTGAAACAGGTAAAAATTCTACCTTAAATGAAACTGTATGTTTTGCAAGTTCTTTGAAGATCTTTGGTGAATTTTCTTTTACGTATCGATTCATACAAGACTTTAATCTTCGCGCCTCGGCAGCAAGAACGACTCCGTACGAGGCATCAATTGACACCAGTTTGTCAAACATTATGTCAGGATGCTTCAGTTGCTCTTTCATAGTTCCAGCTTCAAATGCCTCGATCATCACTTTTGTCACTGCATTTGACAGCAGGGAACTTTTGACTACCTCCGGATCAGCGGTGTTTCCTAAAATGGTCGAGAAGCATATGTTAGCAATGTTTCAGGAGTTAAGGACAATAAAATAAAAAAACATTGTCGTAGAAACGGTTAAGAGATATATTTATGGATTGAGGGATATAACCACCCTTTGCCTCTGTCGTTCTTGATAGAAAAGCAACTCAGATTTGCTATTCTGATTCAAGGGAAGCATATTTTTCATGCTGCGAGATAGCGCTTATGTTTCTAGATAGGAAATAAAGGTATGGCTCTAAGCGGCCTGATGGCAGAATAAACAAACGCACATTTCTCTTTACAGCATCTATTCCCATTCAATCTGTGTTTATTTTTGCAAAAAGACCTTTTAATAATTCTCAAACTGATCTATATAAGCCTTTCTAATAGATCTCCTTGAATAAAAGGTCTCGCCCATGATGTTTGGAGAAAAAGGCTCGGTGATTTTGGAGCAGAGGGATGTTGCCTTAATCAGTGCCAATTCCTATATTTTCTCATGTTTAATTTCATTTTGTTAAAGCCTAAATTGCGCCAGTACTGCAGTAAACTTTGAAAAGACAAAATAAGACAAACAAGTTCTAGTGTTGATAACAACATAATACCTATCACTTACCAGAAACAGTTTTCTTTCTCAGTTTTGTGATGGATATCATAAGTGTTTCGTTCGATGCCATTACCTAAGGCAAAATGATTGACAAATCAATATCCATGTATTAAAAAATGCATCGGGGACTTTTACTTCAATAAAATGTTTGTTTAACCGTCAGGAAAAAAATATCTGATATGCAGGAAATAATCGTGATTCTATTGAATAATGTTTGCATTCACAAGGCCAGGAAGGACGAGAATCTGAATTATCTAAACAGAAAAAGGTTAACGGGGCCTTTATGGCAGCATACAGGGCATATATCCCTGTATCCTCCTTCGAAGCAATGTTTGTTTGGCCAGAGAGATCTTTATAGGATGCTCAAATGAGTCTAGAACATGCACTGCATTTTGTTCATTAAGAGGTTCCCTTTAACTGAAATATCATAAAATTTTAGCGTTTGCTAGAGATATGCTTCTACTCGTTTAAGGTTTGGTTCAGCTTCCCATACGTGAACAAATCTTATGAATAATTCTTGTTTCTTTAAGCATGATGATCCTTAGTATCATGGCCTATCAAGTAGCCAAATAAGTTTTTGGTACCGCAAAACTTATGATTGCACGAAATACAGGAAACATAGCATACCAAAGCACTTTTCGTCCGACACTCTTCAAAGTATCAACATTGGATATGATGTGGATCGAAAGTCACGTGAGACGAAGAAAGACGCGTTTGAATGGTTATCTTGTAAAGCTTGAAAAGCCAAATTGGGAACTATTCTAAGTGGGATTATCTATTATACTACCTTTCACAATTAAGCACTGTCATAATAAGTTGCAAGTCACACATCATCAGTAAATGAATTAAATAAAATTAATAGGATGCTTGTCAATATTTTTTGTATATTTTATATTATGTAATTTCTTGCCAATATAATATTTCTTAGTAATATTTCTGACTAAACAATAGCCTTGCTCGAGCAACATTGCTTCTCCTAACTGGTATTTTGAACTTTCATAGAACGCTGGAATGATTTTAGAAAACCTTTAGAGAACGCGTTTTGACAAAACAATATTTGAAGTTGCCTAGATAATTTTGTTTGGTAGCTTATGACCCTGCATATAGTAACCAACAGGCCTACGAAAATCCAATTAGTGTGCATAATTAGTGTGCAAATTTACTTAATTGTTCAATAACTGGTATTTTTTTGGCATTCAGTAGGTGATTTGATGATTGGTCCTTTCTATAACCATGACGATTTACTAAATATTTAAAAACAGAAGCACCAGTGGCTTCTGAATCGTTTCTAATTAAATTTTAAAGAATTTTCGTGCTGTTATTGTCAACAGTATTCGTGGTGGCTTTATAAAAACAGTGACACAATATACATCAACGTTTTTTGGTATTCATTTTCAAACCAGTTGTCAACCAGGTCATTTAATAAATCATGTTCAACAAGGAGGTCAATATAATTTCCAGCAGGTATCTGGTTCCCGAAATCTCCAGAGACATAACAACCAAATATAATAACACAAGCAGAGAGATTAGTCTAACAATTGCCAGATGATCGCATTAAATCTTAAATTCAGAGTTGTAGCTACATTCATTTTTTTTAATAAGAAACAGGTTATAAGAAACCGTAGGCAAAATATTTCGAAAGTTAAGAAACAACCCTACCCAAATTGAAAAAAGCTAAGAAACTTTTATAATTTGCAGTTTTAATTTTCCGAGTTGACACTTGAAACAGTCTCGACATTAAACATCACTGTATATTGCAACACTAGATTTGACATGCAGTTTGCATTCATTCTCAGTAAACTGCACACTCAAGAAAATTCCATTTAAAAATTTGTTTTGACTTCAACTTGACATAGAGTACCGAAGTGTGACGTCACCAAAAAGTCTATTTTTAGAATTTCTAAAATTTCGCCACATAATCTGAAAGAACGGCATAAAATATCTTTTATTAGGTAAAATTAGTTGGATATGTTCCAAACTGGACGAGATATGGCAAATGGAAGATTTTCTGGCCTGGTTCATAAAGTTATGAACCAAGACCAAATTACAGAGGTTTGATGAGGCAAGAGCTTGTCCTTATGTGGCCATATCTAAGCCAATTCGTGATGCCTTCGACTAAGTTTGCATACTTAGAGGTATTTCATGATGCTCTTTTAAGTTCCGGGATCAGAATTCAGAAATTCTAAAAATAGATTTTTATGACGTCATCACTTCGGTAATCTATTGATGAAGTTCACAACAGTTGTCAGATCTCAACAGAGTTAAGGCCGGTTTACACGATCATATTCAGGTCACATTTGCATCACATATTTTATGTGATCACAGAATGTGACAGAAACTTCTTGTGCTTAAATGTTATCAGGTCTCTAGGCTATAATCCTAGGCTAGTATTTATTCAAGGCCGAGCCCAGGGAACCTATGGTTGTGAATGAGGTAGGATGAGAAAGCAACTAATCGCTGCTGAAAGACTTTGACACTGCTTCTTAAAAGCAGCAACTCGCTTAATTGACTATTATTAGCTAAAACACATCTTCGAGAACAATGAATTTTTTTCAAAAAAAGTTTTCGTTAAATGCAAAAATTCAACAGGGCTTAAAACCTAAGCATTGTGTTTCATAGAAAATGATAGCTAGTGCAAAGGTTCAAGTAGCAGTCGTATTACGTGAAATGAGTGACACTGACCTTTTCGCTCTTCGACCCTGCGGCTGCACTTGACGATGGCATAGTGATTGTGCTTGTAGAGAGCGAGTTGATAATCTGCCCTACGATTAAGCTTGTGATTATGATCCCAGCCAGCGTCCAAACAACCGCAAATAATCGTCCTAAAATTGTCTTGGGAGCAATGTCGCCGTATCTATGAAAAACGATGACAATTTTTAGCTAAGTCCAGTGGCGACTCCAGCCTGGGATGAGTTTGGGGCAAAAGTTGTGTCAGGGACCACGCTTTTTTAGACCACGCCCTTCTCCCCTGTTTGGAACATTTTTATCCAGAGGAAACACCTCTTGTCTCCCGAGAAATGTCATTTAAATGTGACGATCTAAATAACGTACATTCCCCCCCCCCAAGTTTTCTTATCAGTTTGGCAAGAATCTCAAGAACCAACTCCTCTTCCCCCCCCGCTGTGGCTCCGCCACTGGCTAAGTCTACCATTATTGTGCGTAGAGTATTTTAACGTCGTATAGTTCATTCGTGGCTTGGATTCCCAGGTCTGTCATATTTCCGCAAAGATAATCTTTATATTATTAATTTTCTCATAAATTACCTCGAATATTCACATAAAAAAGTACACATTTATAGAGGAATCTAAATGTCCAGCTAACAGATCTACTCAAGCCTATTGTCCTATTTTGCCTATCTTTTATTAATCTTGTTTCAAATAGTAATATTATACTCTCATTTGCACTTCATCAAAGGTGAGGAAATATTTTAGAATTAAAATTTCATGAACCAACAAAGTATGTCCGAACAGAAATCTTTCTACTCACCCTGCGGTCGTCATGGTGATGAAGGCAAGCCAAATACCACTTCCGGTGCCACGAAAGAAGTCATCTGGGAATTCGTCTGCGTTATCACCTCTTTCCTGATAGGCAAAAACTTCAAAACTTGGGAAAGACAACATAAAAAGGTGAATTTCTAGCTGAGGTTTCAGCAAAAAACTCGAAGATCGCTTACTGGGTAAGGATCCCGCTACCCTGGGTACCAGAGCCGCAAAAATTAACAGCAGAAAATTATCTTTTTTCTGCTTCCGTAAATTTTTGCGGCTCTGGGTTCAAGGGTAGAATTCCGTCTATCTTTAGTAGAAAAAATTAGGTTTTTCTCAGTATATTGAATGAATTATCCTCCCTATAAACTGGAACTGTAGCTATACCAACCATTTATATCTTTGCAATACCGTGTGTGTTGGATGAGTTTTTGAATTTACTACAAAATACACTGATGAATTTTACGAACTTACCAGAAACCAGAAAACAAATCCAGCGACAATCATAAACAGGACCATTATAACCAGCACTGTGTATAGACTAAGCAGCGAATCAACCACTTTTAACGCTCCTTCATTTCCGATTTCTATTTTCGATGGCTTGCGCTTGAAAAAGACCATGCCAGACGAAGGAAGAAATTTGATATAGTCATAAAGAGTGGAAGCACTTTCCGCCGCCTCTTCACTCTCTTTGAACACTGGGAGAGTTATGTGCGTGTCACTTAAAGTGGCATCAAGTAGAGAACTTTTCTTTTGCTTCATCGCAGTGTTGTTAAATGCATCGTGCACCCAATCAACGCTGCTCGGTCCCTGCCCGAACGTGCAGTTGCCACAACACTCTTGAACAGCTTCGTCGACGTATTTCGGAATAATCCCTGCAATTGTTGTGTTGCTTTGAACAATAGGTGCCAGCTTGATCCAAGCTGACTTGAAAACCTTCGGGCACCGGCAGGTCTCTAGATACAAGTTGTAGAACCCGCTTATAATTGGTGTATAACGTATAGAGTTCTAAAGTGACGAAGTCATCAAAATATATCTTTAGAAGTTTTTATTTTTGATCAAAAAGCCTGATAGTATCACGATAAACCTCTAAATGTTCTAACTGTGTTAGAGATTGGCTGCGATATGGCCACATGAGCTATGGATCTTTCCCTATCAATTCCCTGTGATTCTGCTTCCTTTTATTACTTTATGAGCCAAGCCAAAATAGCAATAATATGTTAGTAAACTATAAAATGAACGCAATCTTTCATTGTCCTACCACATCCAATTATGAACATACTTGTCTGATTTCCATATAAGAAGCTATTTTATGGTGCTTTTTATTCTAAGTTGTCAAAAGTGACAAGTTTTTATGTGATGCCATATTTTAGGACTAATGATATCATTGCAATAATTCTAAATGTTTATAAGTCCATGTGTATTTTGTTAGTCACACTCTTAAAATGCATACGCAAAGATAATACCAAATTTCAAGCAAGCATAGAACTAGAAAACGGGTGTGAATTATGATTGCTCACTAACCGAATGACATATGTCAATATATCTACTTAAAAACAGAAAAATTTAAAACAAAGCTACAAGGCGCCAACCTCCTTTTTTGTGTTCTGATGGCACTCCAATACCTCCTTCTGTGAATGCAGAAATAATCACACCGTAGGTTGTATATGGCACGAGACCTTTTATTTCCAAGCTTCGATTTGGTTCCAGGACATCGATCTGTGAAATCTTCCCCTGGAATACAGGCACATCATTTTGCTCTATAGACCAGTAAGAGATCCGGTGACCCAGTACTTCTCCTCTTGCTGCAGCATGGCTTATATTTCCCCATTTAAGGGAAATTTCATGAAATCCGTAATTGTCAAATATTTGGAAGTCAGGTGCTTCGATAGGAGCTACAAAACAATCGTTCATTTAGAACGAGATTTAGATTTTATACTTCCTTTCTTAGCAGAGAATCCTTATCCTCGTAATACTTGTAATCTGTCATTATAGAGAAACGAGATTTGGCAATTGAATTTCATTTCTATCAATTTTTGCCTGTGTGATACCTCTCATAGGCAAAGTAGTATAACTTTCTGATTAAATTTGCGACAGAATTATTTTAATCCACCATGACGAAAGGATCCTCTCTTGGATACATAAAAAACTAGTGAAGTTTGAGATTTCAAAGCTGGGGAATGATAAATTTATGATTTTTAAGTCATTTGGCAAACCAACAAGTTTTTACCTCCTTGTTTGCAGGTTCCATTGATCGAGAATGTTACTCCAAGACCTTCTGACGTTACTGCCCCAACCCGGATCTGATACCAACTGTACTCTTTTAAATTCTCAATTTCTGTTTGAAATGTCGAAGAATTGACTTCCTTCATTTTTTCTCCCGGAAGAGCACCATACACTGCCAATGGGTTGATGGATCTCGGACTTCTTCCAGCTTTGCGAAGGGGGACGTCTAGATGCTTGTAGAAAATTCGATATCCTGTGATGACGCCGTTTCTTAAAGATTCTGGTATTGGACTCCAGTAAACAGCGATTTTGTCACTTTTTTCTGGCCATGTCTCTATCGTTTGCGGAGGAGCATCTGGCTCTTTAAATTGAAAATGACAAAACCATTAATACCATTCTACTTCTTCTCTATTTTAAGGCAACATTCACACTAATCGGTTTTCAATGTGTTCTGTTTTCAATTCCAAATTCATACTTATGTTTTTTCTTCCCTTGCATTCAATTAAAACGAAAGGCTTTCACATTGCTCTACAGCATAAAAGCGAGACAGTACAACCCTCTAAGTGTTTAGGATACAAAACAAATTTATCTGCCGATTTCTTTTTTAATCCATTCGCATTTCGTTTAAAGAGCATTTTCAAATAGCTTAATTTTTAACGGATCAAAATAAGCGCAAAAAGGGCATTTGAAGAGTAGAAAAACTCAACCAGTCATTATAATTCATATTTGAGCGCACGATCTATACTGTATTAACAAAACTCTCAAAGATATCTTGCCCTGAAGAGACTGCTTTCTAAGGGCCAGGGCGTTATTTTCCCCGTGACCGTGTGACCATTGGTCACAGGAAATCAGTTAGAATATTTTCCTCACAGGAAATTTCTCAACCATGGATGAATAATAGAAAAGTTTTATACACTTAACAGAAGGTAAGCAGGTTGGAAGGAATCTAAATGCTCAGAAGAAATCAACTCATTGCACTGAAAAAGATCAAAACTATGTTTTGAAAAGTAATACTGTGCTGAGGGAGATCAAGGGGATCAGCTTTCGTTGCAAAAAGTAACAAATTATGCCATTACTGATATGTCATTACGACCCCATACCGTTATTAGTGTTTGAGATATTTTTAAATGCAGGCTATAAAGAAAGAACCAACCTCCCGTATCACAGGTGTATTTTTGCAGGGATTTCCTGCTTGTAACTCACTCACAACACTACAGATAAATCTCCTTTGTACAAAGTTATAGTTTTTGAGTCTTTCATGAAATCGCTTCATTTATCAAGACGCAGGAATTGCCATTTTAATGCTCGCTCATTTATGCAAGAATGGCAATGTTCCACATTTCTTTGCTAACCCTTTGAAAGAGTTCTGACAATAGCATCCACTATAAGTGGGGCTGCTGAAAGGGGGGATGAGGGGCAAAATGCCCCAGGGGGCCTCAGGGTTGATTGCGCTATGTTAGGAATGGAATTAATCAATTGTAGCAAAAGTATGCTTAAGAACGTAAGGTGTTAAAATATTTGCAAGAAATTACTGCGATAAATATTCTGAAATGCATTTTAAGCTAATCTTAAGGGCTTGGTGACAAATATTTTCTGTTCCCTCCGCTCACTGGGGGCCTTGACCTTCGGTTTTGTCCTAGGGACTCCGAAATCTCTGTGCAGTTCTGATTATAAATATGGCAAAACATTTCTGATAAAATCTTTACTTTCATATTTTACTCATGTGACTCCTTTTTTCTTCAACAACATAATTTTATTGCATTATTGAGGTTTTTGAATCACAAAGTCCAAACTAATTTCACAGGAAATTTTTTCAAAAAGTTTACGGTCACAAGAAGTCTTGAAGAAAATAACACTCTGCTAAGGGCCTAATTAGATGGGATTTTTCACCACCGGGCTGAAAAATCTTTACTTCAGTGTCATCTTTTCCTAAATAACAAGAATTGACCGATAACAATAGAGGCAAAGCGATGATGTTGTGTGATAATAAGGATCAATGTTTAGTCCCTGATTTCAAAAGAAGAGGCTCAGATTTCAGGCCTTTGGTGAAAACTCTAATTTAAAACTCACTATCTTCTGCTGTCATGACGTAAATTGGTTGCGAAAAGTTCCCAGATCCTTTCCTATTTACTGCCTGAATGGTTACACTGTAGTTTGTAAACTTGCGCAATCCTGCTATTGATATGCGTGGCTCAGCACCATCTGTTATCAATGTGAAGACTTCACTCTCGTTGCACCCGGCCGGCCTATCCGCGTGGCAGTCAACCACATGATACCGTATTCTGTAACCAGTTATCTAGAAAATCATGTGTCTTTATAATTATGGTTTATAAACACATTAAAGTTAACCAAGTTGCCTAAATATAATTTTCAGAAAATCATGAATTTTACGAAATTACTAATACCATCAATATGATACATAAATAAGCATTTGTTCACACATTCTCTAAAAATTTTTAAAAGTGTCCAAACAAATTTTCTTCATGCGTTTTTGTCATCGATCGCCTTCTTCTAGACATCTTTTTCTTCTTAAAGTGCCTATGGGCGAAATTTACTTTTCCAATATTTTAAAAGAAATCTATAGAATCCTTCGCACTTGTCCTTATATAAAAAAACAAAATTTCGATAAGTTAAATGGTTCTTTTTAAATTGAGTGTCAAAGTATGCATATTCTGCAGTTGCATTGCGAAATTTTATTTCCCGCTGTGACGTCACAGTGAAGAGTAGAGGCGAAACCATTTAGTCAGGCCTATTAAATCAGTTATTAGGTCAAATTGTGCAAATTGTGATACTAGCACGAAACTTGCAATTATGGGCAGCTTGATACGCTGAAAAAGATAGGATATGGACCCCAACTGAAGATTGCCCCCTTGTTCTAATTTCAGACTGGGGTACTTTGCCCTTTATTGACGGTAAAATCGTATATCAGTCTCACGCCGGTAGAATAGCATGAAACTTTGCATAAGGGGCAGTTTGACACGCTTAAAAAGATAGGATATGGACCCCGACTGAAAATTGCCCCCTTGTTCTATTTTTAGAGTCCGAGATATGAAAAGGAACTATATCACATCTTTGTCAGCGTATCAAACTGCCATTATATTGAGAATTTCCGTTCTCCGTTTATGGCCATTGGTAGAATTAGGGGTCTGTATCAGAGTACCCCAGTCTAAAAATAGAATTTAGGGCCAAGGTATGATTTGGTTTTATATCCAATCTTTTTTTGCATGTCAGACTGTCTTTATATTGAGAATTCCAAGTTTCTATGACCTGGCATTCTCCGTTTGTGGCCAGGGGTCTGGACCAGAGTACCCCAGTCTAAAAATAGAATTTAGGGGCATCATATGAATTGGGTTTATTTTACATCTTTTTCGGCCTGTTAAACTGCCTTTATATTGTGAATTTCAACTTTCTATGAACTAGGATTCTCTGTTTATGGCCAATTGTACAATTAGGGATCTGGACCAGAGTACCCCAGTCTAAAAATAGAATTTAGGGGCAAATTATGAATCGGTTCTATATCACATATTTTTTGTCTAGTTAAACTGTCTTTTTATTGTGAATTTCAACTTTCTTTGGCCTGGCGTTCCCCGTTTATGACCAAAGGTACAATTGGGGGTCTTGACCGGAGTACCCCAGCCTAAAAATAGATCTTATGGGAAAGATATGATTTGGGTGTATATCACTTCTTTTTCAGCGTATCAAACTTGGTGTTTTCTGAAATTTTGGTGCTTGTATCACAATTTGCACAATTCTAAAACCTATTCTGTACAACCGTAGTTTCCTGATGGCTGGCGACCAGGCTCATCACTGTGACGTCACAAACTGGCCTTGGTTTTCGCAAGAACTACCTAATTTCAAATTCTGATTAAACGCACTTTTGCTGGTCGAATTATGGCAATTTTGGTGTCAAACGTATCGTGGCATTGGTCTATCTACTGATTTCAAAACTAATGAAACGAAATTTTCAAAATCCTAGGTCCTTGGTGATTTACTACAGTCTGACAAGTCTCACTTGGTGATAAACGGCAATCTAGTCTCTCTGTTAAAACTTGTGTAAATACATTATTGTACGTGTAAGCTTCTATTAAGAGGATTTTTACCTTTCCATTAGCTTGTCCATTTATTTCATCCATTGGAACCCAACTGAAACTCAATTCTGTAGATGTTTTGTTACCTTTTGATATATTTTTCGGGATTTCATCAGGCTCTGCAAGAAATAAGGTCCTACAATACCATATCATATCATATCATATCATATCATTATCATATCATATCATATCATATCATACCATACCAGACCATACCATACCATATCATATCATATCATATCATATCATATCATATCATTATCATATCATATCATATCATATCATATCATATCATATCATATCATATCATATCATATCATATCATATCATATCATATCAATCATATCATATCAATCATATCATATCATATCATATCATATCATATCATATCATATCATATCATATCATATCATATCATATCATATCATATCATATCATATCATATCATATCATATCATATCATATCATATCATATTCATATCATATCATATCATATCATATCATATCATATCATATCATATCATATCATATCATATCATATCATATCATATCATATCATATCATATCATATCATATCATATCGTATCATATTGATATCACAAATGCAATAAAATATGATATAATTAAATATAACATGATGTAATGCAGTAATTCAGGAATGCTCATACCATAGTCGTCAGTCCAGACTGTTATGTTTTCTGAGAAAGGTCCCTCTCCTCGGTAAGTGTAAGCCAAAACCTTGAAAATATAGGGAGTGTAAATTTTCAATCCTGATATTGTAATGTTGAATACAGCATCCTCAGAGCCATTATGATTTGGAACAGTACGGTTAATCCATGGCGCAGACTTGGTTGTCGAATCGGAGTAGGTTAGCTTGTAACCAGTAATGATACCATGTCGATAGTCAGCAGGCACTCTCGACCAAAATATTTCTACACTCGTATGATTTACAAAGGTACCATTCAGTTTAGTAGGTGGCTTTGTTGGCCCTAGGAAAAAAGTGTCAATACATTAAAGCTTCTTTTTTACTGCTAGTCGGGAACTAAACTTGATAACCTGCAAAATGACCCCTAGTCAATTATCATTATATTTTTTTGCAAAAATAAACCAAGGACAAACCAAGAATTACATCCTTTTTAATTTGATTATTTTTTCTTCAGCTTTCCCTTTTGAACTTACATTTTTTACAGTCTTATCTTGTAAACACAGGCTAGCCAGTTACAAACTAACTATGTAAAAGAGAGGTTTGTAATTTTGGTTTATTAATTTAATTGAAACTGAAAGTTTTCATAACATTATTGACAGTTGGTGAAAAATTAGTTTTCGTTTGAACTAATGAAGATCAACTATTTACACAAGTTAAATTAATTACAATGACTAGATAAATAAAAACATTTAATTTTGGAAAAATTTCCATGTATCTACAAATTTTGCATGAGCAATTATAACCTTTCCACTCTTTGTTTGACTCCATAAAGCTAAAACTTGTTGCCAGGCTATTTATCGAGCCAGACAAAGTGTTCCAAAAGATGGCACCCCTGAAGGATGATGAATCATTCCCATATGACAATGTGTTGGTGTTCGGTAACTGTAGAAGATTTTTTGTTCTTAGGTTTTGGCTACATCTTTTCTCGGAAGATATTCCCAAAAAAGATGGATTTTCCGAACTGTAGAATTCATTTATTTCCTGCATTAACTTTTTCGAATTCTTATTGTGAGTTGTGATTCGCTTCTCCAAGTTAAGATTCTAATAGACAATGTTACCAGATACTCGTGCCTAAGGAACGTTTTTATAAAACTAAATTGGTCTGGGTTCTTTTCAGATTCGCTTTTCCCCTCTGCAGCAGCGTTGCTGTGAGGTTTTATGGTCCAAGTATCCCTGTCCAAAGATCTGCTGCTTATTCTGGTTTTATTTTATTTAACTTGACTCAAATTTACAACAGCCTTTTTTAAGTTGAAGTGTTTTAATCCATTTTACATATACCAATAATAGAATATTATATAGATTAGATGAAGCAAACTTTATACTTTTTAATATAAAATACAATTACCGTATGCATCTGTTCTAATATAGACTGCAGAACTGAAAGTTCCTATGCCATGGTCAGTGACACCAGCAACTTTCACAGCGTAGTAAGTATAGTATGCCAGACCCTTGATTTCAATTCTAGTGTTAGAAGACATGACAGTTTCGGATAGCCATTCCGAATCGGAATCCTTCTTCCTGTATAATATTTTGTATTGGCCAATTATACCATTTCGACCATGTACTGGAATGACATCCCATGTGACGTATATGATAGTCGCACTAAGATACCCACCACCCAATGAAGTTGGCGGCTCTGTAGGCACTGCTCGGCATAAAAAATATTAAATGGTCAAACTTTTAAGACATAATAAATTTATAAATAGAAACATATAACTGATAAATTGCGCATAAAGAATGATCCTTAACGAGTGGTGTGAGATTCTTATATTTTTCATTTTCTTGTCTCGTGTTTTCCTTTGCAGCAAGCTGAGCGCCAGCCAGCATGCATGTTCTTTCCAATTTTCTAACTGGCTTCAGTTCCCCTGAGCAATAAATATTAGTTGCATACTTTTCCAGTGCCAAATTTTCTATGTATAACGGCAGAGCTGCTTTTCATTGAATAGAAATTTGAAACGAATAAGCCTACTTTAACACCCAGAGTGTATCAAACAGGAGATGTAGGGGATGAAGAAAGGGAGGGGAACCCTTAATTTCTCATCAGTTGGTCTAAAACGTTTTCAGCAAAATCGTCCCAAGTAGGTAAAATCGCAAAAGGATGGATAAAATAGGGAAAATATTACTTCATTTGTCGGTAAATTTTTAATTTCAATGACCATTCAACCCAAAAATTAGGGACAGGATCAATTCTTGTCCATAAGGTCAACTTACGTCACTGCTTTAATTATTGGACTTTATATTTCACAGCTACATAAAGTTGCCCACAAAGAACAATAGCTTGAACAATACCTACCGTCTCCGATTGTTCTTTCTGTAACTGTGGCTGAAAATATTCCAACACCTTTTCCAGTGACACCTGCCACACTCATGTCATACTCAATATATTTAGCAAGCCCCGTGAGCAATACAAACTTGTCTGTTGTGTTAGTTGTCTGCAGACTGTCAAGTTTGTCCTTTCGCTGATACTGCACAACATATAATACGATAATGCCGTTACGTAGATCAGAGTCAATGTCTGTCCATTGAACCTTGATTGAGGAGGACGACATAGCTGTTGCAATTACATTTTTTGGAGGCCCACCTGGTTCTATGATGAAACATATCAACTGTTAAATAGAAGCAAAAGTTGAATATCAAGACTTATTGAAGAAAGAATTCTTATAAAGTATTGCCCATTTCCAGATATTTACAAAGATACTAGATAGTCCCAAAGTCAGCCAAAGTAGTTCTAATCATGCCAAAATATATTATAATGATATACAGTGTTCTCTCGATAATGCGGAACCCCAAATATGTGACACTTCTGCTAAATGAGATAACATGTCAATCCTTACTTGAACTTACTTAACAAATTTCATTTGGGACTTTCGCTTTGTGGGACCAATTTTACGTTTACGATCAAAGCTTCATTTAGGACTTTTGGTGGTTGTACCACTGTTCAAAAATGAATACTAGATTGTAAATATTTCGAGCGAAATTCAAATCTTGTGAACACTAAGCTGTTGTTATGTCGATACACATTTCTATTACATCCTTTTTCTTTTGCACTATCCCCGAAACTAAGTTAAGTGAAAAATGTGTTTTATACGGATCTGAGTAAAATGAATTTTGCAGATTTAAGAAGCATATCCGCAAAAATTAGTTTCCTTAAAGGTTGCTTAAAATGTGTGTACATTGTGCGTCTTCCTATGTCTTATAGTCGAGCAATCTCTCGTCAAATGAGACATTTTTTTATGTTTCACTTTCAGGAGATTCGCTCAACTGTCACAGTTGAGCGAATCTAATTGGAACACTAATTGGAACAGATTTGTATGTACCCTATAGCTTTCTATTGATCAAAGTATCCTGTACGTAACATTTAGATAAATTCTATGGTGCTCCTTCAAATTACTTACTTCCAAACAGCAAATTTAAAAAACTCATTTTTATGACGTCATTATTGTACCACTATAATTTGAAATGTCTTTTATTTAGTATAAAACGACGAAAGACTGGCATACTGAATAAAAAAGAAAGCTTACTGTCTTCATCTGTCCTGACTTCGATGATCTCACTTTTTGCACCTTCTCCAATCGACGTTTCGGCCGATACTCTAACATCATACAATGTCCAATAGGCCAAGCCGGTTTTTTCATAGAATTTATCTGTGATCGAGACCGGGCTTTGCCAACTCCCGGAAGATTTCCTAATCTGGAATTTGTAGCCGGTGATGATTCCGTTGCGATGATCTTGAGGGACTTCACCCCATTGAACTTTTAAGCTTGTTGAGCTGGTGTTGTATCCTATGATATTGTCCGGAGCAGAGCTTGGAACTAAAAACGGGTTGATAAGTGAACAAACGAATATTAAATGAAATAATGATAACAACATAGAATGCAGATTTATGTACATGTAAATCTTAGCAACTGGAAAGTGATCGCTTCTCACAATCTGAACTCGCAATGACCAGTATGGAAAGTAGGCTAGAGCTATAAATGAAAACTCTGTTAAAGAAACATGCATAAAATATTTCAAGCTTTCAGTTCCTGTTTTCCATTTTTCCAGTTTCAAGTTTCCAATTTCCAGTTTCCAATTTCCATTTTCCAGTTTCCGGTTTCCAGTTCCCAGTTTCTTGTTTCCAATTTACAGTTTCCAGTCTCTTGTTTCCAATTTCCAGTTTCCAATTTCTAGTTTCAGGTTCAAGGTTCAAGGTTCAAGGTTCTGTTCTGTTCTGTTCTGATGTTTTTTGCCATTTTATGCAGCATTTATTGAAAATGCTTAAGCATACTGAATTTTTGTCTAGAAATGCGAAGCTGCATTGTTGACTTGAAGAGACAGCAAAATCGATAAATAAAAATTTGAACAATTTTTTGACGGTACAGAACTTGAAATACAAATTTGTTTAATTTTCGTGAAACTTACCATCTTCAGCCGTTCTTCTCTCAACTGCTGGACTATATAAACCAGCACCTTTGGAAGTTTTAGCGGCAACGCTAAATTCGTAAAGTGTATATTTCTTTAATGAATCGCTTGTTCTGTATCGAGAGGTGCCTGTATCAAACAGCCAAGTGGAGGTCCCATTTATTTTGAACTTAACTGTGTAGCCAGTTATAATTCCGTTTCTTTTTGCATCGGAAGAGAGAGGCATCCAGGACAATTGAATGGCAGTTGACGATGCTGTTGTAGCTGAAAGACTAGGTGGGTAGTCTCCAGGTACTAGAAAATGTAACAGAAACATTAGAAAAATCTTCTCTTGTCTTACATTCTACTGATCACTTAGGTATAGACCATATTAACATATTCAACTTACGGCCATGTTTCGGAAATAACTTGATTGGGTACCAAAGCCTAAACAATTGGGAAATATGAAGAGGTAAAGTGTTTTTCTCATCAATATTCTTCTCCTGATTTCTCGGGCGTTGGCACCCAGGATACTATTTTACTGATCAACTCTTTGCCCAGGGTATGAAATTATACTTAAAGGCATTGAGTCATGATAAAATGTATTGGGTATACCCTAAGTTCTAAAATCCGCTGAGTCATGGTTTTCACGACTGCGATGCTATTGGTTGATCTGGAACTGGTCACATGAACTCACCTCGTACTGATTGACAAAACAATTTCCATCAAAAGCAAGTTGTTAACAACGGATGCGAAATATCACATGAGACAGCAGCGATCACGCCGAAACCAAATGACCCCCTATAAAGAAGGCCTATTTACCATGACTCAATGCCTTTAACGAAAATATACTGCTTTTTTGAGCTCAGGTTTGGATTTACCACAATTTTTTCAGACCTGTTAAATTGTTCTTATTATTTGTGCCTGTATTGCAGATTTTATGACCATAAACGTTTAAAAACGTATAAAAGATTGGACCGCAAAAGTCATTCTGGGTCATCCTCAGTCGTTATGCACGGCCAAACCCTCAAAACATTTTAACTCATTCACTATGAGCTTTTCAGCTGATCAATATCAAACTGAATAAACTTTCGATGTTTTAAACGAGTTGTATAGAAAATAAGGGAAACTACGGCACGCAATGTTGGAAAGTTTACGAATTTAACATTCCTCTTTCTAATATCAGAGTCCAAAGATAAAGAACTTCATTTTTTAGCAAAATGCATCTTTTAAAAAGCCCGAAAAGCCATGCTGCAAAATTAAAGAACCAGTTGTGAAAGATAAACTCTGGTTAAAAAGTTGGCTAAAGTTCCGAAGTAAGTTATTTGTATTCTTAGCAAAACAGTTTGTTTAGCACAACAGTCTTTGATGTCTTACCACGATTGTTACTTTATTGCCATAGTTGTTTATTCCGACATGTTGATCTTATCCTTAGTTTTACCTTTTTTGATCATCGATGATTGTATTATCCCGAAAATTTGATATAGCTTTTCACGGCGAACTTATGAAAAAGCCAATCTAGCTGCAGTCCTGCGCTGTAGAAGATTTGATGTTAATTGAAAATATAAGAAGGCTTTCTGATAAGCACTTACCGTCTTCATCTGTGCGTGCAGTTCTCTCTGCGGATATGATGTTGTGTTCAATTGTCGATTTTATGAAACCGTAAAAATGAGCATAGAAGGTATATTCAGTATACGGTTGAAAACCAGTAACAGTTTTCTTGATGGGTAGTGTTCCACTTATTGTTAATTTAACCTTTGAAGACGGATCAGACTTTTTGTAGTAAAGAATTTCATAGGAACTTGACGCGCTCCATTGATCACCATTTGGAACAATCGGTGCAATAAGAAGCTGTGCTGATAATGCTGTTGAATTCTCCACAGATAGAATCGGACTTGGAATGTACAGAAGTGTGTCAACTTGCAAAAAAAAGAACAGCATAGACAATAAAATGCATTTAAAGGCAAATATCTAATAAATTCAATCTTACTTGCATAATTTATAGGATTCTAAGCATATAAAAATTATTGAAGCTACTTGCGGTCAACTCTACCCTATCAGGCATCAGAATTTACTGTTAATGTAGATCAGTTTCCCAAATATGGTGTGGTATGTGTCAATGTCTATTTCATTTATAAGGATAATTATTTTCTGGTCATCACTAAATTGCATAATGACATCACACTAGTCATCACATAGGCTAGATTGCTACATGACGTCACATTTCATTTTGCAGACTGCAGACTTTCAATAAAGATAAAATTTATAGTTTCTAAATCGTTTTAATCGGTTTCGAAAATTTTCGAGATTCCCTCTGAAGCATGACTGAGAATTTCAGCCTCACTGTGAGTGATGATGGATGAAGTCATATGGCAATCTAGCCTTCGATTCAGTGTCACATATATTTCTTAAATATACTAGCTTGTGTGCTGTACAATGTAATAAAATAAAACTAGGAATAAAAGTATAATTTTATTAGAAAAGGAAATTTTGTCATACGACATTTCGAGCATAGCTCGTTGTCAAGTGAAGATAAAAATCGATAATAGAACTAACATTGTCCCCTAAATTTCTGCCTATTTTACAAAAGTGCTTTTTTAAATTTTGTCCCGATTAAAAAATGTCCGGAAAATTTCTCTGACGCTGACGCATTAGTTAACTAATAAGAATTTTGCAACCTAGTAAATAAACGCATAAATTTATCTATGAAATTTGAAAATCAAGATTAATCTTACTTGCCAAAAGATTGGACAAAGAGCCAGTCCAATCACTTTGAAAACTTCCTGAACCCAATCTCCGTTCCACTCTTAAATAATCCGGATCACTGCCTTCAACATGGAGAATATCAAGGGGGTAGTACGCGTTTTTCGCATATTCACCAATTGAATGTGTGGCGTAACCTGTACTCCTGGGAAAAAATGGATTAATGCAACGAGTTATAACCAGCAAAAAGTATTGGGAAAACGAATAAAATCCTACAGAAAGTGAGCTTTTCCCCCTTTTCATAGTTAAATGGCATGAGCAGTTATTAATGAATTCAGTCCTGCAAAATCGGAGGTGTCTCAATCAACACCGGAGCGGGGGGTAAACTTTTCATACTTAGTGCCGCCATACCAAAAGGGTGCAGAAAATACTTTTTTTACCAAAGGTGGTTTAGAAAACAGGAAACCCATCTCCCTCGTTCATAACAACTTCACAGTTTGGATTTGCCTTTGCAGTATGCAAACTTTGCATTGGAAATTTAAGGTAAGCAGGAAGTTCTAAAAAACTACGAAAATAAAGATATTTTGTGCTTAACGAATAACGATGCCTCTATACTTAGAGAATATTTCTAAAAGATATATCAGCAAAATACTAGGCATGATGAATTAATGAGTATGAAAATTTGTCAATATGGATGAATCTAACAACGTACGTTTCTGAGAATATTCTCTGAACATTGTTATAGGCCTTCGTTATGTTGATAACACAGAATGAATTACACTTCGTTTTCATCTCATAACTCCCATTCTGAGCCACTTTAAAATATCCAGTGTGCCAAATTCCAGTATTATCAGGATGGTTGTCATTTTGTGTGTCATATATAGAAGGGCGACAGTAAACTCTCGTTGGGCTATTCGGATACTTCGTTGGATTGGCATCTGCAAAACCTTGTAATGTTTTCACGCTAGGGTAAGTGATTGAATGAAAAAATTCTGCCAACAAGCCGTTGAACTTGTAAAATTCTACAAAGCAGAAAAATGAATAGTTATAGAACCTGAAAGCATTCTAGAGAATGCAAAATGACGTTGCTGTGTGACTCTGCAGAATGTGTGTAGGAATTCTTCAGTGAGAAGGGTTAAGGTTTTAGCTAGAGATAATAGAGGGGGGATTGTTTCAGCACTGTTGGATCCTCATGAAATAAGCCCTGCCTTGATTCTAACAGACTTGCAATTTCGCCTCCACAAAAGGAATGCGAGTTTCTACATTCATGGTCTGATTTTTAATGCGATCGATTAATACTGGACGCAATACAAGAACGATCATAGGTTGTGGACGTCGAGATATTTAGATTTAAGGGAGGCCTAAAATACAGATTTTCAAAAATTATGTTAGTCTCATCTCAATAAAAATTTGCTCAGAATATTTATTTTTTTGGCTTTATAACATCGCATAATCTATCTTTAGCTATCAATTCTTTTATTTGATTCAGTCTATATTTATTTTATTAATCGATTAAGACATGTACTTTACCAAATAATAGACTAGATAACTATGTCAGCTTTGAGTCAAATCACATCTTTCATTTAAAGTTTAATTGTTATAGCCTAATAATAACAGCTAATTTTCAATGAGTTCTTAAATCCTTTTGCAAAGTTTTCAAATTCCGTTTTGATTTCCTTGGATAAGATCCTTTATAACCTTTAATACTAAAATGTTGGTGAAATACTTTCAAGATACAGGCAATCATTTCGTAAATTTTAGCGTCACTTTTTTAGAATGCTTTGAAACGATCGTGTAAAAAACGTAATTTCCTTAGATAATAACCATAGAATACTATAATGGCATTTTTATTCTTTGGTGGCAAAGGTATGTACAAACCCATTGATCTTCGAAGATACCGTGTATCCAGTGGCTTGACCTCAGTTCCGTTTGGTAGCAAGACGCCAAGCTTCATGAAATATGGACCACCTGATCCATCATAGTATTTGACATCAATTTTGTATCTGAATCCTTTTATCAGTGAAAGTTCATTGGAAAGTGTCCTGTTGACAAAACAAAAATTTCAAATCTAAAGTAAAGACTTTTGTTAAGCAGATAACATCAAGATGTAGGGGGACGGATGTAGCAACACGGATTTCCGTTTTCGTCCAATCAGATGCTTTGTTTGTTAAATTTGTTAGCCAATCAGATCCGGCCAATCTTGCTTGGTTTGATTACATTTGTCTCGAAAACACTCTTAGCTGTGGAGGGAAACCACTACTGGAATTTTGGGCCGCCACGAAAACATACATTAAATAAAATCAGCGAAAAATAGAAATCTACAATGTTGATTTACAAAAGAACTACCACTGCTTTTGAGTGAACTCAACGTAATATAGCTTAAATCTTAGATTCAACTTCTCCTTTCTATCTGGTAGGGGGGGGGGGGGATGGAGCTAGGCCCATTCTATCCAGTTCTATCTTGTGGCTATTAAGAACTTGTAGTCCTAATTTGACGCCAAATTTTTTTCTGTTGGCAATTTTGGATGACAGTTATATGTGTGCACGTTCTAAAAATGCTACTATGGGGAATTTTCGAATCTCCAAATCTACATCAGAATTTTGGATGGGAGGGATATCACAATAACCTGTGTAACAAAGGTTGGCAGCATTCGTGTTCCAAGACTTATTGGTGGACATTGCAATTGGGAGCCTTTTGTAAGCTGGCATGGCAGGCAGAAACTCGAAGCCGACAGGTCATACTCCACCCATATACATTCTTACGCCACCACATACGCCAATCGCCACTGACTTACTTACTTCGCGGTTTGAAATGAATATATTGCTGGAAGAGAGCAACGACATAGCTACATTTCAAAACACCTCAATCGTCCACCTCAAAGAATCTTCAATCTAATTATCTTCTCCTCCTTTTTGAAATACTTTGCTGAGCTCCTCCAATACAATGGCATTACTATATTCCATTCATATATGCATATAACCCTTCTTTTTCCGCTCATTTCTTCTCTTCCTCAACAACTCTATTTTAACTATTGCTCTCACCCTCCATTCATTCGTTACTAAAGGTCCTAATTGCCATGACTCGGTAGTCTGTAAGAACACCATACCTGAAGGTCCATCCTATAGTTGAAGACATCGTGTCTGTATGTTTGGTGGTTTCGACGATTCCAGGCTGCAGTTCAAAATCTACTTCGCATTCCCTCTTGCAGGCAAGAATCAGACGATGTGCACCAGTCAGAGGAGACACAAAGTAGGCCCTAAGCCGATAGTGCTGATATAGGTTAATTGTCGCGGCTCCCCATTCAAATTTATCCATATGCACTATGCCAGTAGGACAGTCAGGATAGCCGTATATACTGTTGAAATTATTTATAGGTGTCCCTGATGACTTTATCCAAGTATTGAGGAGAAGACCAGGCTCTGGCTTGTAGAATACTGTAAAAGAAAAATCATTACTGATGTATTGGAACTATTTGGTGCTCCTAGCCTATCATCTAATTAATCTTTTTAGAGAATGAAAATATCAATGGATTGATCATCTTAATAAATTGAACTTTGAAGTCAAGTCATAGTTGAATGTAGAATAGCAAAGTACCAGTACAAGTTTAAAAATACCTGTCGGAAGAGACAGGGCATTTCCCAATAAGCCAATGTAAACAAATACGAGTGATACTGAGAATGGTCCCATCTTTTTGATTTTTTGGTAACCTTCAATGTTCTGAAAAAGAAAAACAACGGTCATAACTTGTCAACTGAAAATGAAGATAATTTTCATAGCAGTAAGTCGGACGACTAACAAGTGACGATTTATACACAACAGACTCCCATATAAACAAATTGGTATTGGAAATAACTAAGTTGTTTTAGACTTTACTGTGCCATCCGGAAGACTACAAGTGTTTCACGACAAAATTTCTTTCTCGCGGTAAAACCCTCTCTTTGTATAAAAAAATAGCTGTGATGCAAGAACGTTATTTGATTCTCTGGATCTAGAGAGGCTTGCAAAGAGGATAGTCAATTTCAATGTGGATGGAACATAATATCAAAATGGATCGAAGGAGTAGAGATAGAAGAGAGGATGTTTGTAGGTGATTTAAGCTTGTGTTTGAGGGATGCCATAATTAGATATGAAGAGGGTCTGTTTGGTAATTTTGCTCAAGCAAACAGCTTGATTATGTACGTCATCGGAGTCAAGACCTGTAACGAAGAAACCCCTTGAAATTAGACAAGCGCCAACGAAGCACCTTTTGTGTTAGTGTTAAGAAAAGTATAAGAAAAAAGTAGTCATGAATGTCGTTCCAGACATGATCAAAACAAATATATCTTTTAAATACAAATGATGAAAAGTACGTTAGTTTGCTATGTTTTTCTGATACTTAGTGTGGTACTAAAGTTAAATCTTTTCTAACAAGCATATGCATTGGTAAATAGCTTATACCTTAAAGGGGATCGACAGATATAAAAGTGACTTGAGCCATCTTTCAATCAATATTAGCCAATCAATGAGCGTGTGAGTGCAGTCATACTCACTGATTGGCCAATTTTTTATTGAAAGATGGCTAAAGCCCCTTCGGTATCTGTCGACTGCCTTTCACGTGAAGATATGGTTCAAAATGTGTAGCATGGATTGTTTACAAAGGCGCTGTGCGGAATCCGGGATGCAAAATGAGATTCCTCAGCAAAGGTGTATCGGATTCAGTGTTCAAGCGTTCACACGACCCCAAAGATGATCCGTTCCTGTCCTACATCACATTTCAATGCAGTGCAATTTCGGTCCGAACGGATTCAGCCGTTGTCTGGTCAACAGAAATGCTTATCTTGTTTCAAACGTTTTCTGATACGCAATGTATCCGGTTTTTGTAAACCGGGTTCGATACCATTCAGTCACGCTAAAGATAAGATACACTATCTGGTCAAACAAAGGCTAGTCAGAAGCGTCCCTTTAGCTTACTTTTACAGCGTAAAATCATTTACATAGTTAATCCAAGTTGAAATCATTTACATTGTTAATCCAAGTTGAAATGTTAATCCAATAATCCATGTTTAACAAGGATAGCCTAAATCAGAAACAAAAACGATTCTTTATTCCCATGCTAATAACAAAAACTCAATTACGGAGTAGCTCTTCTTTCCAGGGTTTCAGTGAATCCAGCGATCGGCGACCTCAATCCTACTCCATGCTTTTCCAAATGTTTTTATTTTCTAAAGTTAAAGTGCACGAATTGATGAAAGCATTGAATATATTGAGTCTGCAGGAAAACTGAAAGCAACCAACAAGATAATTTTTGAAAATTATTTGTAAAAGATTTTGTTCAACTTTTAAAACAAAGATAGTAAAGAATTTGAAAAGAAAAATGAATTTATTTAACAGTTTTAGCTTTAGTAATCAGATGCGGTCGTCGTGCTGCTGTGATAAGAAGAGATAAAGTGTCTTGTCAATTATCGCAGCCGTGTTCTTTAAGCGCAGAATCCTCTAATCGTCATTATTGACAAAAGACTTGAACAAACCAATGTACACGAGCAAGATAACTTGTCAAGAACACATTTCAAGGAAGAATGGATCGCCTAGATGAGGCCTTAAATACAAAAATGTATTTCGTAATAAGAAATATGAGGTTTACATTAAAGCCTCTTAGATAAATTCAAATGATCATTAAAATCTAAGATCTTTTTAGTTTTAAATATGCCGAAAACAATAAAGTTTGCAATGTGCAGTAAAGAACGTGTGTTTGTCACAAGATTTGATAACGAATTTATAGTGTCTCTAAATCACCTCGGTTTTGCCGTTTCACAATGTCTCTAGAACGCCTTGACGTCCCCTTGCATTCACCATCTTTGTTATCTAAGGTAGATTACTTTGTCCTTGTTATCCAAACATCAACGCCTCTTCGACATGTAATAAAAACAAAATTAATCTATATTTAACCAAAAAAGAAAATTCCAGCCAAGGTACTTCATCTTCTCATAAATTATGCAGTCAAAAAGTGGCAGGCAATTCATAAAATGTAATGCTACCAGTTAACACCTTCGTATGATAATGAATGCCCTAATTCAAACTAATGGATACTAGAAGCAGGTTAGCCTAAACAGAAGGAGAAAGCCCCCCTACTGGTTATTCTTCTGTCGCTTGAGACCGTCATTCGTTTCCAGGTGACCAGTATGAAAACATTATTTTTGAAATGATCGAGTCCTGCGAAGAGGGTTGTGCCCAGTCGATTTTCCCGTTAACCAATCAGTTGACATGCATTTGACAAAACGCCTCGGCACATGACCGCGGAAGTAAGCTGCTTGGTTGAGGATAGAGATCTATGTGTTGCGAGATCGGCAACTTCCTTCCATCAACTAAAAATTCAGCTTTATATCTATCTCAGCCTTCTACTTCCAAACTAGCACTCTGATCTCTACCACCGACTCTCATCTTCTACCTAAGCACATGACTGTCGCAAATGCTTTGTGCTCGTTCAAACCCCTTCTGTAATAATTCCTTACCTCTTCATACGAGTATGAATATAAATTTAAATACATATCTCACAAATTCTGTCATCTATTATCACTGGCCTAAAATTTAAAATAGTATTACAGTCTTTTTTCATAAGAAACTCGATATAAATTACGTGTACTGATCAATCAGAAAAAATTAAGAAATTTCTTTTGAAAAAATTGAATTTAACAGGAAACCCAGATCTCCATATTTCATTAAATGCCATCAATCAGATTGACTAATTTTAAACTGATAGAAAGAAAACATACTTCCTTCATCTCAGTACAGCATTGGTGATGTAATTGATTCACTTAATAGAAATGTCACGAGCATTCTCTGGTTGTAGCGTCGAAAACCCCACATTGCAAGGTCCTGGTGGGAAGTTTCTAAGCGTAAAAATTAAAAATAGAAATCCAATGTCAAAATCAATGACGTCATACTTAAGAAACTCTTAACAAACAACGATTATTGGAATGTCCCAAAGCGTAAAGAGACTGGAGTACTCAAATTTGATCTTTGTTTCTTGTAGCAAATGAGTGTATTTGAAACCCGAAGGAAGTTTTAGCAATCTTGCGTGGCAAACATCGTGATTATACCAAATAATAAATATGATAAGTGCACACTTCCTATTAATTTGGACTCCATACATTCGTGGACAAGTTGCATTTAAGTTGTGAAATGCATACGTGGCATTGCATAGTTTCAAACCTCTGATGAAACGTATGATAATGCAACATCTTTAACAAATGGGGCCGAAGAGTCAGTTCTTTTGGAGCATGCAACATATTCTTTCCATTAATAAACTTTGACCCTTTTGTTTGCCTGTTCACTTTACAATGCATCTGTTATCACCAGTGGCGCCAGAAGCTTCATGATGCGGCGGGGGCAGGAACCGCAGGAAGGGTACCTTGGAGGTATTGGGAATCGTCGTTTAGCCAAGACAAAGCCTGGTTGTAGGTGAAGGCCCAGTCAAGAGAGAGAGCGTAGCCCCTAGGGAAATTTTGCGTTGCTACGCCCAAAAGACTCATTTAAATCAAGGCTACAGTTAAAAAGTCATTAACGAAGTTTCTTATATCCCATCTTCAACCATCAAGGGAGGCTGGACCCAATCCTACTTGAAATAAAAAGAAAAATTTGTTTTGATGCCCATCTACATGGCTTGTTGATATAACTTCTGGGTATAACTCCTTTAAACAAACTGTTTTTTCCTTTCTTTATTCAAAGTTGCTACAATCTGTACCTCAACATAAGCTTGATAAAAACAACTAACTTAAATTACCAACACTGAATATAATTGATGTTGCATGCGTATTCCATGCAAAGATCACAAGTATAATTGAACGATGAAAATTTTGAGATTGTTTCTTGAATATTTGTAAAGTGGGGGAGTACTTATTTGGTTTGGAACTGAGTTCCATATTTGGCTACATCTATATAACAAAGATTTTGAAAGCAGAAGGAACCATATCATTATATTGTTGTTACTTCTGGAGAGAGATAATTTGGCTTCAAAACGGCCTCAAAATTATGCGCAAGAAATTTCAGATTGCACCAAGGTTCCCATAAAGATCTCAAAAGAAAATCAAATCGCTCAAAAACTTAAAGAAGCTTCAAGTGCTGGCTCTTAAAAATACATGAGCATTCTAGAGCCAGAAAGACTGTTACATAAAGCATGGCTACAATGATATAGATATAATTTTCTGGCTTAGCCGTTTGCGCGTGTGACATAACCGAAAGAGGGAACCTTTTGAAATATTTTGGCGATCATGCCCATCAGATTAGCAAAAAATCCATTTCGGAACATATTTTTGCAGTCATTTCCTTGCAATCGTTTAAAAAGTTGTACAATTTTTGTTGTCTTAGTAATTGCTTTTACAAACCTGGATCCTCGAGGGCCCCCTAAACCTCAAGGCTCAAGGCCAACTTGCCACCATTTGGTGACCCTAGTTTTGAGCTTGTTTTTTGGTGTTTCTAAAAGCATTTGAAAGCATTTAATCGAATAGAAAATATTTGAGATCATGGTCCAAAAATGTCACCCCTTTGCCCATTTCGTATGGCATATCAGCAATTCAAGGACATTTTTTGGTTATGCAGAGCTCATCAACATGGAAAATATTATTTTTTCTCTTGCACGTAGGTATTGAGAGATGCTTGAAACCTAGATCTGATTAGCATTCAAAATTTTGATATGAATTAAAATTTCTCAGAAATCGATTTCGTGAAAAGGCACTTTGCTGCCCCAATGCTGCCCCTGCACCACTAGGGCATGGGGGCAGCTACCCCAGCTGCCCCTGTGGCTCTGGCACCTTTTGTTATCACCATGTATCTTGTTGCTCTCTTCTGATTGTTTGGATCCAGCTTATGACTCAAGTCTCAAGGTGCCATTGGATCATTTGCAGCAGTTTATTTGTAAAAATCATTTATCTTGGTTAAAAATACCTTGGTTAGTGTATGAATTTATGCAGCAGACCAATTGATGCATATGTCTTGACAGATAACAGATAACAGCAACTCACCTTATTTGTAAACCTGCAGCAAAATGATAGAAATTGTAGAGCATGTAATTTTGCATGGTTGAGAGAGGTTTTTAACCCAAAGAAGCAAAGGATTAAGACTGATTTCTTATATAGCTTGTCAAGAATAGCAGTCTTGCCTACTTTTGTATTGAATTGCATCAAAAGATGACAAAAATGACTTGACCGATCTTCTTTATCAATCTGCTGCATGACATTCAAAGCTGTAAAACAAAGATTAAGAATAAATTAGGAAAATCTAGGATAAGCCCCTTGTTTAATAACAAAGAAAAAGCTTCCCAAACAAATGGCATGGCAACTCTACTTAAATTCAGAATTCAATGTACCTGTGAAAAATCATTGTACATTCATACAATTTTTTCTCATATTTTTAAGAATTATGGATTGCAGGAAGGGCCAGCACAAGGGGGAAGGTGGGGGCAAATTGCAAGATTTTCAAATCAAATTAAAATCAATGTTGATGGAGCTCTGGAGGGCAACAAAACTAAATAATTATATTTATTAATAAAGATATATTTGCAAATTTACAATTGTATCTCTGGAAATTGTGTGGTCATACAGTAATGGAATGTATTATATTTTACTAAATCATAATTTATTTTGCAATAATATTGACGCAATAACAAAACCAAGCAAACATTAAAATGAGACAATAGTTTCTAATTCTAATTTAGCTAACAAATCTTTCATTCTAATGCACACTTTAAACAGATTTGAATGTTGGTGAAAGATGAAAATTCCTAAATTTTTCTAACCCTATTAAGAAAATAAATGTTCAAGCTTCAATTTATAGTTTATTTTTTAAATCTTTTCGCTTTAAAATTGATCTCTCATTTATTTTTCTGTGTAGCAATGCTGTATTTTAGATAATTTAACTCAAACAAAGGCAGATTGGGATATCTTTCCAAAAACTGTTTTATTTTACTACTAGGCCTATAAATTTTCATAGCAAGACATTTATTTGTGCATCTCTAGGTCAAGATACAACCAATCTGAAATAACTGTAAAAGCATGTGAATTTCCAAATGCAGTTTACACAGCAATGTAATGTATGTATGAAATAGAATCAACGTCACAGGCAAATAAACAAACTAGGGTTCTGACATTAGGGTTCTGACACTAGGGTTGTTGTCTTTTTTTGACATGATTAAATGAGGTAGTTTTGGCTAAATAAAGCTTTTGAATATGAAAAACGGAACAGATACTAGCCTCCTGTAAATAGAACCACACATGGCAACTTGTATATTAGACAAATCTTTCATTATGTATAGTATAAACTTATAAAGACAATTGTATCATTTATGGGTGTCTATATGAAATTGATACCTTGATTTATGCAGCCTTTCCTTTAAAAAATAGAATTACATTATGCCTTTGAAAGGTGAAATGTTGACTGTTGGGGTTCACATTTCACCAAACAAAACAAACAAAACCAAAGGGTATTCAAAAAACAATTTAGGCACATTTCAGTTATTTGATCAGCTAGCTGGAATAGGTTTAAAATTGTGCATTTTGGAACAACATTGAAATAATTGACCTCAAACATGTGCTTTATGCAAAATATATAAAGATAACTTTAGAAAAATGTTCTTCAATATATCACATTCTTAAATTGTATGTACCGGATTAAGGTGATCATTCATGATCCGATGATATTGTAATTTGCACAGTCCATTTTCCTCCTTCTAACTTTAAAACTTTGTTAGACTCCATGAAATAATGTCTACCAAAGTTATTGCTATTCTGCGACCTCACAAAGATTTAAAGGTATGAAAGTAACCAACTTACCATCATTAGCCTCGATCTGATCGCAATAAAATTGGCGCGAAAAGGCGCGTATGGGCAGGCACATCAGGACTCGGGAGAGAAACCTTGGCTAAAGGGCGAGACTTGGCAATTTGCTATTTACCAATACTCAACACACTCAAAACCTTTATTATTCATGTTAATTGAAATACTTAATCTCAAGGACAGAGGCAGAGAAACAAGTAATCCGGAGCAAAATATTTTCTAAACATGGCAACAAATCTTTCTTTCCGTGCGTGGAAAACCAGTATCAATGGTATTAATGATCTCACGGGGATCTTTCGGGTCCAATTAACATAAAACTTTCAATATTTTAGGCTTTGACTGGTCAATGACAAAATAATCCAAGCTTATATTTAATTATCCCACCCCTTTCGATTATTTATTTTCACCCTATTATTCGATTATTAGTTCTGACCCAAACAATAGCGTTGATCACATCCCATAAGATTTAGACCATCTTTGAAGTAAATAGCCAAACGTCTTTATTTTATTGAGAAACAAAGCCGTAAAATAAAATAAAAAAACCGTAAAATACTTTCCCAGCTTAGTCTTATTTACATCTTACCGATTATTTTTCTAATAATATTGTAAGTATTTATCAAAATATATGAAAATTTGTATTAAACACTTGTCATCTACTATTTTCAAACCTCAAGCTCTCGCTTTAACGGAAATGTGTCATGTTCTTTCATTTTGATATCTTGTTACATAAACAAAATTTATTCCCTATTTTGAGTGATATTTGTCTGGATCATTTGTTGTCTTGAACAATATGTTATTTCCTTGCAGAAAAATTCCTTTTACCTCGAATTTTTTTTAAAATTTCCTGCTGAAGTGTAAAAAGAAACAAGCAAAAATAATGTTACTAAAACTTTTTAAGATTGCTGATCAAACACAAAATTACGTGCAAACAATATTCATTACCATATTAAAGATCTGAATACAATGAAGGGAAATCACCCAACTCTAAAAAAAATTACAATTATTTACTGAATTTTAATAATGAATTAATGACAACAGCAAACAACAGAAGAAGTTATTGCTGTACTCTAGGGTGATTAGTTGTCGATAATGAAATATGACAGCCAACATAATGATAATGCTATAAATAATGATGGTGGGAAATCGCAGGTAGCCAATGATTCAAGAAATACCATAAGGAGAGTGGTTTTCCTTAAACTTAGTTGAAACTATTCAAATCCTGATAATACTTAAGAAATGGAGCTAATCCAGAATAAGAAAAAGAAGCTGATAACCAGTAATCGTATTTTCATATAATTTAGACTTTTGATACAATGAGACATTTTTGCATTGTGCTTCATTGGGTGGTTTGTTTTTAAATCTAAATGAAATTTTAAATTTATAATATTTTGGACCTTCATTGGATATCCACTGAATTCAAAATTCACTTTTCCGAATAATTTGCACTTCCCTTGGTTGTTCGTGATTAGTAGCTAAAGTTCTCCCAACCACGCAGATAAATATATGAAATATAAAAAAAATAAAGGAAGTTTAATCCATTAGACTATCCGTGAAATGCTGTAACCACTCCCCTCTCCCCCCTCCCCCTTCCAAAAAATCGCTTTTCTTAATATACTATTCATGATGATTCTAGCAAATTGCAGGTAGCAAATGATTCTAGAAATGCCATGGGGAGAGTGGTTTTTTCTTAAACTCAATCAGAATTATTTTAATCTTGACAATACTCGAGAAATAGAGCTAATCCAGAAACAGAAGCAGAAAAAAAGCAGACAGCCAGTAATAATATTTTCATACATAATTGAGACTTTTGATATTATGAAAAATTTTGTATTGTGCTTCATTAGGTGGATATTTGCTATTGTGTGCTTCATCTGAATGAAATCTTAAAATTGTAGCATTTTGGACCTTGATTGGATATCCGCTATTTTGATAATTCTCTTTTTGGAATAACTTTCGCTTTCCCTTGAGTATTCATATATTTATCTGCAAGGGCTCCCTTTCATTCAGATATATGAAATGTAAATAAAATAAAGGAAGTAAATCCATTGGGGGAACAAGATAGCTTATCAATAGAATGGTGTAGCCACTCTACCACCTCCCTGACAAAATCGTTGATCATAATACAAAAGAGAACTCTTAGGGCAAGAGGTAAATTGCATTAATCTACTTCAAACATTGTCATTGCCTTTTTGAAAGACTTTAATTTATTAAACTCTTCGTTATGTGAGATATTGGTAACCTTAAAAATGAGATCATTAAAGGTCTCTTTTAAAAAGTTAAAGTCGAGGCTGTGCAGAAAGTTTGAAAAAATATAGTGATTCTTTCATGTTTTCTTCCTTAGTTTTTACACCTGTCTCTGTTTTGTTAGCTATGTTACTTCATAATACTGGGACCCCTGCGTTTGAACGAGGTTATTCAGAGATGTTTCGAGGCTGCCATCGTTGATTTCACAAATTAATCTTGCGCCTGTTTTCATTCTCTTGATATTCATAGAAGAGCATTTACATCCACTTGCCTCTTGAAAGCAGAGTCTGCACATGCTAAAACATTCCACAACCGAAGTGACGTCTGCAACTTTTGATAGATGTTTCGTCAGTGCCATGTTTGTAAATTTCATGTTGGTTGTGAAAGCAAAAGGGGTCTCTGCAACAATTTGCTGAGCTAAAACATGAAATTGCCATTTAATAGAAATGTGAAGATAGGTTAAAACAATTTAGTAGCATTAAAGAAACAAAATAACCTATTTGCTTTCTGGGGAATTAAACATTACAATTGCTAACAACAAAACTGAATAATTTTAGATGTTATTTAGTTGTTAATGCACTTTGCTAAAGACTTACACTGTGCGGAGTACAAGATATATGGTAACTTCATCATCTAATTCAAGATTGACGAAAGGACAACCGTTTATACCTTACACACCTCTCTAGGAAGATTAAACTATCCGAATAACAAAATGCATAAATGTTGGAATCAAAAATTGGTTCTGTATTGTAGCACACATTCATACGCTCAAAGTTTTTTATTACCGATCATCTCCCCATTCTTCATCCCTAAAGGAACCTGATATCTAATTAACTTAGATCAAATACTGAAATTTACTTGCTGTATCCTTCAAATCAAAATCTTCAACTCATGGTATTTATCGATTTCTAAATATCTTCAGTATTCTTATCATAGTACCAATTTCTTAAAAAAGTTGTACTTTGATAGACAATGTATAATATGAACACAAATTATGCAATTAACAGTAGAATTTTCAATATCTTTTTATAATTTTATTTCCTAGCTAATAAAATTTATATAGTGCATCATCACGGAACTTTATTCATGAAAAGCGATTTCAACATCCGTGTAAGATTATTTACCGACACATTTTGATGATCTTAATATTTGTTAGCAACTTGATTCTCATTTGAATATTTTCTTTCTTATGCATGGTCTACATTTTTACAAACAAAATTTGTTTGCGTAATTCAAACATTTCTAACTAGGTTATCACTTTTCCCGCCAAAATCCATTATGAAATACGCCTATTTCACCTTATTCATGCATCCAAGTGTTTTGTGTTGTCAAAAGGTCGACAAAAAGTGCCGCCATTTTGAGCAAGATGGTGCAATATTTTTGTTACCCTAGTGTATATTGTTCTTTTTTTGACGGGCAACAATGAAATAACTGAAAACTTTGCAAGCATTGGTAACTTAACTTTGCCATAAAGATTCAATTGATTGTCTAAAGGATTAAAGACGCAGAGGAAGAAAGAGGGCCTACCATCCTCGCCTGTCATCTCTCCAACAACAGGGCTATATACCCCAACGCCTTTTGAAGTGCTTGCCGCAACACTGAATTCGTAAACGGCGTACATCTTGAGTGAGTCAAACATTCTGTTTTGCGATGTGCCTTCAACATACAACCAGGTTTGAGATCCCCTTATCCTGTACTTCACTGTGTAACCAGTAATATTTCCGTTCTTCTTTGCGTCACCTGAGAGGGCATCCCAGGTTAGCTGAACAGAGTTGGGTGATTTCTTTACAGCTGTAAGATTAGGTGGATAATCTCCTGGAACTGATAAAGATAACATAATTGGATATGATTTTGAATCTAGAACTAGCATTTAGAAACATTATCGAACACCTTCATTCAAAGTGAACTATGCCACAATTGACTCCGCTAAAAAAGTGCAGCGTGGAGAGACAATTTGAATAGAGAAGCCTTTATAAGCACTTACCGTCTTCATATGTTCGTACAGATTTTCTCCCGGATATGATGTTGTGTTCAATTGTTGATTTTATAAAACCGAAATAGTGAATATAAAAGCTATATTCAGTATACGGTTGAAGACCAGTAAGGGTTTTCTTGGCCGGCAGAGACCCACTGAAAGCTACTTTGACCTTTGAAGACGGATCTGACTTTTTGTGGTACAGAATTTCATAGGAATTTGAAGAGCTCCATTGATCACCTTTTGGGACACTGGGTGCAAAAAGCTGGGCTGATACTGCTGTTGAGCTCTCAACTGATAATATTGGACTTGGAATGTTGTGAAGTGTCTCCGCTATAAAAAATGGAAACAGAAAGATCTGTGATGGATGTTCACAAAGCTACACCACAATGAACTGCGATCATATACAGACCGCTTAAACGCTACACGGGACCGACTGTCAGATTTGTCCCTTAATTAATTCAGCTCCTATAGCTTTCAAACATTAAGCTCAAAAAGATTTGCATCTATTTTTTTACAACGACAGTTTCAGGATACGTCTAAATATACCTAGGGTAGTAGAGGGATTAAAAAGCAAACAAAATGGAGCATTATAAGTAGACCAAAAAGGAGAGTTAAGAGAGAAGGGGGCTCTTTTTGTCTCACTTTTATCAATGAGCAAATCTTTGACTTGTTTGAGCCCTAAGGGCCGTGTAAATGAAACTTTCTAAATATCTTTCCAAAATGATCTGTTTTGACTTTACTGGGAAGAAACAGGAATCAAAGTTTTTTGACTTGTACGAAATTAAACATAATTTTAGAGATACTTTCAATATCATGTGCCCTATAAACGATAGAATCGGGGACACCGCCGTACTGCCTTGCCCATTCTTTGATATGAAGAAACCGGTTCTTCTTGCTGGATTTTCTTCATTTTTGAAACTAAAGGAGCTGACCAGTCTTTCACATCAAGCTTCAAGTAAACTGTGTTGCATAGTGACAATAACGTAATAAACAATATTAACAAAAACTTAATATCTTTTTATTGAAACAGCTGGACGACTTAAATGAGATGTTTTACATGGTCGCGATATCTTCAGTCACCAACAGCTTATTCAGCCTCATAGAGCAGTTTACTCACAACAAATATTACTTCCTTTTCTCTGTTATAATATAAACAAAACGTTGTCTCGATTCAATTTGTTCTGTTTATATGCAATTATATAGACAGTAGTCTTTTACGCTCAAAAATTTACTGAAATATATATTTAAAGATGTATCTTGATTCTTGAAACTGCATCATTGATATTCTAGCGTCATTTTTTTTCAACTTCGCCTCTTTTGGCTACTGACCTTTTACGCTGGGTAGCCTAGCGAATGATTTAGTGTACAAAACTTACTGTGTGCGTTTTTTCAGCAAATTATGTTTATTATGTTAAGTGATATATGAAGGAATATCTGAAGCAGATCGAACTCCGCTACTACCAAGCAAAACACCCCTTACACAGCATTTCAGACATCAGTCAACCGTTCGCAGTTAAGATTAGCCGATTGGATACGTAACAATAGGTCTATTGTTTAGTACAACCAATAGGAAATTTAAATGGCCAGCGAAATGCATCGGGACCTAATGCATTTTGAGTTGTCTCTTAATCAAGGATATCACGGCTTTTCAGGGACGTTGCACAGCAAATCGAATAGGATCTTGAAAGAAACAAACTTTCTTTTACCTTCTAAAAGGTTAGTGAGAAGACCTGTCCAGTCTTGTTCCCACGTTGTACTTAGATCCTTTTCTCTTTTCATGCTTAAAAAATCATTGCCACTACCCTCGACGTGAACAATATCAATAGGGTAGTATCTTTTTTCCACATACTCGCCGATAGAAACTTCTGCATTGCTTTGATACCTGTAAAACAAAAGTTTTACCTCAAAAAATAAAAACACATTCTCAGGAATATAACTGGACGTGAGCTAGTTATGATAATAATAAAAAATAATAAACAATATATTTAGAGTTGGCGGAGAAAATAGCGTTTAGCTAATTAAGGCCAACTATACAAAATATACAAATTACAATTTACAAAATATATTAATTACAAAAAACCTAGATTTGGAACAAAAACTTTGCATAATTTGCAGCTACAGTCCAAAGTTTTGCAGTCCAAAGCTAAAAATTAACTCAATGGCTCTTAGCTGTTAATGACTGACGAATCAAAACAATAGCAAAAAACATATTCTTTTAACGATACTATCGAACGATATTCTTCTAAAAACATGTCAGATTTGAAAAAAAAAGAATAACTTAAGAATATATGCAGACTCAAAACGAAAATTTATCAGGAATATCGAGGCAGCCCAAAATTTTATAGTATTTTTATAAAAAAAAGTGTTTGTACTTAAAAAATGAATCCTGTGAATGAGAATTCAGTAAGAATCAGACAGTTGCGGACATAAAAAAGCATAATGAAACTTACGCGCTATCATATATCTTTGCTATTGAATTGTTAGCCATTGTAAGGTTAACTTCGCAAAATGAATCACAACTCTGGTACCACCTGTAGCTGCCATTTTGGGGCATTGAATAATACCCTGTATATCGAGCACCAAAACTATCAGGATAGTTGTCATATTTCGTGTCATAAATGGTTGATCGACAGAAATATCGCGATGGATTGTTTGGATATTTTGTCGGATTGGCATCTGCAAAACTTTGTATTGTCAATGACTTTGGCCACGTGGTATTTTCAAACATTTCTCCAAGTAATCCGTCCATTTTGTAAAATTCTACGAAGCAAAAATATTCATATCAATTCCTATTGATTGAAATAGCATTTTTCATTCACGCTTTCGCTTTCGTGTTTGGAAAAGGACGGTTTTAACGCTGGAACCCTGAGTTCTTCGTTCAATCGGGTCATCAGGCAGAAAAATAAATAAAGTAAAACAGTAATTTTCCGTGGGTACAATCCATACTTTATGTACAATAATGAAGTAGACACAGATATAGGTCCGTGATATAGGGACTCAAATTTTCCTTAAATATTTCTTTTCTAAACGTTTACAAAATTGTCCGCGCAAATTAACTTTTCAAAACAACGAAACAAACCGATTGATCGTCGAAGGTACCGTCGTTCCAGTGGCTTGATCTCTGTCCCATTTGGTAGCAATATTCCAAGCTTCATGAAACGAGGAAAGCTGCTTCCACCGGAGTACCTTGCATCGATTTTGTATCTGAATCCTTTTATCAGCGGAAGCCCATTTGAAAGTTTACTGTTGAAATAAGATTTTAGATAAATGGCTAGCAGAGATATGTGGCACAAAGCCCTGTTAAAGATATCAAAAGTTCTGTATAATGTTTGGGGGAGAAAATGACTATATGTTCATAAAAGGTATTAGCAGTTTTTCATGAAAGGTTGTTATCGATTGATATTGCTTCTAAAAACTGGGCATGTTGGGACATTTATGCAAGGTTGTCTGGTGTTATTGCCAATTCAACATTACTTTCGGTGGCTGAATGCAAGAATCAAAATGACAAAATTGTTTTGCTTATCATTTTGCTTCATCTGTTACCAAGCTATGACTATCATTGATTTATCCTACCTTTGGGACCATCCTATAGTTGTAGATGTAGTGTCTGTATGATTGACAGTTTCAACGACTCCAGGCTGCAGCACAAAGTCTACTTGGCACTCCTTCTTGCAGGCCACAATTAGACGATGTGTGCCAGACAAATGAGACACAAAGTAGGCTCTGAATCGAAAATGGTGATATTTTGAAGCAGATGCGACACCCCATTCAAAATTAGCCAAATTCCGCATACCAGTAGGACAGCCAGGGTAACCACTTATACTTTCAAAATTTTCTAAAGATTTACTGGATGAATCTATCCATGTATCAAGAAGAAGTCCAGGCTCTGGCTTGTAGAATGCTGTAAGCAAAAAACATTTAACTTTTAATTATCTAAAAAATGTATCTTTGCCTAATCTTCAAGTCTGCCATCTCGCAACATCGGCAGAACTTCAAAACCTAAATTATCTCGACAGAAATTCAAAAGAAACAGTAGCATGTGAAGAATTTTGGACAGAGCGTTGACTGTTTCTCAAATTCTGAATAAATTCGTGAATTTGTTTCATTATAAAGACGCTGATTGATCAGATTTCTAAAGAAGCATTTAATTGAATAAAGAAACAATGATGTAGAAATTACTTTATTATTCTTGTTGACACAGTTTTGAGGAACGCAAAATTTTCTTCGAGAGAGGAGGGGTACTGTACTTTTAAGGATCCACTGAATAGCACTACATTTTCTCCTTTGTTCTTACGTTCCAAAGTTTGCTCGTAAAGTCAGGTTTATAATCAAGGCTAAATAACATTTTCAATACAAATCTTAATTAATTAAATACAGATGCTTTTGCTTAAATTTTGCAACATGGAATACACTGAATATTTAGAAGAAAAGTGGCAGCAAATTTTAGTATATTCAGGCCACGGCCTTAACAAAGGGCCTACTAGGAACCAGATATCCTCATATACGCGTACATTGCTCCTCAACTACGTACATCTAACTACTTGTAGTATTTTCATGGAATAATATAAGTGCAAATTGTAGGTACCTGTTTTGAATGATACAGCACTGCCAAAGAAGGCAAAATATACAAAGGCAACTACTGCAGAATGCATTTCTAGCCTTCTATGGATTTTGGTAGCTAGAAGAGAAAACGAAAGAATATGAAAAATAAAAACAATAAATCTCAACTGAAATTTTCATATAATATTCAAATTAATATAGACATAAATATATTGCCAAGTTTTTTGCAATATTCAAAGTTGATAAGCTTTCAGACAGGACCTTTTTTAACATACTGTACTAACTAGGGGGGGGGGCAATTTTCCCTCTAGCCCAAGTGACTTTCTTTGTTTTAAACAATAGGCCATTGTCCTCCTCTTTATATAAACAAAGGCTTGCGCTTAGTTTTCCTTAGAATAGGCTATGTTTATCAAAAGAATGCAAAAACATAGCCAATGAACGCAATTTGGAAATCAAACGCAAATAATCAACAGGGAATACTGATAGGAAACCAATTATTCAATTATATCCTAAAATGATGAAATTTCTCGGTAGAACGTCACCATCGCGTTTTGTTATTGTTGAAGTGGTTTCCTTGGTAAGGATCTTCAATTACCCAGAGTCCCGAGCCACACGAATTTAAGTAGAGGGGAGGCGGATGAGGTTTTCTCTAATTTATTTATTGCTTGTAATAAAGCCTCAACTTCTTCTTAGCACGTACATAACGCACAAAGTGCAGCGTGTAATGAATTCGCTAGACGAGTGATCGCATTCTCAAACAAACGTCCCTTTGATTAACCTGTTACCAGTAGTTTAAAAATATTCATTCATTGTCTTTCAAAAATATTTGCAGGTAGCAGTACATCCAATGAGGCGCCCGGACAGGGGCGCAAATGCAAATTTTTTTTAGGGGGGGTGTTCTTTGAAGGGACCGAGTTTTCGCCACGACAGACCGATTTTTGCGATATAGATATTGTCAGGGCCGCTCTCCAGGGCCGTCGCAAGGCAGGCCTTGTTGAGGAGGGGCGTGGATAACAAATTTACCTGATTGAAATATGATTGCCTGAAATTATATAGTTGCTGTCACGAACTTCTGCATTACATTTTGTCAATTTAACTCTGTATATAATGCACAACTTTCATTTTTATATGATAATAACCGACATTCCTAATAGTTTTGTCAAATCTCTATATCGGAACGGGTAAAGGATATAGTTTCGAAAATTTTCGAATTTTGATACTTCCAGTTCCCTGGAAAATGCACTTTTTAAGCAAATTTAAGTAAAGCAGTCCTCCTAACCCTATTGAACATTCTTTCTTGCAAGCAAATTGAACAGTAGTTAGAAACAACTGGTACAATTTCGCTATGGTCTTGAAAAATACCATGTTGTCAGTTACTTCTAGGTAACAAGCAACGCTGGTTGTCAATTAAGATCACTCTTTTCATCTTAGCATGCCTTTTGAATGTTCAAAAAAATCTGGATTTCATTGTGAAGTGCAGTTTGAGAAACTTTAGGGGAAATGAAAGTAAGGCACAATTTTACCTAAAGAGGGCCTGGAATTTTAGATTTAATGCCAACAAGAATATCATTTTTAATTTAACCAACGAAGCAACTACCTTTGCTTGATCCTTTATTGATTTTATGACAGGAAGGTCTTTGAAATACCTAAAGCATTTCTTCCACCGAGCGGATTTTACTATGTGACTGCTGCTCTCGCATTCCCCTTGAAATTTGCGCATCCAACGCTGCGCATAGCACGGAAACAAGATAAAGCATGTACATGTGGCAAAAAAGTTATTGTTGTCGGTGGCAGCTAGAGTTTTTTTTCCAAAGCAGCGCTGGTTGGGACCTGACTGGACCGATTCTGTCCCCTGTCATTTTTCGGTGATTAGCCCTTCCTAGAAAATGCGCCCACTATATGCCTTACTTTACTGCAATATAGCATGGTACCAGCAGAATTGGGACCAGCTTTGGGTGTGATAGACAGAAATACTAAGCAGATGGCTAGATCGGGACCGACTTTATTGCTATCAACTTTCAACTGGGACCGGGTGGTGAAATTATTGGGGGGTGTGACATAGCAATTGAGCTACAATGATGCTTGTTTTGAATCGTGATTAAAAGTTTAGGTATTATCAAGATAGATTTACTGAAGTGGAAAGAGGAATGCATCAAAGCAAAAATTATTTGATCGTGTAACGATTTTGAGCCTAAATTAGTTGTTTCCCAAGGTTCCATGCTAAGAGAGGTCTTGATTAAATTTTTTCTACCCCCAGATAACTTTGAATTTTCCTATGTTATATTGATTTCAATTTCCCATTGAATTTTCTTGCCTTATTCGAGTCAAAAGTGCCTTATTCGTGCCCAAGATTAGTCAGACAATAAAAAAGTCTGACCATTTTTGTATCTTCCTGGTACATCCATTTTAACAGAATTCAACAGTATCACAGCCATGTTTATGTCAAATCTGTAGCTACACTGATATTGTCAACCCAAAAACGAAACTTTATCAAAAAAATCAAAACAGCAATCTTATATTAAGAAAATTCATGAAAATGTTAAGACCGTCACAGGATTAATCTATTAAGGAGCCATCTTTCTCTCGCCTCTAAACATACTGAAAGTTGCAACATTAGATTGTGTCATATTAAATCAATCTTTAATCAATATCAAATCATGCAAAGTTCCTAAAAGTAATGGATCTCAGATGAAAGAAGTCTTTGCATCTTTGCTTTTAGGTTTTAAACAGATTTCCATAATCTGTGCCCAACTCCCTACTCTAAAATTTCGTGTGCTCATGATTCTGTGATTGCAAAGGACTGAAGAGAATAGGTAGCACAGACATTTGTAGTGAAGTGGTTTAGTGACCGTAGGAATCTTGTATCCAGGTAATCCACGGTTGAACCAATCGCAGCTTCATCGTCCATGTTTTTGAACTTCAATGCAAAGCACATTTGCCCCGTCTTTTCATCAGCTTTTCATCGATTCTAGGTTACGAAAGTTGCCTTCAAATCAGGGCAGACGATAGACTAGTTAATTTTTGCTAAAATGTTTTCTGAAAATGCTTTTGTCGCAGCGAGTATTTAGTGAAATGATGTAATGGGATTCTAAAGACATACTGCCCATCACAAAAATTACATCATTGATCCACTGACATTAGTATCATCATTGACAAATAATATTCAAGTGATATCAACATTATTAAACTGCACCTTTCAAGTAATGTTTATCTTTGGATCTAAGATTTACAACGTTAAAAACAAACTGTCAAGAAATTTATCGCACATGTTTGTAAAAGGGTTCTCAATGATTTTACATTACCTCAGTTGGTCTTTTGTGGACAACCATTGTAACGACCTTCTTGCATTTCTCATCATATTTTTCTTCGATCAGCTAAAATTATTGTCTTTGTTGTCCAACCTGTTCATCCCATGTCAATAGAACCTGTTCATCCATGGTCAATAGAAAACGCTGCCCTAGAAGGCGTAAGGTATCAAATAGGCATCAAAGTTGCCACCCTCAAATGTCTTTGCGTGATACCTCTAATAATGGCAAACAAATATGAATATCAGGCAAATAGGGTACGTATCAGAGTTAAATTGAGTATTTGATTAAAAAGTGTGATACTGATTTAATTATTCTGTACAACGAATGAATATTTTTCGCCGTGAATCAAAGGACCTCGGTCTTCCCATTAAAGCCTGACAGGGGGGTCATGCTAGGGTCAAGAGAGTTAGCGCTGTAATGTTGAAAAATACCCTAAAATTGTAGTCTTTTCTAATAATAACCCCCTAATGGTAGCTCAAAAACAAAAACTATGTGATTTGATAGCATCAAGTAACAAAGATTTTCTGCAAAAGTTTGATACTAGCATCCAAATACACAAAACCGGCAATGCTTCTTCGTAAAATTCCTTTGCTATCCATTGACTGTCATAGATTCGGTGAAGATAAAATCTTGTTCATTTTTCATAATAATTCGCAATTTCAATTCATCGGTCAGATAGGAATACCCCATAAGCGAAAGCAACTACCTAAAATACACACAAGTGGTAGTGCTATTTCTATAAATTGACCATTGGTAGCCTGTTTGTCAGACCATCAAATTTGCTGGTGCTCCCTTGTCAGGTCTTAATGGGATTATTCCCCCTTGATCGAAGGCCACGCATATATTTATGTACCGAAAATCCTCTCTTAAGCCCTCATTTTAGAATAAACCCCCTTCTTCGAATATACTTCCATATCGGAATACCTTTTAGCAGATTACCCTGGGTATCTGAGGAGTGCCTTTCTCCTTCACTTCTCCGTTCGATTCCATTCATGCGCTCGAAATTTTGTGGCCCTAGTACCCAAGATATTAACAAATAAGCCCCCCCCCCTCAAATAAGCCCTTGCCCTGAAAATCCATTTGCACCTACCTTAGATGATACTGGTCTGGCTGACCGTCCAAATGGTAAGTTGAGGTAGATTGCTCCGGTGATGATGAAATTGACTTAGCAAATTTATTCCTAAACATGAAGTTTATAATCATTATCAACGTAATTTTTTAATCAATGTAACCAAAGTAACTTGGTATTTTAGCTGAGCAGCTTTAAATGTTTATGTAATACAGCTTTATTATATATATATAGTTCATAATTTAATTCTATGTCTGTGGGAAAAAGAGGCCACGGCGTCTCAAAGTTTACAAGTTCTGAGCAGAAAAGAAGAGATTTGTGACAGCAATGGTGAGTTTGGTAAGAAAACGTGGTTAAGGTACTGAGGGAAAGAGCTTCTAGAATTTTAGACATGTCTCTTGGGATAAGAGGGGGGACGAGTATCTCTGAAATCCGGGAGAATATCCTTGTAGTATCTATTAGGTAAGCAATACGAAGGCGAATGATTGCATTAGTAGTGAAATCAAAAAAGATTTGCTGAACTTCCTATTAATTTTGCTCAGAAGTGAAAAGTGTAGACTTTTTAACAAAGATTCAAGGCAAAAGTACAGATTTTACATAAAACAAAAATGGACAAATATCCATAAAAATTGTACACAAATCTCTAAAATTATACATTAAACTGGGCTAAGTCGAAATGTTATGGTATGTAGCAAAACTGTTGCAAAACATGTTAAAATCCTTGGTAAACTGTTAACTTTATTCTAATTTTGGTATTATTATTGTCAATATTATGTGACCAAAGAAATCAACTCTTAAAAAAATTATACTGAACTATTAACAAATACTTTCTGCAGAAAAAAAATTATGAAAGCCCTTTTGCTATAAAATATTTTACAAATCAATACAAATTTTATCATTTCTTGAAAAAACAATAATCTTTTCTAGACTAAAAATAAAACCTCGTAGAAAATTTCGTTGAAATGGTGTCTAAATCTTTTGACCTGCCAGAATCAAATTTACCTTTCTTTGACCAAACTAGAATGCCGTGAGATATTTTCCAGTGTGCCATGGAAAATTCTCCGGTTCCACCTAATTGGCCTGGTCAAAAATAGGACTTCTTCTTTATCTCTATTTGATTCCTATTCACAGGGGCGCAAATGAGGGGGGTGTGGGGGGTCACACACCCCCCCACCCCCCAATAATTTCACCACCCGGTCCCAGTTGAAAGTTGATAGCAATAAAGTCGGTCCCGATCTAGCCATCTGCTTAGTATTTCTGTCTATCACACCCAAAGCTGGTCCCAATTCTGCTGGTACCATGCTATATTGCAGTAAAGTAAGGCATATAGTGGGCGCATTTTCTAAGAAGGGCTAATCACCGAAAAATGACAGGGGACAGAATCGGTCCAGTGCGGTCCCAACCGGCGCTGCTTTGGAAGAAAAACTTTAGCTGCCACCGACAACAATAACTTTTTCGCCATATGTACATGCTTTATCTTGTTTCCGTGCTATGCGCAGCGTTGGATGCGCAAATTTCAAGGGGAATGCGAGAGCAGCAGTCACATTCCCTCAATAGTATATCAATTGGAAATTTCAGGTAAAATCTGCTCGGTGGAAGAAACGCTTTAGGTATTTCAGAGACCTTCCTGTCATAATGTCAATAAAGGATCAAGCAAAGGTAGTTGCTCCGTTGGTTGAATTAAATATGATATTCTTGTTGGCATTAAATCCAAAAATCCAGGCCCTCTTTAGGTAAAATTGTGCTTCATTTCCATTTCCCCTAAAGTTTCTTGAACTGCAATTCACAATGAAATCCAGATTTTTTTGAACATTCAAAAAGCATGCTAAGATGGAAAGAGTGATCTAAATTGACAACCAGCGTTGCTTGTTAAGTAACTGACAACATGGTATTTTCAAGACCATAGCGAAATTGTACCAGTTGTTTCTAACTGCTGTCCAATATTTTTGCAAGAAAAATTTTTCAATAGGGTTAGGAGGAATACTTTAGTTAAATTTGCTTAAAAAGTGCATTTTCCAGGGAACTGGAAGCATCAAAATTGGAAAATTTCCACCTTCGGCGGCAACCATGGTGCCGCCTCAGGTGGTTACTATATCCTTTACCCGTTCCGATATAGAGACTTGACAAAACTATTAGGAGAGTCCGTTATTATCATATAAAAATATGTGTGGCGAATTATATACAGAGTTAGATTCACAAAATATATTGCAGAGGTTCGTGACAGCAACTATATAATTTCAGGCAATCATATTTCAATTAGGTGAATTTGTTATCCCCGACAATATCTTTATCGCAAAATTCGGTCTGTCGTGGCGAAAACTCGGTCCCTTCAAAGAGCACCCCCCTAAAAAAATTTGCATTTGCGCCATTGCCTATTCAGGATACCTCGATGAGAACGATTTCATATTGTAAATATGGACCAGAGGGTTCTTCTAATAAAGTGTGCCATAGATGGAAAATGGTTAAGAAACACTATCTTGATAAGAAAGTGGTTGATAATATTCTTCAAGTAGTTTTATGTACCAAAACATAGGAAACGTACGAGCCGAAATTTTTTTTACAATTTCCAAGTTAATATTCATAGCTTGGAAAATAAAAGGAATATAAGAAACATTTTCCCAGTAGCAAACAGGCTTTAATCCAAAGCACTACTATGAATTTCATCACCATGTAAAATAAGATAGTTACTTAGCCAAATAAGATAGCTCATTAGACGTAGTACTACCAGCAGCAAGCAAATATTTTGGAATAACACTGAATACGATTATTCAAAGCTATTATTGCAAGCTGTAAGTTAATCAAGCTTGAAAATGATAATGTTTATCATTTGAACACATTTGTTTCTACCCGCGCCGTCATCAAGAATGAATAATATTGTGTCGATATTTAAATTTATTTGGCAAAGAAGCTCAGAAAATTTACTTTGTGAATTCTGTATTTTAGCATTGCTAACAGAAGAGCAAAAAAATGCTAGGAAATTTACTGCCCTTCCCCAATGTCTCAAAAACTCAAGTTTTGCTACAAGATCGACCGATCTAAGCATTTATAATAATAGTGAACGATCGAAGAGCCACACATTTTTGTGAATGGAGGGGATCACGTTCATTTACAAACTTCAAACTATCCATGTATTATTTTACAAAAGTAAGAACATTCAGGCTCAGAATCATCACATTTTTAATAATATTGTAAGAATATTTCTCAGATTGCTTGCATATTTGTGTCCCACTTTTAGTAGTTGTCAGTTTTGTGATGAAAATAATGGAGAAACACAGAACTTGTCTTTCGAAAGACGTGGTTTCAACTCGAGGGGGGCTATTTCTTCGAATGGCTAATTTTGATCCACAACTGGGTGTATATATTTCCTAGCTTATAGTTTTCATAGCCATTTTCGATCTTGGTACCTAGAAAAGATTGGTTCTTTCTTTTATTTAAAGCATATTTGCAATAATTTGCTAATATTCTGAGAGAAGAACTGTCTTGTTCTTGAGAAGGTACAGCCGATATGTCCGTTAGAAGCAAGAATTATAAAACAAAAACTTTCTTACTTCGGACACATTATGAGGACAGAGACGGTCTAGAAAAGCCATTAGTGCTCGGAATATACGAGGTAAAACGAAGGAGAGGCAGGCCAGCTGCAGGTTGGATGGATGAGGTCAAGACGGTGACGAAACCCTTGTTTAAAGATCTGTGGGAGGTCACCAGGGACCGGGACAAGTGGAGGACGAAGATCATGACCATCACCAAAAATCGGCGTCGACTTGATGGGACAAGATGATGATGATTCTGAGACATATGATTTGTTCCTGACTCAGGAGCCAAATGAAAAGTTTTTCGGGGCATTAATTTTCCCTCGTCATGGGGCTTTAATTTTCTCTTGTCATGGGGCTTTAATTCCCCCTTGTCATGAAATAAATATGAGGAAATTAGTGAATATGTTTTGAACAGGGACGGATTTTAGCAACAAGGATTGGGTGGGAGTGTTAGACATTAACTGGGCTTTGATGCCACACTCTTCAGGTCACTGGTAAATGATGAAAACGCCAATACATATCACCAAAAAATGATTTTTTACCGAGTGGAAGCAAAATTTACTGAAGGACACAGAAATATTTGGGGTGTCGTATCCCCTTCACCCCACTTCCGCTAAATCTGTCCTTGGTTGTGGGTGCATATCTTTCATTATTTTTTCAACTAAAGAAGGGGAAATCGCTCTCATCGAGGGGCGGTGGTGTAGTGGAGGGGTAACGCAACATGACGCCGTTATACTTTCTAAAATGTTTGGGTTGCAGCGTTAAACTACCTGCCCAAGCAAGAAGTGAAGTTATGCTTCTTAATGATATTAGAACTACATACCAAGCTATTTTTATTAGACCATAAAAGCAGCTTAATTTATTAGACTTGCAATACTTGTCTCGCCTAACGTCCAAGTGAATATAAAAGTTATGAAAGTTATATGACGACATCACTATTTCTTTTTGGGCATTTGATTATTTTAATTAGACATGGGAAGTTCATAGGCACCGACACAGGTTTTAAAGTTGGTGGCCATGGGAAAATTTAACACCCATAACTAAAGATTTTGAAAAAAGCACTATTGTTTTTCAAAAAAAGTGGAAGTCAGGCCCCTTGTTCCCATTCGTCGGAGGCCACGTAGTTCGGTGCTCAAAATAGAGAGCGGTAATTAATATGTTTACGTATAATATGTTAATATGTATAATAAGTCAGCTGATAATATCCGAAAATGAAATAAATTAAAAATTGACCAAAGAAATACAGCAGGATGTCAAAGATTTGTGCAATATGGTGATTCCTAGCCTGCGCCGCAGACCCAATCCTCCAAAGAGAATTGGGTCTGCGGCGCAGGCTAGGTGATTCCATGAGAAATAATCAACGTGGAAGAAAAACGTAATGGATAGAGCCATACTTGCAGTGATAACATGGTCAGAAGCGTAAATTTGCAGTGGCACAGAGAAGCATGGAGAAGCATGAACAAGCATGTGGACAAAATGATCACGGAGCAGATACCAATTTCTATGAAAAGAGGATGCAAAAGAATTTAAACGGGACGAAAATATGATCTGCAGAAAATCGCATAAATCAGTAGCACAATTTCGAAAGAAATGAAGGACTTTCAGCCTCAAGTCGCCCGAACAGCTGATGGCAATGGTGATTTTTATGAAGTATATAAATTTTGATAGTTAAATGATCAATATTGAGACATTTTTGAAAAAATTATCGAAATGGTGTTCTTGTTTTTAACTTTTGCGTTATACTTCCTAAGATTTTGGGACTACACCACACCAGGGACAGGGGCACCACTAGTGTAACCTCGCTGTGAACAGGACTGATTCAGAGGCTTGAAATATCATTCCAACGTTTGCAAGAAAACAAATTAGGACATACCTATCCACCAGTCGGCAGAGTATGGCACTTTTCGACGAGATCTCCGGTGTGCACGAGCAAAAAGCCTGGTGTGACGGTGTGCACCACAAAAATTGTCTGGTGTGCTGGTGTGCACCGACTATTTTTCCCTGTTGTGGTTAAAATTTGTGAAGTTGCATTTCACCGTAAAAATGCGTGTGAAGTATACTGTTGAAGATAGCGCAAGTTTTTATTTGTAAACTTGTCAAGTAAGATTCATGATATCTCAAATTGTTCATACACAACTGTGCTTGTTTTTATCAGCTGACATTTTCTATGGGACCACACCAAGCCACACCCATCTTAGTTGCCACACCCAAAAATACGGGTGTGAAACAGGTTTTGCACAAAAATATCTCCGGTGTGCACATGCCATACTCTGCAGACTGGCCTATCCATAAACCGTTCACCCAATATATTCGGAAAAAATGAATTTGGTGGAGAGAAATTGTCTGAAGTGTACAAAGAGGCTGGCAATCCATCTTCAAAGGAATGCAAATCAAGAGCTAAAGCAAAGAAGGCATTTTTACATGTGGATAAATGTCATGTTTAATAGGTAAGGCCTCTCAAGAAAGGGGGTAATTGCGACCATGTTGGTAGCGCTTGGGGTCAAATAGGGAACGGAACATTGGTTTTTTAGTTTTTACCTTCTATGCCTATAGAAACATTGCAAAACAATAAAGCATTTTGCAAAACATTTTGCCATGGATCTTTAATTTCCCCATTGGTTGCCCTACTTTCTAACTTTTTTCGGAGCCCCTGATTGATCTAAGAATTTAAGCCCTGGCAAAACGACTAAACATTTCTCTAAACATTTCACTCAACTTTTGTTTAGTTCAAAGTTTAGTTCAAAGTTTAGTTCAAAGTTTAGTCGTTTTGCCACCCTGTTTAGTGCTGTTTAGTCATGTTGAGCAAAGTTTGATCCTCGTCAAAAATGTTTAGCGTTGTTTAGTGTTGTTTAGCAAATGTTTAGTCATTTTACCACCAATTAAACATTTGTTGTGATGAGGCAGGCACTCTAGCTGTGGAAATCCAAAATTTTCTTCTATTTCAGTTGGTTTTCCTGTCTCTGCGTGACCCAAAAGCTTTTAAGAGACATCTGAATATCTCATTGAACGCCACAATGTCTTCTTCAACAGTCAACTTTGTTGTCAAAGTAGTAAAAAGTCTTTTATTTCCCCGCTGCTTCATCTGATTCTTATTTTTACCCACTGCTTGTGCATGCAACAAAATAAACCAAAAGCAAATTCCTATGTAAGATCTCCCACAACCCAACAGCCTCGTAGCTAGCTCGCTGTTCAAAAAAGTTGAGTGAAGTTTAGTGAAAAGTTTAGTCACGTTTTACCACCCTCGCTAAACTTCGCTCGACTAAACAAAAGTTGAGTGAAATCTTTAGTCGTTTTGCCAGGGCTTTAGTTGAAGTGAGAACATCAAGCCAGATCGAATTAGGTTCTTGCACTTAAAAGTTGGAAGATGGGGACAATATTGGAGAAGACATTCAGTTATAATTATAGATATAATTTCAATTCTCACAATGTCTTCCAAACAAGCAGTAAGATTACTTCTATTTGATTAAGTTCTTAAATACGAAAACATTCTAACCTTTTTTCAATAGTCCTGTTGCTTGTGCTAATGGGGAAGTCTCTTATACTTATTTCCTGAAACCATTCTCCTAGCAGACTTCTAGCATTCCTTATGATTTAAAAGTCCTCTGTTTTTGTATTTGTACTATTTGTTACTACCTAGCATCCAAAAGTGGGTTTAGGACACAAAGAAGCTGTGCTTATCAAGCAGTGTCCTGGTCCTTCATCCTGATGTGACCAGCACCTAGTGAGTCCTTTGCCTGGAAATACAGAGACTTGGCAACCTTTCTCAGAGTGAAATCTTGGCCATAATAGGGACTGGGTCTCCAGACCCTTGGGTCTGTAGTTTGTGAAAATATCCACTGATTGATCCACACACTTGTATATTACAGTCTTTTAGAATATTCAGGATTACAATTGTTGTAAGACAGAATGCATTTTATTTCTATCTGTAATTATATTGTCCTCCACAGTGTCACTCTCATTTAAACTTGCATTTTTTGGTATCCCACACAATAACAAATTTGTAGTTTTCCCACAATTTCTGTGTATATGGGCCTTTTAGAAGTAGAGTTCAGAACAAAAATGACTTTGTCTGAATCAATGTCTGCATCGTATTCTCACTGCTCAGTTGCTGAATATAATTGACAGTGAGCATGATTGTTAGGGGCAATAAAATTATAAATGAAAAAAAGAAGAATTGAAAGTTGCAAAGCAAGAAGAGGTGTATTCCCCGACTTTTTTTAGATGGTGCAATATACAGATTCAATTAATACCCATACTATAGTTACTAAATGTGATACACAGGTGTAATTTGAAATTCAAGAAAACTTATGAAAAACGCTTTAGAAATGTACAAAGAGATCTACAAAAAACAAGGCATTGAACATTTACTTAAATTCATTTGATAACTGGTCATATATATTATTCACACAACTATATTGATCATGCTTTTTTGTAGAAAAGACAACAAAAGAGTAAAAGAAATTGGTCCAGACAGGTATTGAAACAAGATAAATTCACTTGTTCATTAGATTGGTCTATTTTTTAAAACACTGATAAAATAGTATGATTTAAATTTAATCCTGAAAGGTGCAAGCAGAGCCAGTATTCAGGATTCTAGAGACATAGCACAAATTTTAATATATTCAAGCATTTATTTAGAGCAATTTAGATAAGCAAATTTAAATATATTCAAGCCTTTTATTATAGCACAAGATCTTTTACGGTAACAAATTGGTAACCAATTATCTTTAGAGCAGCTGCTGAGTGGATTGTTCGTAATGGAGGAAGTGTGAAGTTTGCTGGCTATGAAAAATATATTCAAGACTACAATGCTCTTCCCGTTGGATCCTTGCCCAGGAAATATCTTCTTGAAGAAATTAATGCAAGAGGCATAAGTTTGACTGACAATGGATTTGAGCATCTTGGTAGGTCTTTCTTATAAATTAGTTAAGCCTTCAAAAGATTTTTTCTTTATGAATAATAAATAGAAGCAGACATTTGTTATAATAAAACAGAAGAGGTAAATACACAATCTTAAGGAGGTTGGTTTTCATTTGAAGCTACTCAAATCTGTCAAATCTAATATCTTGAGTAACACAAGTAATTCATAGCAAACAACACGAGGCAAACTTTAGTGGAACTGGTACCACTGAGATACTATTGTAAAAAATAGGCATCTTTTGCTAGGCAGAGTCACACTCATGAAATATAATATTATTAATAGGATTTAACAAATCTCTTGGTGTCTAAATGAATGTCTTGAGATAATAAAACTAACAACAACTATACTGAAAGTTTTCAAAATGTTCTTATCATGTGCTTTTTCTCTAGTTGGACTAAAGAATCTCAGAGTTTTTGATATGAATTCTTGTTCATATATTACAAACTTGTCATTACTGACAGAAGTCTCAGAGTCACTGCAATATCTAGATGTAGGAAACTGTGAAAGTCTTGCAGACATAACACCAATTGCAAAATTAAAGTAAGTCTTATGAATATTTTAGTTTTTGTTTCTGTTGAGCAGGTATAAAAAATTTAAACTTTCTGTTATAGCTGTCTTGTATAAACACCCTTGCATATAACAGATATAATTGATATAATTAAGTATTCAAAATTTTTTTAGTTTGTTATAATTCCTGATGATTAATTTTTTATAATGTTACTGAAAAGGTATTTTTCCCTCCCTTTTGGCAGAGCACTGAAAAAGCTTATACTAACAAAGACACTTGGAAAGAACAGAGAGCTTGCTATTGATGATATCAAAAGGCAATTGCCTAACTGTGAAATTATTGAATAGTAACATAAATTGAAATCTAGTAACGGCAGTTTCCAAAGAAGCCTTACCCTTCAGAAATCAAAAGATTTGGTATGTGCAGGAAGTTTATAAAGGAAACTAGGCCTGCTGTTAGTGCTTGCTGTTTGCTTGTACAGGTTTACATGGAATTGCAAAACTGAGAATTATTTTTTTCAAGAGAAAAAATGATATCTATCATTTCTAAAAAACTCCAAATAGCAAATTTTAAGAGCTACTCACCCCACCATGAGTCAGCCATAGAAGGGCAAGAGTAATTGCTTACAAACCAACACTCTTTTCGGCAAACTTGTTGAACTCTGAAGAAACTTATTTTGAGTGAAGTTCAAGGTCGTTGGTGCAAATGGCAGCCTGCTATTATTGCAGATGATGATATGAAAAATAACATAAATATGTCATTGTGAGCTCATTAGCTTAAAGCTGCCTTGCATGCTTACCGTTCTTGGGTATTTTAATACCAATTTGAGTGCAAATATGGAGCCTGTATATGAATGCTGAAAATATCATTTAGAAATCTCTACGATGAACGCTTTTGTTGAATGTAACAATATATTCCTGTATGATTGCTTGTAAATTAATTGCTATATAATTTATTATACATTTCAATTGATACACATCAATGATCCAGTCTTCTTGCCTTATCTTCTTTCCAAACATTGAAGGTAATTGTTTAATCTTTTTTCAAACTCCTGTCTTGAAGTCGATATTGAAGCATCTTCAATGCCATTTGTTGTCTTCAAATTTAACTGAAATCTAGCCAAGAATCATACTCATTTTGCAGTAAATGAGTTTTCTCTAGTTTCTGTAAGTTGATGCTAAATTTCTAAATAATTGTTGTCAAAGATACTGCTTGAGGCAAACAATCATTTTTGTAGACCAAGCTTTAGTCTAAGGACCTTTGGGACATTTCGAATAGTTAGTGACACTCTGGTGCCTCTCTGGAGAGTTTCCCCGATGCCAAGCTGCTTTCTTGGATCAGGATTAATTACAGAAGTTGTAATTGTGTCTGTAGTTGATTCTTTGATTCCGTGCAAATAAACCTTATACATATCGTCTTTGAATATCACAAGGCTCCTCGGATGTAACAATATTGACATAATGTACCGAGATTCAAAACCACTTTCAGTCTCCTGAAAGACAAAACAGCGAAAGCACTTGTGTCAACAAAAGCCGCCGTAAATTTTGGTACAAAACTAGCAAAACGAAACATTTAAGAGAAAATGGCATAATTTGACATACGGAATCAGACGAACAACTCTAAAAACGCCCCCAAAGCTTTGTAACTACGAATAAGCTGATACTAGAATATTTGTCCACGTGAAGACATGAAAGAGCTCAGGACATGAAAGAGTCTCGATCAAAACGGTCGACACTGTTATTAGAATAATAGCAATTGCATTGTTACGGCAGCTCCGTTTAGTATACCCTGGGTGCCATCATAGTTCATAGAAATGCCCTCATTTCTATGAACTATGGTGCCAGAGCCTCAGAGAGTCAAAGGGTCAAGAACGTGGGAAAGGGATTGCGAAGGAGAACGGAAGAGGAAAACCGCAATCCCTTTCCCCCGTTTTTCACCCTTTGACTCTCTGAGGTTCTGGCATCCAGGGTACGTTTAGTAAAGCTTTGGTTCGAGTTTGGGACAGGAACCTAAAGGGTTTGCTTTGGCAACAGTTTCTCCATTTTGTGGAAGAGGCAAAATCTGTTTGGATGAGGTAACGGAAGCTTTCGGTGCTCATCAAGTGCTGCTGATCATTGGCGTAGCCGACGTCGGTTTGGGTTTGAGCAACCCCTAAGAGGTTTTCACGATACATTTCACGATGCGAAGGAGAACGGAAGAGGAAAACCGCAATCCCTTTCCCCCGTTTTTCACCCTTTGACTCTCTGAGGTTCTGGCATCCAGGGTACGTTTAGTAAAGCTTTGGTTCGAGTTTGGGACAGGAACCTAAAGGGTTTGCTTTGGCAACAGTTTCTCCATTTTGTGGAAGAGGCAAAATCTGTTTGGATGAGGTAACGGAAGCTTTCGGTGCTCATCAAGTGCTGCTGATCAGTGGCGTAGCCGACGTCGGTTTGGGTTTGAGCAACCCCTAAGAGGTTTTCACGATACAGGTTTGTTTGCATTAGTTGAAGCTAAAATTGGTTCGAGAAACAAATATTATACAGTAAACATGTTACATAAAGACACCGCAACACGAATTGCTATCAGAGTTCCAGTATGGCTTCCAGAAAGGTCATAACACTGAGCTGGTCATAACTGCTTTTACTGACAACATTCGCCATGCGATTGACCGTGGTAAAATGCCTGGAGCTGTCCTCGTAGACCTACAAAAAGCCTTTCACATGGTGGACCATAGAGTGCTCCTGCCGAAATTGCCATTCATGGGAATCGTAGGTGATGAACTAAACTGAATAGCAAATTATTTGTCAGGCCGATATCAGTATGTTCAGTGTGATGGAGCAAAATCTTATCGAGAGCTAGTCAAATATGGCGTTCCACAGGGCTCTATCCCGGGACCGCTCTTGTTTCTAATACAGATCTTGTTAAAATTGTGAAAAGCTGTAATATTCACATGTATGCCATGCTGACGACACAGTCATCTACACGTCACATAACAACACCAGTATAATTGCACAATGTCTCCAAATGGCTCAAAAAACAGGCTCATTGTCAACTTAAAGAAAGGGAAAACGAACGTTTGGCACAGCAAAACGACTCTCTTCAAAACATTCAATGCAAGTGTTTTTGAATGGAGAACTAGTAAATTTTGCTGACGGGTATAAGAACCTAGAGGTTTGGCTGGACCCAACTCTAAATATAAACGAACACCTTCAAAGAATACTAAAAAAAGCAACTGCTCCAATACAGCTGTTGTCTCGTGTGCGCGATTCATTATCGGTTTTTGCTGCCAAGGCAGTATACAATTCCTTAATTCTACCGACAATGCTATACTGCTCTACGCCAGTTGTTAAAGTTTCGAATACAATGTCAAAGAAATTTGAAAGAATACAGAATATAGTACAAAAGGCAATTTAAGGATTACAGGAAAGCAACAGCTGTAAATTAATATCGATCAAAAATCGTAAAAAGATGAAAGATGAACTTCCCAGAGAAATACGTTCCTTACAGTCTATTTGATTTTTAAATCGAAGTTAAATCGAAGAACACTTTTTTAGTAACTAGAGACTTTTTATTGTAACTAAATATAATTTATAATTGTAATCAATTTGAGTTTAGGTTTATGGTATTTTTTCTCCTTTAATTTTAACTGTGCCCTTATTGATAAATGATAACAGCCCATTATAAAGAAATGTATTATTATTATGATTAATACCGAGTTCGCAAAGATCAGTGGTTTCCTTTTAAACGATACCATTATTCAAGTTTACTGCCTGAAGTCTCAAAGGGTCAAACGTCGTTTCAAACTTCACCGTTTTTAATATATTATTTGGATAAGATGGCTTCAAAAAGAAAATGTAATGCTAGAGCCTTCAAGACAGTAGAAGAAAAACATTAAGCAGCTCTTTCCAATAAAATGCAAAGGAAATAGTTTTCATTGAACCAATCCTGACGAAGGCATTGAAGGTACGTATACGCGAAACAAAATTTCACCTTTAGCGCATAAAACAACATTATTTTTTTCTCTTTTTTTGTCACTTAGAATTTTCGACATTGCAACATTTCACTTGAAAAGTACTTGTAAAACAAAGAGAATCGAAACAGGGGAAAGTGCTGCAATACATTGTACATTGATTGCGAAAACATCCCTGGCTTTTAAACTTCTGTTGCGAACAAGTGACGTAACAGGGTTCGAATATCCAATTCGACCACATTGCATCAAACGATCTATGTTAATCTCGAGATCAAATTAAGTTAACTAACATAAAGGAGTGTAGACATACCTGATTTCCACAAATGCGGTCCGATTCACCACAAATGGTATCAGTTATTGGTCGATAGAAATCTAGAAGCGTCTGTGAGCCTAGCGAAATTGTGGTAATCGCTGGATGAAACAACGGACCATCGACGTGAGGCTAGAAACAAAAATTGCATGCTTTCTAACATAACAAGGTAAGTGGACGCAAGTTCAATTGATGTTTCTAAAAACAGGCATCGCAATATAGTTTCAAGTGTCCAACCATCTATAGCTTGCATATCGTTGTCCTCCTATCATATTTCGAACGACAAATGTCACTTTTTTGCAGGCTGAAAAATTTCCCCGGCTAACAAATAGCAAAACAAAAGAAGGCATTACTCGTTTTCATTGTCTCTGATTATGCTCAAGGAAACGCACAATGAAACGAAATCACCAAGGCACTTTTTCAGGCTTTTAATGAGTCGTAATAAAGCGTGTTGTGTGCTATAACCTTTTCTGAATCCACAAAGCAAAGGGAACAGTTTAACACTGATGTAATTGTAGATTTGATTGAACATTATTCTCTCAAATATCTTTGAAGCTGAGAGGAGCACACTTATTGGTCTATAATTCTCTTTACTAGTTGAATCTCCTTTTTTAAAAATGGGGCACACATTAGCCATTTTCATTAGAAATGGAAATGTTTTATCAGAAAGAGATCGATTGAATATTTCAGCTAGTGGTCCAGTGACAACGTCAATTGCCATTCTAAGAACTTATGGGGTGATGTTATCGGCTCATGTTGATTTTTCTTCCTCTAGGTTGTAAATTATCTCTCTTGCATCTTCGGAAGCTACATTTTCAAAGTTAAACTTAGGAAACTGAACAAACGTTTCCTTGATTTATGAAATACTACGGTGGCTTTCAAAGTATTTTAATTGATCTAATAGTGGCGAGGCTGTCCTTTCGTCATACGTCTGTTGCAAGTTATCAGATAAAGTTCGGGCTATATTGAGGCTTTCAGTAACATTTACGAAGTGATTATTTAACGTTTGTGCTACAATTTTGCTGTCAGACATGATTTTATCGTTCTTTATCAGTATGATTTCATTTGCTTTTGCATTTTTATCATTTAATAAAGGCTGGATAGTTTTTCAGAAATTTTTATTATCTTTGACGAATTTTACATCTAAATTTTTGAAATATCTTCTTTTAGTGCATCTAATTAATTCAACACATTTATTTCTGACTTTTTTGTACTTCTCCCTGTTAGAGACTGTTTTGCTTTTGTTTAACTCTCTTTTTGCCCTAGACCTCAGCATATTCTTTTTTTATATCTTTATTCATGAAAGGCGCATTATCTGCTCTCACTATTTTTCTTCGGAGGGGCATGTTTATCGAGAATAGAAATCAGTGTTCGATTGAAAACATCGTACGATACATTTTCTATAGGTATTTTAGCTAAATTAAATTGAAGATCCTCGTTAAATTGATCTGTAGAAAATGTTTTATAGCATCTGTATGAAATAGAAGTGGGTTCAGATTTTACGAATTCAGTTTTTAGTACAGTATATGTTAGTTTATGGTGGTCAGACAAACCTGTCTCACATGTACCTGTATTTATATGGCTGTATTTCTTGTTTGTTAAGATCAAGTCATAGCATTTTGGCGGGTTACTTTTGTAGAATGTTGGCTCTTTCATCAGATTATATAGATAATAGTTTTCCATAAAATTTTCTATGTTAGAAGAACTACGTTCCATATTAAAGTCCCCAGGTATTAGAATTCTTCCATAGGATTCACTACACAAAGATTGGAGGGCAGAATAAAACAGCATGTTCCGTCTAGTATTAGAAACAAAACTCGTCCCCAAAGAGAACAGCCACCTCGGTCTTGCAGATCTAAAAGTACTACTAAAACTAAAACATGCGATTCTGCTATCGGGCAGCATTTACTGGAAAACCCAGATTGTGCAAAAAACTAAACGATGTTTTACTGATGACGCATAATTAAAAGCATAGGTCACTGACCATGATGCCTTGTCCAGCTGTATACTCATTGACAAGAACGTGGTTTGGTAGCCTGCCATCGAAAAAATCGTATGATGCCACTCTATCGGTGTACTTGGTCAGCCACTGCGTAAAACAACGAGAAGGATACACGCTGGAGGTTTTAGTGTCTTTTAAGGAAAGTCAAAGAATCTAATAAAACCTCCGACAAATAAAATTTAAATTGGCCTAAATTCGCAAGATATGCGGAAATTGCTTTTGAAATCCACTGCCATACCAAACGAGGTGCTATATAGCAATATCCATTTTCGGTTATAGATGTGGCTTAGCGGTTAAGGTTCGTGACCTTCAATGGGGTTCGAGAGGTTCTCGTCCTGCCATGACCAAATTTTTACTTACGAGGGTCGCTAGCTCTTTGTAATTCTAGGCATAGTAAACACGAGGTGTGGTTACATCAGGCGGAAGGACCAAGACACTGCTCGATAGGTGCAGCTTCTCAGCATCCCTGGCAATCCGCCGTTTGTTCCTAAGGCATTTACCTATATTTGATATTCCCTCTACCCTCTTATTACCCAAAACCAAAGAACCAGTTATCTTGTAGGATTATAATGCCTGGTGTGAATATTGGTGATATGTGACATTAATTTGTAAGAAGGTGAATTACATAACCCGCTCTCAACGAGACTACTGGTGCCTCAAACTTGGCAAAGATGTAGAGAAATCTAAAAGTATTAAGCAGCATACCTGTGGCATTGCTTCTTGTACCATGCCCTACCAAAATAATGCTTATTGATTACTGTTGGTCGATCGGAAACGTAAAACTTTTTGTCTGCTTGTCAGGTTAATCAAAGGATCCAATATGATACTAGGACAAGAGGGGATGTCTTAAATCCGGCATTCATTTGCACGGTCTTCGAATTGCAAACTCAAAATTCAGTGAAAGAAAGTAAGCGAGACTTCTAAAAGTGACTATTCATCTAGTCAGTAAAAAAACTAGAGTTTACGACGCTGACAAAAGCATTAAAAAGTAAAATTCTGCAAACTCAGAGGAAAGCATTTCAAAAGGCTTTCAATTCACTTCTGTGGTTCCAATCTAATACGTGTTGATTGAAATGTGTTGAATATGATGAAAAATAATTAGATTATACTGTTGAAAAAATTTCAAGGTAGCTAAATTATGTTTAGATGATCACTAATGTCAATTGACTCACCTTTGGATGGGGAAGACCTCCTACAAATACAGTAAAAGGCATAATTTAGAATTGAAGAAACAAATGATTGAAGTCTAAAACAAAACAAAAATACAGAAAACCTACTTGTGAGAATAGAAAATGGGAAAGGGCTTTCTATTAAACTGCACACTAAACTTGACGTTACATATTCTAACAGAGGTAGTGAAACCTACAAAGAGAACTAAAAATGCTGAATCACCTAACATAATAAGGGGGCTATGCCTTTAGGTACTTACTAATGGTTGCTAATCGATGAAGCTACATACTTTTCCGAGGTAAGTTGGAAGTGGGGATGACAGGGGCAAATTAAGACTCAAAACAATATATTTTGTAAAATAGCTCTTTGTATTCCTAAATGTGTGGGAGAAATGAAATACCATACTACCTATGGGCCACGACGCAGGTTAGAAAGTGGGAGGCCAAGGGAGATTTTAACAATCATAAAAAATAATTCTTGAAAAGCTCTATTGTTTTGCAAAAAAGTGGGGGCCCCCCTTCGCAGGGCTCATTAAAAAAATTTGTGCCCGCGAACGGAAGGCTGAGTAGAAAATGTGCCTGCAAGTAAAATAGGGTGCGACATAAGATCAGATACTGATAAATTGCGAATCTGCCTTTCTACTGTTCCACTCAGTACTGTTACACCAGCTTACAGTAAGTATCGAAAATTTTGGCGAGATTTATTTTCAGTGAAGCAGGGCAACTAAAAATTAATGCCACCGAATTTTAAAATTTTAAAACGCTTGACAAATCTTGTTTTTGATTTTCCTTTTTATAATTTGAGATCCACTTTTCATCCAATACATTTTCAGTTTATGGTCTTTCTGCGTCATCAACAACAAAGACATCCAGCTCATCTTCACTTTTTCCTTTTCACCCTCTATATCCAAGAAATCAAAGGCAATGGGCTAAACTGATGCTTCTACAGACTCTTCATAATTTCTATCAATTATTTCTTTCAAACGCTCCAGCTGTTTCGATATGGACCCCTCAATTACCAACTCATGGCCGATAAGAATTTCGCCGCGTTGCGATGAAAAAGGTTGCAAACTGTAAACGCTTGCATTTGATATTTATCCATGGGGTTATAAAAACGAGATAAAAAAGAACTGTACATAGGAGCTTATGACATTATTTCCTATTCTTCAGTTCCATTCATAAGGCAGACATCAAAATGTTCGAATTTTGCAACTTTTGTGATTGGTTTCCAGATGCTCTTATGTCATCAAAAGCAAAAGTTCCTGATTAAGACATAGATAAACACTTTAGGTGCTATTTCACCTACCGACAAGCGATTTTTCCAATAAACTAAGGATTTTGTGGACCAACTGACCAACAACCACATCATAATGCATTTGAGATTTCACATTCTCTATGCCCCCGCAAGCTACGCCACTAACAGCATGTAAAACTTAACAGACAGATAATTCCTGAGAGGGATACATAACCATATATCATATATCAGGATACATATACCGAATGATCAGTACATAAGAAAAAGAATGAAATGATCCAGTTTTATCTATTGGCGATTTGGCTTACTCAAGCAGTCTTTTTGGTATAATCGAATTCATCAAATAAAGACATCTTCAGTCAAATAGGTTTTCTAATATCTTAAACGCTTCACTTTCAATTAAAGCAGGCTATAAAGGTATATTTACAAAATAATTTTTAACGTGGCTGATTGAAGTTTTATATTTTCATTTCGTTAGCAAGAGTTCTAAGATCTCGAAATTACACGGGTTTTTTCGCATTTCAAAGTTAAACAAAAAAGGTAAATAAAAGTTGATTCACAAAAGTGCCAGCAGAAATTCGGAGCATGAACTGCTCGTGCAGATCAATGAGATCTGTTCGTCGGAGGCCCTGCTACCTTAAGTGTAATGCATAGCTCAAGGCTATTTATATATGTAAGAATGGCTTTTAAACGAGGATTCAGCATAGACGTCCTGCCTGCTAGTGTTAAAAAAATTTGTGAGGCAGAAGATAAGGTGGAAAGACTATAAAGGTACCATTAACAATGATGAGACAAATGAGAATGTTTCCCTAACTAGGATGAGTAAATCCAAACAATTTTGCTGAAACTTTTAATACATATCTGAGTTTGTGAGGGTGTGAAATGGACATTAAATGGGCTTTTCTAACCAAATAACTCCCTTCCGACTTTCAAGAAACTGGGTGTAGTTTATAATCAAGGGAGGTTAAAATAGTTCATATTTATTCAAGAGGCGCTTACAAACAAGAGCCGCTTATAATCAAGAAATACAGTAAGAAAAATCGGTATTTTATTGGTGATACTGTTGATACTTGAGCATTAACAGGCGTAATGAAAAAACCGTAATGAACAAACCCCAATTTTGTAGTCTTCTACCAGACAGCTGTGTCCATTTTGGCTTTGGAGCATCATAGACCTGGCAAAGTAGAAACGTCATTCAATTCCAACTGTGATTATCTGCCTAATAAATATTGGGTGGCAATGTCAATTATTTCTAACCCCTTTTATTGCCCAGGCCCCCATTGTACCCTCTACCTACCCCCAGAAGTGCTGATAGAAAGATAGAAGTGTTCAGTCGGAAAGGCCAGTTTTCAAAATCAAGGCGTTTTTTCTTTGTTAATGATAATGCATCATTCAAAGTAAGGCTTTCTCTCATAAGGGCCCAAAGGCCCTGAAATTAAATATCAATAATTTAAAACTAGCTCTGTGTTGTTTAATATGTTTAAAACACATTTTCCACAATCTTGAACTGAGGCTGGCAAAACGACAAGGAATGATTTGGCCGTGCTGAGGTTTTGAAAGTGATGTTGCTAGAAGAACTGACTTAAATGATGTTATCAACGATTTTCCGAGAGAAAAGTAGGTTTGGAAATTAATGGGTAGCAGCTTGAAAAGAATACATCGGGGAAAGAGGGGCTCAGAAGTTGACACACTTTTGATTGCCACATGGCTAATATTTTTGCATTAATTTTTAACATCGAATTCATTACTATTTTGTATTAAATAGAACCCTTGGTCAAAGCTTGATGAGAAAAATTTAGAAAATATGAACATTTAAACTATGCTACAAAGCAGTGTATAGCATATTCTAGCCTTTAACTTCAATGCAAGGGTGTTTGCAGGAACAAAAATGGGGTGTGGCCCAAAATAGTTTTTGTACGGCGCAAAATGGGGGCCTGTCATGGTGTGGATTTTATGAAAGCTCCCCTTTGACCAATTATCATCACATTGTTTCAGAGGAAACTTGAATAGAAGTGAACTGTCAATTATCATTAGCATTGGCCTTATAGCTCAGAGCAGTAATTTTGAATATATAGATTTAGATGAACAAATGCCAGTCCATTTACCTTTTCTAGCAACAGCTTTTCCTCAGCTTCAGAGACAAAATCAGGGATATAGAAAACTTTTGGTGAAACCTATGAGAAATCAAGATGAACTTGAAATTACTATATGATAACTCTAAGTACAAAAGTGGCTGTACTGAATCATTTTATCAAAAAGTTAAAGAATTCTATGATATATTTAACTTGTGGTTGAAAGGTGGGATTGAAAGTGAAAAAGGCCATCATAAAAAAATTTGAAAGAAGCACTTACAAATTTAGAGTAACTAAGCATTGCCTGTAAATTTTGTGATCTTTTTCATTCCTGAGTATCAATCATCTATTGGCAAGGAATATGGGAGAAACAAGTTTCTTAAGGTTTCATCCAGCTCAAGCTAGAAACATGCAGATAGTTGGATTGCCAAACTCAAATTTGACAGCACATTCTTGCTTATGAGTGTTGTAGTTTGGAAATGGATCAGCTTGGCAAAGGCAAAAAACATTCCATCAAATGAACATTGATCAATGGTCTTATAAATCCTCTTTTCTGAATTAACTAATTGGTTCCTGTTAAAAGGATGGCAGCTATCTAAACAGTTTTCCATTTCATTCTTAGCAGTAACATTTTTTTATATCATTATAGTCAACAGTGAAGCAAGGGGTTTGAAGGTCCCGATTTTTTCACATCCAATGACTTTGTTCACAAACGCTTGTGTAGTTTATGCAGTATTGAATGGTCTCTGAAAATATCTTTTAATAGTTCTATGGCAATGATTGTTCCCTCTTTGGATGGTGGAAGCTCAAAACAAATGGCCAAATTTGACCTCACATGGGGTACAAATTGTCTTGCATTAAAACTGCAGTCAATCCAGTCTTTTTCTTGGTTCTTGCCTTTCATGAATTGATCAATGATCAATGGTCAAGGTTTTCATGTTTATAATGTTTCTCAAAATTGTGACAAAATGTTGGAAAAAAAGCTCAGAAACAAACTCAGCACCTCAAAAAGTCCTTTTAAAAGATAACAATTATCTTGGAATTATACTTCAATAAAATTACATGACTGACAACAATTTAAATGCACCTTATGCAGCAACCAGTTAAATGAAAACATAAAATTGGTTTGTTTAAAGGAGTCAGGTCACATAACCGTAAACAAACATTTTGTGCAGGACAGTTTGTGTTTATTTTCTTTACCAATCGTCAAAGCGGAGTGTCTGAAAAATTGGCAGACCATGAAACACTGATGTTGCCAAGTCAAAATCAATCTCAAACCATTGGCTTTCAGCAATGCTTACTGTTCTTTTACTTGGTACTTTAAGTAGTACACACACAAGATTGCCTATCATTTTTGCATTTTTAACTATATTCTAGTGTTCTTGGGCCGAAAAGACCTTTCAGGAAGCTGTCATGCTTTGCAAGCAACTAGGCTCTCCTCAAAAGAATGCCTTTTGGAATGAAAGTACCAATTAATCATTTGTTTTTACATATAAATGAATGATTTTGCAATTGTATCCAATATATAAATTTTGCTTTGAATCTTGGTCACGGTTGTCATAGAAGTCACAATGATGCAACACTTTTCAATAGGGCTTAAGATCCATCAGATATACAGGTGCCAAATCCTGTAATGACTTTTTGTTCACTATAAAACATTCTCTTTCATCAATTATTTTTCATCGTGAAATATGAAATTACATCTTTTCCCCAATAGATATTAGTCCTGATTGTCTTAAAAATACAAGTCACATTTACATTGATTGATCAAATCATGTTAAAATGTTGCAAATTGAACATGGGCTTTTTTGGATAGGGGATGCTCTCCCCTCGATTAGTCTATCTATTGAGAGAGATACTCCTTAAAAACCTTCCCATACAAAATCAAATGCAACCATGTTGTTTAATTTGTAATTTTTGATTTGCTTTCTTTTAAATTCTAATTCATGGTATCACTGAAATAATTTATATCAAACTATTTTTTCATTGTAACTTGGTGTCATTTTCCTTTAAAATTTTTATTTAACGAATTTTGTTTGCCGTGGAATTTTAAAATAAAACAGAACTCGACTGAACTGACACAACCTAGGGCTCTAAAAAGGAGCTTATTTATACTAATGAGAAAACAAAGCAAGATACTCTTACCTGAGTGACCAGAAATTTATCAATTTCCATGATATAATCGTTTTGCTCAAGCTCGCTGATAACTGCTTATTGTCACTGATCAGTGCTTAAGGTGCATGAGCCATTTTGTTATTAAATACGGTTGTTGTTGTTGTTGTTGTTGTTGTTTTTGCTATTGTTGTTGCTGTTGATGGGTTCTTTGGAGATCACTGCCCAAAGTCTTGGAACACAAACGTCAAGTTTCGAAAGGCAAATTAAGCAATCCTCTCTCCCCCTAAGAACAGTGTCAATTTACTTTAGAAAAAATAAAGCGGTTATGGTACACGCTTTTTCTTTGATATTTTTTCTACACTTTCAATATTTTTTTGAGGGGGGGAGGGGAGGGGAATGGGGACGGTAGTATTCGGGAAAACAAATGAAAGATAGAAAAGCACACCGCAACGTGTTGGGTGTTCCAAATAATTTTGGCAGTGATTGTAGCAAAGTACCGTTTTTCGCTTAACATTTGACAAGTTTTCCAAGTTTCTTGTTCTATGCCATTAAATTCCCATACTGTATTGAAAGAAACCCGAACATTTTTCAGCTTTCTCGGATATTTTCGAGACTCCTTCCATTTTTATAGGAACATCCTCTTTTTAGCAGCGTGTAATAGATAGAGTTAAACTGAGCAGAATGGGTGTTGCTTTGCTTGCTAACCCACTGCTTTTTACTTCCAGAAAAGAACAGGCCAACATAGAAGCATGTTTTTCAAGTCGCGCAGCAATTTTAACAAGATCTCATCTTGCTGTTTGTGGCTTCAAATGCAACCTGTCCAGACCTCCTTGAACTTTTTTATGCGAATTTTGTCTTAATGCTAATTTAGCAGCTAGGTAAATGTTTGGCTTTGGAAGTAAGATCCTTCTAATCAAGATTTTTAGGCTTGGGATATCAATATTAACGACATGTATTCTAGAATCTTTTGCCATTTTCCCTGGGTCTGCAAAATATTCCCTACACTCTCTGGCTTCTGTCAACATAATTGCTGGGCAAGGAGGTTTGCTTTTGAGACTTTTTTTGCTTAGGGTCTAAAAGATTAACAAAATTTATTGTTTCTACGTGCAAAACGCTTTAGATATCTTGAGTCTACGTACGGAATAATTATACGTCTTTTTCGTGTCCACTTTTTTTGGTTCTGGCTTGGACATAGATATCATAAAATATTATTGGGGTAGAAATTGACCCGAAAATGTTTTCCTAAACTTACATAGCCTAAATAATTTTGATTAGAAAAGTTGTATATGATTAGGCTTTATTGACTTAAATAGAATGATTTAAATGTTCATATGGACTTGTCAAAAGCATTTGATAGTCTACCTCATTAACTTCAACCGGCCAAATCAAATCTTATGGCTTTGTGAAAAGCAATGTTAATTATGTATAGTTATATCTAGAAAAAAGAGTACAACGAGTAAAAATAAACTCAGATTTTAGTGATTGAATGGAAACAAAGCAAGGAGCTCTTCGATGATCAATCTTAGGCCCGTTTACATAAACAAAACTTTTCTGCATTTGAACAAAAGCAACTTATGCAACTATGCAGATGACAATACAATCTGGCTGCCAAGCACTGATGTGAATAAACTAACTGACGACTTAAAATCGGTAGCAGCTATTCTTAATAGATGGTTTTGTGAAAATTTGTTGATGCTCAAGGGTGCTAAAAGCAAGCTTATAACTTTTAAAGCCAACCGATCCAATTCAGATAAATCAAAAATTCAAATAAATGGTTCTACTGTTAAACTATTGGGAGTAACATTGAATCAACAATGTAGATCAGAAGAACATATCAAAAACTTTTATAAAGACACTAGAAAAAAAGGTTAACGCTCTAGCCAGGGTTGTTTCGTACATGAATGAATCTAAGCAAATACTTTTAATGAAAACCTCTGTTTTATCATATTTCAATTATTTTTCCTCTTATATTGCTGTTTTGTAGTAGAAAAGAATTATTTATTCATTATTTATCCATACCATGTTAAGTTTGGCTGTGATTAAACATTTAGGCTCTATGTGACTCGAAATTCAAAGATGCATTTTTGTTGCGTCATCACACAAGTTCCGTTGATACATTTGGGCTAAACCAAAAAGCTTTTTCAACAATATCAGTTAACGTATCACTTTGTAACAAGGTCACGGATTCTGGTTTTACATCAGTGAACCAATTTTCTGCAAAGGGGCGAATTGGTTTAGGGTCACCGGTTGCCGCCAAAGTTGATAAGTGCAAGGGAACATATCTTATCCTTCAATAATTTTCATTCAAGATGGAGCTCATAAAGAAAGAAGAAAATACTCAACATGAAACAAATTTAGAGGAAAGAGAACGGTGGGACCGGAAGATTGAGTTTATTTTCTCGTGCATTGGCTTCGCTGTTGGATATGGCAACTTTTGGCGCTTTCCATTTAAATGTTTTAAGAATGGAGGAGGTTAGTTTGCTTTCTTTCTCTTTCTGATTATGTCTACAAACATTCCAGACGGAACAGCAACCAAGCGCCTAATTCTTTCGTAACATCAACCTACACCCTATTGGTTCTTGATAAAGCCCAAAAGTTCGCAAGCAGATTCCATTCTATCTACACATAAGTTTGTGTTGCTACCAAAAAAAGACGATAAATACCTGGTTCGGTATTCATAGTGCACCAGTTGGTTCCCTTTTCACAACTTTACGTATTTTTATAAAAAGCTAAGTTTGGGATTAGTACTCATCTTCTAATCTGTTTTGTTGGTTTTAATACTAAAGGTTTCATGAAGGTTTCTTAAATGCCAAATATAAAGAGCTACCTTAAACATAATACTTAAACATAAATCTAACACTTTATCAGTGGCATGGAGTCTTTCTTCATATTAATATAACATAACAAACATACATAACATAACATAACATAACATAACATAACATAACATAACATAACATAACATAACATAACATAACATAACATAACATAACATAACATAACATAATATAACATAACATAACATAACATAACATAACATAACATAACATAACATAACATAACATAACATAACATAACATAACATAACATAACATAACATAACATAACATAACATAACAAACATAACATAACATAACATAACATAACATAACATAAAACAACACAACACAACATAA